CTGTATGTGCGAGACATGCATCAATGCGGAATTACTCTTCCTGACAACAATCTTAAAGATGCTGAGCATCTAGCTTATGTCAGTTGGCTCCGGTAGCACTGATTCGAAAGTTGTTTATTTTACATATTTAATGATATTATGGATTATGATTCTATTCAATGTGCAACGTATATATTAAGTAAGAAGAAATTGTAGGTGAAGAATCTAGTAGATGATTTCGATACTTCGTATATATGAAGCAACCGAGTATACAAACTGTTATTACCGTAACTAGAGTTGATAGTCATGAGATATTAAAAACATATAAAAAACTGCGATATGAAATATAACCGTATTAATTCATTTTCAATAACGAAATGGGCATGTGGTGTAGATGGTTATCACGCTTCCTTAGCATGGAAGAGGTCCCAGATTCGAGTTCTGGCTTGTCCAATTTTTTCCCATTCCATTTCTTTGATGGGGTTGGTTGAAGGTTACAAAGTACGAATAAAGCACATCTGTCAAAGCGGTTTTTGTCTGACAGAAGTGTTGGCAAACGACCAATGTCGTTAGTTAATCCCTGCCTTTTTCCTTAAAATTGGTTCCATGCATACGCTTTTGCTATCGTATATTTTCAAACATCCAGCTTGTTGAAATCTCACTGGATAATATACTAACGAGAAAAGTACGTTTTCGTTACTTAAATGTAATTTTGTTCAAAGAGAAAACGCATTTGAAAGCTCGTTTCATTAGAACACGACATAACCAGAATGAAAAATTGCCAGTCCTTTTCATGAAAGAGCCCCTTTCAATGAACGGCACGAAAACCCCTCCGTTTTTGTGCACCACCACATCAACGCATTCGTCAAGCAGTATTCCCAAAAATTGAATTCATAAAGAACATTTTCACATAAGAAAAATACAAATAGACAATGATCAATTTGCTTTCTTCTCCTCGTTCCCTCTCGCTTCTTTTAAGATAAACAAATACCTTGTTTCTTTAAAAGGAACATGTTACCTAAATTGACATTATAGATGCAATGTCTAATATTTATAGCTAAACGTGTCATTAACAAACCACGACGGCACTTTATAAAATAATCAATATTTTTAATTAGCGGAAGCTTTCTTTCACATATAGGCTGTTATTTTGTATTCTTGATAAGCAGTTTGCTCAGAATTGGCCTTGTTGAATTAGCTTTTTAAAGTGAAACCTTCGTTTAATATTTCATATAATCTAAAGTACCTTGAACCTGAATATTGAAAATGCCGTTGTTTGATACATCTTTATTTCGTTTTCGATTGTCATCCCTCCATCTTTCTTCAAGAACCTTAGGGGTTTACTTTGCTGGTGTCATGGTAAGTTGCAATAACAATTTATTTGTTCGATTTCCTAAGTGGTAAGACACTAACCAAGTTCAGTTTGCGTCTGCTGTTTGGGTTTTTGTTGATACAGCACTTTATAGCGCTTTCAATTATGGCAGCACGTTACATATTACCTTTATCGACTGGATCCCGTTTTTATGCTCTGTCCTTGGCATGATTATGTATGTCCTTCCGCATTTCGCCTTTCTCTTAGAGTTCAATATTTTATTAACTGATAAATTTTAGTGTGAATTCAATTGACAAGTCTCGCCTTAGTGGTGATTCCTTTGCATATACCGACGAAAGCCTAGCTAGAAAAGCTCGGTTCATTCTCTTTATTGGGTTTGCTTTACTCGCAGGTGGATTGGGTGGAAGCTTTACGGTATTCATTCTCAAGTATGTCGTTCCTGGTTATTCTCTTACGATGGGTATTGCCAACGTTATCTGCAATGTTCTCTTTATGATTAGTGCAACTACTCTTTGGATTACTGGCAATATGAATGATGACTATCATTACAATTTACAGCTTTAATAATTCTGTTTCTGTTTACTTTCATAATCTCCTTGCTGTTTAATTAGGATGACACATAATTTCAATGATCTCTTTCCTTAAATTCTCAATGCTTAGACACTGTTGGATTTCAAGTACTCGTTGGAATCTTTCATGTCGCTTTGGCAATGTATATATATTATTTGTGAATGAATCAAAATTTGATTGTTTCCTCATTATCCTTTTCTATTCCTTGAACTTTGAGGTATTGCATGTACAACCCTTTTTGAAATCTGAAATTGGATGAAAGAATTCCTATTTATGGATCAGCATACACTTTGAGACTTTATAATCAGATATTTTTTCATAACTCCACTCCTGATAGTAATGTTTATATTTTTTCATTTTGTTTTCTAAAGAAAATGCCTTCGTGCATCAACCCCTTAAATATTATGCTGTGTTTAGAGATAAAAAAACCGGCACACATGTTAAGCGTGAACAGGTAAAATATAAAACGTTGAGCTAAAACGCAGAAAGATACTTTCAAAGCATGAGAAAAAATGAATGTATGACACGCAGGAAAATGAGAAAAAAGGAGTGAGGGGAGAAAAGCCAAAGAAATAAAACACCAATATATCAAGCCTTATGAAAATACGATTTCGAAGCTGTGTAAATGAAAGGACAAAATTTAGAACATTAAAAAATCGTATTAAAGGCAGCCTTAAAAAGAGAGAAAAGATGCCGCATTGAAGGAAAGTGATCATGCACATAAGCTGCTCGATTTATACGTCACGGAAAAAAAAAGGGGGGAAAATATTTCAGACATCGATATTTGCCTGTTTGACTAAAACAGGCTCAAAATTATTTATATCCACGTCGAGATTTTCGTATGTGTGGGGCGGTAATATGCTCTTATTTAAGTTAGGACGAATAGAAAGCTCTTCCAAAGAGAAATTAAAGAGCGGAGGAAGCGGCAAATCATGAATATCAGAATCTCGTTCAACACTATATCTCACATTCGGGTCGCGCAATTCATCAAAAAATGGATGAGTAAGAACCTCAATTGCGGAAATACGTTTGGAGGGTACGTAAACTAGAATTTTCTTTAACAGATCCAAAGCATTTTTTGGTACATCTTTTGGAAGAATTGATTCCAGGAAATGTGGACGGACATTTGGTAATGTATGGTGAACGTAATTAGGATTCATAGAAGTGATTTCTTGTTGAGAAGGTGTACCAAGGACCTTTATGATTTCAACCAATTGCTCAACACTACTATCTCCAGGAAACAATGGACGTCCTAAAATCAATTCCGCTATGACACATCCGGTCGACCAGACATCAATCTTAGTGGTGTAATGATTTGCTCCAAACACCAATTCTGGTGCCCGATAATAACGTGAGCAAATATAGGAAACGTTGGGCTCTGATGGAACTAGAATTTTTGCGCTTCCAAAGTCACATAGTTTCAAAACACCCGTTCGGTAATCGACTAAAAGGTTCTGGGGTTTAATATCGCGATGGCAGATTCCAGTGCCATGCAAATAAGAAAGAGCACGGAAAATTTGAAATGCGTATATTTTGATGGAGAGCATGGACAGAGATTTGTGACGCCGGGTGTACCACCTCATATCCTCAAACACTGTTTCTGGTGAGTATTCAAGCAATAAGCTTAAATGTGTTTCGTCATTTGTTGGATTATGGGTATGATAAAACGCAATTAAGTTAACGATATTTTGGTGTGATATGGCACGCATAATTTGGAGCTCTCGATTCTATTTCAAAAGCGGTTAGCATAAATATCATCAAGAAACAAAGAAAGTATAGAAACTAAAAACTCTATTGGTCAATGCTTCATTCTAGGCTTGTTGTCAAAAGAAACTGCCTGTGAAATCGAATTCCTACCTTGTATCGCTTGTCCTGGAATACCCGCTTAACAGCAATGAATTGTGAGCTACCTATAATCTTTGCTTTCATGACAACGCCAAAACTCCCTGAGCCTACGACTTGGAATAGCTCATAGGAAAGTGTCCGTTCTTCCCCAGTTTTTGCATCCAAGACTACTTTTGTTTCTACGTGCGAGTCATCTAAAGTCTGTTAACAATCCATTTCACCAATTCCTTGTCTTACCACTCATTTCTTAATGTTGTTTGTGTTTGGTTCACTGCACCTGAGTTTAAAAACATACTGTTGACTATACGTCACCTAGACTTAGTTTGTTGATTGCTCAAGTAAATAAAATAGAGATGCGCATCGTAAAGCGGTAGATAACATAGTGAGATGGAAATTAACTAAGAAAGCGTGTTGAACACAATTGTGTAAACAGAAGGAATTCCTTCATGAAGAATGGACAAAGAACTCTTCATTAAATTTCATCCTTTGAGAATAGGTTTCTTAGCGAATGGGTTTGTTTCCCAAAATCGTATTTTGTTGCTGGTGTGAATGAATTCATTTTGTGCTTTTTGTTTGAACTGTAATGTTTCTCCATTTACAAATCCTGACGGGTAAATTTTTGTTTATAAATCAGTTTTTATTTTTATTTTTATTTTTATTTCCTTTCCATTTCCATTTCCATTTGTCTTAATCTGATTCTATCTAATATATTTGTTTCGTTTTTTTTTCATTTGTTTACGTGTTTTGATAACTTTCAAGAAACGGCGTAAACAAACATTACCTCGAAAAAGATAAAATGTCTGCTTCTTTCTTTCAAAAAAAAAAAAAAAGAAAAAGGAACAAATTTGTTACAAACAAGAATCTTTCGACTTAATAAATACAGCCCAAGTCCATCCATCATACTGCGAAAAAGCAGACTTCATAAAAGGCACACTCATGTGGGGGCAACTCAAGAAGAGAATAGCTGTATGCAGCAAACAATGAGAAAAGAGACTGCAAAATAAGAATTAAATAGAAGATTTATAAGTTTTTAAACAGTGGTATTGACAGTGGTATTGTTAAAATGTTCTTTTGCTTCAATAAAAATTTATTGCGGGCGAATGTCGTAAACAACAATGACCAATATGTCTAAGAGAAAAAGCCATGTTTTCATACTCTGAGGCTTTATAGTCTACAATTTGCTACTCAATACATGCTTTGCTTAAACACTTGTCATTCATGATGGAAGCTCAGTTCAATGAAACGTTGCTTCTCCAAAAAGAAAACTCTGCTGTTAAACAAAGGAATTCAGCCTACGAATTTCTTCCTATTGAGAAAGTAAAGAAATGAATAGTAGAATTTTATAGATTATAAATCCTGTTTCATATGCTAATTCATTAAGAAACAGATTTATCCAAGAATTTTAAGCAGCGGGGGCAGCAGGGGCAGCAGCGGGGGCTTGACCAGAAAGCAACTGTTGTTGTTGTTGAATCATCTCATCACTTCCGGGCAACTCCATGCTCAAGCCAAGACCAACCTTGGCGTTTCTATTGGGATGATCAATTTCGCTGCTAAAAGCAAGAGTGATAGCGGGAGCCAAGCGACGTTCCAAATAAACACCAACCTTACCCTTGCTGTCAACTTGACTGCGATAGATGCTTTGAGCAAATTCATACTTGAGACCAACCGATGTAAGTCCTTCAGGCTTAGGGCCAGTCATCAAGGCAGCAGAACGATTCAAGCCGACAGGGGATAATTGACATTCAACACCAGCTTCAACCTTTTCGCTCAACTTGCGCCAGAAAGTGGCAGTAACATCACCTTGAGTACCATTCAAGTGAGCAGTAGCGATCCAGTCATCAGCATTGTAACGAGCCATATAGCTCAAGGCGGCTTCCTCAGGGCCGATAGAGGTAGAAGGCTTTTGCCAGAGAGCCTCTACACCCAAGGATAATTTAGGAGTAAGGGACTGGAGCATGGAAAGAATGTAAATACCAGTCAGCTTATTTTCATACCAAGGGTTCATTGCCTTAACGCTGAAAGAAAAGTCCTTTCCTCTGTGGTCATGCTCAATTTGGCACATGCTGGGGATAGCAGCATCGGCAATTTGCATTTGAACCTTAGAAATGATATTAGGGCTCCAGGAACAGTTCAACATGGCTTGGACAGCACCGTCATTATCAACGCTTCCGCGGAGGAACAATGGCTCACCACCAAACATGGTGCTGAAAGAGTAAGGGGGTAACACTTGGCTGCCAAGAGCAAATGCGTGAGAAACAGTAAACCAAGGGTTGGTAGAGAATCCCTTTGTTACATCAGCTCGAATTCCGGTGAATGCATAGTTAGAAAGCAAGAGATCTTTTGAAACTTCCTTTGACAAATTTTCAGTAGTACCCGGGTTGGTAAGGTTCAAAGAGGACTTGTAGCTATCGATCTTGTCGCCAAGACGTCCAACTGAAGAAACAGCTGTTTGAATATAGTCCATTATGATTAGCTCAGATGTGCTTTTTTGTGGGAACTAGTTTTTAAGATCTTCTGTGAGATTATTAAGTACACAAACCGTAAAGCCTATGTATGTTTCCTTTATTAGTCAACTTGGTGGTTTCGCTTAGGATGAACTCCTTTTTATTTTACTCTGATTAACCACCTTCACGTACAACGCGGTTATGATAATGGTGGAGAGAAGTAGGTAGTTTACCGGTATTTCCTACCACCAGCTGCTTGTGGTAGGGACCAATATAATACTAATAAAAGCATTAGAATATTACAACGAAATATTATTTTATAACAAAATCATCTTTCTGAGAGTCATCCATACCGGTATGGCAAATAACACATTCGTTTTTTTATTAGTTTTAAAACAAAAATACATTTTCTACCTTATTCATAAATACTTCATCTTCACTCACAAACACTTACTGCTAGCCAACTTTCTCGTATAAGCAGTAACGAACGAACGGCTTCTATGTAACTATTTACATATCGAATACCCGATTACAATATTATACAAACAGGCTATATAATACTATACATAACGCATCATGTTGCATTATGCTAAGTGTTTTTTAGGAAATGTATTATTGGTCCCTAAAAGTAGATCTGAGCATCGGGTCTTTGTGTCTTTCCAGCAACACATTTTTTTAAAATTTAAGGAATCTGGTTTTCTTTTCCCTAAAATCGTGTCTATAAGTAGAAGAAGTAAACTCTTTCTTCTTCGAAACAACGATTGTCAGTTAAGGTCCACCTGTTTGATATTTAAAGCCCATAAAGTTGGCGCTCGTGCATCAAAGTTCGCAGGTCTTTTTCGTGCTTCTGGGAAGCGTGAAGAAGCCACCTTAATCCAGGGGTTCAAGGCCATATTTACTCCATATAGTCAAACTTGGCTTGAAGACTTTGGATCTATTCCTGTTTTCACATCCTAGTTTCACCTGTGATTCAAGGGATTAAGCATATTTAGCTTTTTATTCCTTTGATTCAATCCAAAATCAGTCCCAGCTGATTTTATTCCTTTTGTTTTATTTAATTATTTAACATTTCTATTTACCTTTAATTTTTATATCCTAATGATGGGTTCATCTACCGAAAGACATGACGAGACCAGGGAAGTAGCCGGTCCTTCCCAAGCAACAATTGACTATAGTGTTAATTCTTCTGGGAGTGACCGTACTCCGCATTCTTCGCTTTCCACAGAGGAAACTACTCTTGTTCCTGCCAATGAAGCATCAATGTCTCCTCTAAATCATGGTGTCACCGAATCCGAGCCGCTTGATTTACCATCGATAGACACTGAATCAAATAATGCGGCTTCTAGTACGCCCGTAGCACCACCTTCGTTTCCTACGGCTGTAGCACCCATTGAAAATTCAGAGTATTTCACGCAAGGTCATCATGCTGCTTCTTCTAGGCGTCATCGTCATGGAAAGAAAAAAAGAAAGCATTGGCGCAAACAGGCTAAACTTCCCCGTCCGCTTCCTGATAGCGAACCGTGTGCGCATTGTAGTCATGCAAAGAAGCGATCGTCTGGCAAACGACACCGCAAGCATCAAGGACGGAATCTTGCTTCTCGTCATTCCTCTGGGTTGATACAGTTTTCTGAAAGTGCAGCTGATGCGTATCATTCTTCCTACTCCCAGCACCACGGGTATAATTTATCTGGTCAACCTACTATGAAAGCCTCATCAGAGCACCTGGGGCAGTTTTCCAGTAGTGATAAAAGCTCTTCTGAGTCTTTGTATTCAATTTCTTCTATGAGTATAAAGAACGACTCGAATTCAGATTCATTGTCTTCGTCGTCCTCCTCTACTGATTTATCATCGAATCACCGCCCGTTACTTCCCGATGAAAACTTTCTTTTAAGGCCTAATGCTGATGCCGATGGATCTTCATTAGAACCACCTAGAAGATCCAGTGCTACCAAATCTTGCTCAGCTGCCATGAATTCTCCTCAGAATTTGCCAACTGAGATGAATACGCAGTCTGATACAAACTTAGCAGAACAACCTTCAAGGCCTTCTGTTAACTTTGCGCCAGATACATATATGACAAAGGAAGACGGATCTGCTTCAGTTAAATCTGTTGCTTCTCAAAATCGAGATGCGACTTCTCATGTAGATTCAGAGTTACCGAGAGATGTCGAAGAAGATGTCTGCTTCCCCATGCAAGAGGAATCGCTTGCTTATAATGGCATTGACTTTGATGAGCTTGATAATTTTGCATCTGAGGAATTACAGAAGAGAATGGCAGATATGGTAAACTGTCGATCGAGGCAGTACAGTGTCAGCAAACCTTTTGAACCGCATTGGAAAGATTTGAGTCCTCAAAGAGATTCTACTGGGACCTCTTCAGAAGCAGTGAATGACGAAAAACAGGTAAATAAACCATTGAAGAGTTATATTTCTCCCAATAGAGAATCTATAGGATCAAAAGCTCAAAGCCCTCATAGGTTTAGCCTGTTCTCTTCAGGTGAAAATGAAACAATTCATGCTGCTGCGATATCCGATTTGCTAGAAGACGAGGTACATAGTTTCCGTTCTCTTCTTTGCGCCGAGAAAGGTGTCTGGTGGTTAGATTGCTTAAACCCCACTGATAGTGAAATGCGAATGCTTTCAAAAGCGTTTTCGATTCACCCGTTAACAACTGAGGATATCCGTGTTCAAGAAACTAGAGAAAAGGTTGAATTGTTTAGATCTTATTACTTTGTATGTTTCCGGTCATTCGAACAAGATCCGGAAGGAGAAGATTATTTGGAACCATTAAATATGTATATTATAGTATTTCGCGAAGGCCTCTTGACTTTCCATTTCAGCTCTACTACGCATCCTGCTTCTGTGAGGCGTCGTGCTCGTCAACTGAGAGATTATGTCGACGTGAGTTCAGATTGGCTTTGCTATGCGTTGATTGATGACATTACGGATGCATTTGTCCCTTTAATTCGTGCTATTGAGACAGAAACGGAAGCTATTGAAGACTCCGTATTGGTGGGTCGACTGGATGAAAGCTGTGATATGCTTCGAAGAATTGGTGAATGCCGAAAGAAAACAATGGGTATGTTCCGTTTGCTGTATGGCAAAGCAGATGTTATCAAGATGCTTGCGAAACGATGCAATGAAAAATGGAATATGGCGCCAACGGGTGAAATTGGGTTATACTTGGGTGATATCCAAGATCACTTAATTACTATGACATCGAATCTTTCTCAATTTGAAAAGATTCTTTCACGAACGCATAGTAACTACTTAGCTCAGTTGACCTCAAATTCCATTGAAGAGAACTCAAGAATGAACAGTGCTTTAGGAAAAATTACATTAATTGGTACACTGCTAGTTCCCATGAACTTGATTACGGGATTGTTTGGAATGAACGTTCCTATTCCTGGTCAATCAAGTGACACAAACACTTCGTTGGCTTGGTTCTTTGGAATTATTGGTGTTTTAGTTGCCTTGGTAGTGATTGGATGGTTTGTGGCTCTCCGATATAATGCTTTTTAATTTAAAACTTCAAAAGTTGTTTAATACTTATCATGATTGAAGAAGTGAGTTTTCTTTTTACGATGAGATGTAAAAATGGTTATATTTAACAATAAAAAAATGAAACAAAAAAGCATCGGCTTGGTATAAGGTTTAGACCGGTTTGTTTTTTGTTTGAGTTGATTAGTCTTTTCTAATGTTACTTGTAAAGAAAAAGTGAACAGGAGAAGCTACGTCCTTAATATCATTAATTGGTTTAGGTATTAGACGTTTTCGTTTTAAAAGTTGTATTAATAAAAACTAATCGCATGTTACAAATACATAGATTTTTCAGAATACGACTTGTTCTTTGGAGCCTTTAGTTGAAGTAGACCGATTATGAATTTCATAGATGACTTATGAGGGAAGCACTCCGACTAATGAGATGAGATATAAGGCGAACTGATCAAAAATCTTATGAACTATTTGGAAATATCTTTTGGGTTGCGTCGGGCTTCCTCAATCATATGAAGCACACCTTCGGCCGGCTAATACACTGTTAGGAATCTGCAGATGAAGAATGGAGTGGATGAAGGAAGAGTTCCGAAAATCTTTTCCTGTTCACCATTCATGCAATACATACCCTTGAGTCTTTTTTTCTTTTCTCATAGTCAGCTCGAAGCTCTGGCGACAAAGAATCGATCACATGCTGAGGAGAAGGAGTAGTGATTTTCATTGTAGCATAACCAAAACCAACGATTCCTATTGCAAAGAAAGAGTAAGTTAACGTCTAATGAAAGTCTATACTTGACAACCATGATCGATTGTTCTTTCTTCTCAACATACCAACGCCATACAAAAGACTTTTGACGATTCTGTTCATTTTCGGTAGCAGCTTAAAAATGTGTTTGTTTGCTTCGTTTACAACTGTTCCAATCCTTAATGTTAATTCGGTCAATGAATCTTTTCCAATATATACGCGTTGATGTAGCTACAGTAAGATGGATGGCATCTTTACGTTTCACTATTTGAGTGTTTCGTAAGGTGGATTTTATTTTCACGAACGGTTTTTATGCTTGTTGAACCAGAAAAAGACTAAAATAAGCAATAAGACTGATAGAACTCGTCGTACATTTCACAAGATTGACCGACGATGCTATCCATTCATATATAATTTTATGTGATTTCGCCAGCGAGGCCTTTCTTTCACGTTTAAGTCCACTGTTGATGAATCAAAAGAAAAAAAATCCCAAAAATAAAAAAAGTAACAATTAGGATATCAAAAAATGGGGTTTACCTCGAATACTGCCTATGCCTGTCCATTTTTATTGGGAAAGTATAATATCCTCTATAATATGATATATTTGGTTTGATCAACCAGTTGTGAAGAGTATTGCAAGAGGACGTTTGTTTTTCTTTTTTCTATCCATTTCTCTTTCTTTTATACTTATGTTATCGCATTAGTGTGCATTTTCCTTGGCAACTCTTATTATTTCAATCAAATCAACGCAAGGCGTCATATTGTGGAGTACCCCACAATGATCAGCGCTTAAGGACAAATAACATTCCAACGTTATCATCGTAGCTTTGTTTTAACGCATTACGATCGATATGCTTATGCCAATTGTGCTTGCCACGACAATATCAGATAAACTTTTCACCACCAACCCTCCAAAATTTTCGAGCGTAAACTGCGTATTTTTTGAAAAGAAAAAAAAAAAGACTTTCTTTATTTCGAAAAGAATCGGTGGATTTAAATCGAAGCCACTAGTTTTGAAACCCCTATTTCTTCTGGCTAGTCCCATCGGTCAAAGTTTCAATAGTCTTACATAAAGAAAAGTAAAAAATCGAAGTATTACTAATAAGAAGATATTGAATAAATCGTTTTCTATCAAGGTTCTGGTGAGTTTTTAATCTTTCTCTTTATTTTTATCATCAGTCGAGTGTGGTCGTGCTTTATGCTCAATAAAGGGATTTGAAAAGAAACGAGGTATTGATTACGGAAGTTGGCTTTTTGAATCAAACTTGCTGGGGTTTTTTTGACATAGCCAATCTTTTCTAGATACTTGTCTGCAGATTCGATTTCGTCGTTACGCAAATTTTTCCTAAGTTTTCATTCTTCCTTCATTTTGTATGGAAAACAACTTCAATGCTAATGAATTCCGGTTTCTGGAATCTCAGAATTCCTTAGAGAAATCCCATCCACCTCACAATTCCTTATGTACGAATGACTTCGACGAGCAATTCTATTGGGTCAACCAGCATATGAGGCATCTTTGGACTCATTCTAACACTCCCATTTCTGCCTCTGCTACTACCTCAGCAACAGACACACCTTATGGTACTTTTCAACATTCTTTCCATCCATTGAACGGTACCATTAGCGATAATTCTATTACTAAGAATCCCGTATCTCCACATTTCAATCCTTTGCCTCCTGGCACTGGCATCCTTGAAAACCTTCCTTCATCTGAGCCTCGACCTTTGCCTAGTATAGCTTCTGCACATCATGCAAACGGCCATCCCTTGTCTACATCTATAAGTGCCGTTGATTCATTAACTTATTCGGATGACCCATCATTTGCTCCCAAAAACCTACCTGTCCCTACGGAACATTCCAATCACCATTCAATGTTCTCATGTCCTCCACCGGCAAACAATATAATAGGCGAACGATTAGAAAGCGGCAATCCAGTTCCGCAATATGATCAGCACTTAGATCAATCTTTATTGCAAGATTCAGCTCCATTATACCGTGTTTGCTCAGCGCCTGATCCACCTACTGTTTCGAGACCATCAGTACGATGTTTAAGCATCGAGAACCAGTCTTCTTCAACTGCCGATACATCTCCTGATTTTTCAAGCTTAAAAGCGCCTTCAGCTATTTCAGGTTTGGGAGCTTTTGAAAAAGTTAAAGAAAAGCTGGGTGAAGTAAAGAAAAAGCGTCAGCAAACAAAACATGCTTGTGCCAAATGTCAGCGTGATAACAAAAAATGTGATGAGTCCCGTCCTTGCGTGCGCTGTCGAAAAACACAATGTGAAGATCAGTGTATAGACATTCCTCGCAAAAAACGTCCCTTAGGAATGAAACGAGGTCCTTATAAAAAAGGAGGAAGTTCAATGGCCTCTACACGACGGTCTGACCAAGAAAATTATTCTTTAGCCCAGAAGAAAAAGACTACTAGAGTGGATGATACGCTTGAGTCGTTAACCATCAAATCTTCCCAGACAAACCCAAGCAACAACGAATCATCTCAGACAAATGTTTTACAAGACGTTCCTTTACTTGATCCTGCCGAAGAAACTGCCTGGCGAAAATCGAGAGTACGTAGCTATACAAATCCAATCGGTACTGCTGAAAATTTGCATTTTCAGTTGCCTGAAAATCTTCCACTTTACCCGAAAAATTCTCCGTCCGTCGCTGAAAGCGATTCATCCAAAATCCATCCTGTGCACCCTAAACTTCCAATGCCGACAGATTTCTCGGCCTATTCCATGCATAGTTTCCCTGATCAGTCTGTGGATTCGACAATTGGTAGAACCGATGAGTATGTGACTCATCCATGGTCAGTACATGACCCATCCGTAGTTCCACCTCATATAGCACCTCATATAGGATATGAACATCCCCCGGAAGTAAAAATGGAAGACGGGAGTGCCTCGGTAACGGATGGTCCACAAACCGGTAATGATCCATTGCATCCTTCCTACCACATGGGCTATGAAATAAGACATATTCCCGAGGCCGAACAGTATCCCAGTACCCACCCTATGTTTGATGGAATGAGCCATTTGGAACATACTGTGTCGAACGACTCGAGCTATTCACCTCATGATACGAATTTTGCTTCTCCATTAAAAATGGAAGGACAGAACGCATTACCCGAAACTCATTATCCCTTTCTTCGTGGAAGAATACACTCATTTTCGATAGCGGCTGATTCACCTCATCATTTGGTAGAGCGTCCTTGTCTTCATTGCCTCGCTGTGGCCGATAACCCTAACGAGCATGCAAACTTGGCGGATCTTCGTGAAAGACAGCAGCGCGAGTTGGAGTTTACCTCTATGTTATTGTTCCATGATCACCCTTCCTACCACGCTAGGCCCGATCTGAATTTTCACGAAGTCCTGCATCCTGAACATTTTGCATACCCGAATATCCATCACGACAATAGCGACAACTATGACTATTTACACCCACACTAATACTTTTATAATTCTGGATGCTAAATGCTCTTTAGTTTTTTGTACCTTTGCTTCTTAAAAATTTTTTTGTTTGCTTGCAAAACTGTGCTGATTATACGAGCTATCATTGATGTTGCATTCGATCATTTTGGCTTTCTATATCCGCTGCTTTTGCTACGGATAGGCTGTAAATTTGTATAAGTCATATGGTGCATTCATGGGTCATCGAATGTATTTGCATATGCTTAGAAAAGTGTATGGTTTAAAAGCATATTTATTCACTCTTTTAATTGAAACGGAAACTGTTAATTTATTTTATTATGTTCTTTTTTCCTGAATACTTATATCTCGTTATTTACATTTTTATAATTGCATTGCATGACTTGACTCCCTTGGGTTATTAAATTTAAGGTTTTTTAAAATGTGTCTTTCGTTTGGAGTTTTTGTGTTCTATTTTATTTAATGAATTTCTTTCTTAATATATACCTTGGCATTGCGATGAAAGCAATTTCATTTTCCAATACTTAAAACCTTTCCTTTTGTTAATAGATTTTGGTAAACCCTTTCTTTGACGTGGAAATGATATTTTTGTTTCTTTGGCTCTGAAAAACTCGTCGTACTATCGTAACATTATCTATTTATCTTTTTCTAATTTTCTTTCCAAATGTTTACAGCCTTTTTTCACCTCATACTTAACACCTTCTGATGCTAATTTGGTGTTTTCGTTTAGCCAACGTGCAACGTGTTTCATTAAAGATAATAAGGAGTTGCAACGATAGCTAATACACAAATCTCAACATCTAAGGAGCTTCCACCATACGGAAACCTGTCTTTCACGAAATACCAAAATGCAACTTACAGAAGAATCAAAGGTATGCTGCTCTGGATTTTTAACGTAGACATAAGGAAAGGAAGTATTTAACAAAGTAGGAGCGTCTCATCAAGGTTTTCAACGTCGGCAAAACTGTCACCCATTACGGTTGGATTCCTTTCATCCTCTGGTTAGGATACACCCAAAGCTCTCCCAAGCCTCAATTGATGCGTGTTATTAATCCTTTGGCTTAAAGCTGGAAAAGGCATTTGAAGATTTTCAATGTTTTACCTACTGAGGTACAAAAATTCAGTCATCATTTGAAAGTTTATGTAAAGCCATTTTGGTTTCAAATGAAATGTTTATCCTATTTCTCATTCTTTGATTGAACGCGACGCCTCTTGTTGCGCCGAAACGAACAATATGCTTATTCCAAATAAAACGAATCCAATCTGCTTACAAAAGCCTAAGTTAAACAAATAGCATGAATATTCATGCAAATGCACTTTATGTGTTTGCAGCCCTTGTGAAATATCTACCGCTACTTACATTAAGCGAAGTAGCTTTTAATACTTATTGAAACGAACTGGGGATGAAAGCTAACATAACAGACCCTTAGCATCGTGATCGTAATCGTAAGCGTTAAGGCTATTAGTAGTTCCTTGAGCTGTTGAACTTATTTTCACCATTAAACGAAAACTTGCTTCACCTCTACTATGACTGTACTACTACAAAAGCTTCGTAATCAAACTGAAATGGGTGTACAAAGGAACAAGCCAGTTGACAGAAATAGTACGATATAAATGACGAGTATCTAAACAACTTTAGCTTTTCTTCTATGCTCGTTTTGATCCTTTACAAAATCAATCCTTCTAGTCATCTTCTTCTATTCCCTACCCCCACATAGATTTCGTCTACTTGCTTTGGAGATGCATCCGATGTTACTCTGAGTGTAACATTTCCATACCCAAGACATTTCAGATACTTTGTATCGTAAACGCTGATTTCCTATTACTAGAGTACATATTAGGAAAATAAGTGTTTGATATCTCAGAAATACCACGATTTTCAGTTTGCTTTCGGGCGGTTTCTAATTCGGGCAATTGAATGAAGCGCTGAAAGAATTTAATAGAACGTTAGTGGATTACCAAAACGTCACATTCAAATATATTGTTCAATCAAATACAAAAGAGAAGCAAGAAAGTTACAAAGCAATTCGGCGACGCCTATCTTTTTTCGGTTTAGTTTTTGGTGTTCTTTTTGTTTTCAAGGGCTTCCCATACTTGAAAAGTATATGTATACTACATTTTCTACATAATTTATACTTAAACACAGCGTTTGGTTATGGACCAGGCGATTGCCGGCCTTTCAGCTGGCATTTGTTCAACGCTAGTCATGCATCCTTTAGACTTGGCGAAGGTTCAGATGCAGGCTTCTTCGAATCGAAAAGGTATTTCTTTGATTCATGTATTACAAAATAATATAAAGTACACAGGATCAATACGATCTCTTTATCATGGACTAGGTGTTAACATGCTCGGTTCAGCTGTCAGTTGGGGTACCTATTTTTATGTCTATGGTTTCACGAAAAGTTTATTCTTGGGAACAACATCTTCGGAACCTGTCCCAATCACCGCTATGCAGACTTTGATAAGTTCAGCGTTCGCGGGTTGTATCGTGGCTGCTTTCACGAACCCAATGTGGGTAGTAAAGTCACGGATTTTATCAAGGACCGTGAATTACAGCAATCCTTTTTATGGTGTCTATCATCTTCTGAAAAATGAGGGAGTGAGAGGCTGTTATGCTGGTTTTACACCTTCTCTTTTAGGTGTTTCACAAGGTGCCTTGCAGTTTATGGCTTACGAGAAACTCAAAATATGGCATAAAGGACAACCATCGAATTTAGATTATTTATTTATGTCTGCGGCCTCCAAAGTATTTGCTGCTATGAATATGTATCCACTCCTTGTAGTTCGCACTCGTTTGCAAGTGTTTCAACCAGGAATATCAATGCTTGAAATGTTTAAAAAAATATGGAGAGTAGAAGGCCCCTTAGCTTTTTATAAAGGATTTCAACCTCATTTATTGAGAGTTATTCCGCAAACTTGTATTACTTTCTTAGTTTATGAGCAAGTAGGTCTACATTTCAAATCTCGCGCTTCCTTATAAGTCAGAAGAGCTTATAACGAAAAAAAAAAGTATAATTTTGATAATTATTGTATAAATAAACTTCCTCTTATCTCACAAACACAAGCGTTTCATCCATGTGTATTGTTTGTTTCCTTTAAATTCATAACAAAAACCCTATTCTAATTGAGTTTGCATAACAAAATCTTCGATGCATTTCCTTTGCGCGTTGGTTACTTGTTGTAGAATATCTTTCGTCGTTTCTGGCTCTTTGGACATTAAGTTAAGCAACAAATTTCCAACTTTTTTACGGACTTCAGGTTTCTCAATCAAAACACCAAAATGTCCGATTATTGGGAGAGCCAAGTTAATATAGGAGGGTTCTATTTGTTAGCAAACCTTGAAAATTCATTCAAGTAAACAGCATACTTTTGGTCTCATCAATGTATTGATACATGCTCAGTAAGGACGGCAGAAAGCTTTCAAGATACCGGCCGCTTTGTAAAATTTCATTTTTCTGAAGCATTGCAACAGAATCAACAATAATTTTCCGACACAATGCATTCATTGTGTTATGTTTGCTGTTCGCCAACAATAACGAAGAAGTGCATTTTGTTGCTGTTTGAAAATCCTGTAACAATGTTAACGATGATATTTAAGTTAGATGAATTACCTCTGTTGTTTTTAAAAGATCGAAAAGGGACGTTACAAAGTTTTGGATTATAAGCTGCTCTCCATCTAAGAGAGGAGCTGCTATCGTGAGGACGAGCACCATGCTCAGCAGGATGATCTCCTTTTTATCTGTGCTTTCCGATTGACTATTAAATGGTTAGAAAGCGCCATTTTCCATTTGAACGTACTACTTGTTTTCTAACATAGAATAAAGATGCTCAAACAAAGTGTAGCATAAGGTTGAACAAATAGAGTTATCTTGCGTAACCATTGTACTCAGTAGTTTTCGTAGGACACCCAGAAGCTCATGCTTGGAGTATTTAAGGAGGGACGGATCATCAAGTATAACTTTAAATAGTTAGAAAAAAAAAATAATAAAAAAAGAAAAAAAAAATTTCAAGTATAGTTACCTTCGTAAACGTGTAAAGCAGTAGCAAATAGATCAACTCTTACAATGGTGGGGAAAATATTAGCAAGTTCCAAAAAGGAGTCAAAGCATAGTATAATGAAATGGCTAGATTTTTCATTTCCAGCAGAATATACGGAGTTTGATCGAAGTCCTGGCAACCTGACGGTTAAAGCTAAAATCAATATCTTAACTAAGTCAAACAATTGCTCAACTCCTTCCGAAACAGAAGGTTCTAAAGAAGTAACAGAATCACTTTCGCACACTTTTAACTTAGAATGTCCAGGGTTCACCAACGCTAATCTCTTGACAAAAAGAACGATACTGGTTTTTGTTTCCCAATCCTCCGTAAGAATAAGTCTTATGAGAAGATCAATAACCTCTGGGAAAACGTTAGTGTCATACAGTACATTTGTACATAAATCCTCAGTCAAAATAGAAGTCATGATTTTCATTATTCGTAAAACCGGTTTCTCAAATTTTTGTAAGGTGCTTGGGATAAGGAGTGACTGAAAGCAGACACTGAAAATAAAGAAATTGAACGAATGCTTGTCACTTATGTAGTTTATATTATCATGGAAAAATATATCTTCTCCTGATAACGTTAGTTCCTCTCCATTTAAAATACCATAGACAAGATCGGGATTTTCGTCCAGAAGAAGAGTCAACGCTTCAGCGATATTCAGCCATGTAGCTTCGTATATCTAGATAGTTAGTTGGGAACCGAAAACATACTTACATCTAAAAGGATTTTAGGATTTATATTTTGGGAGTGGGAAAAAGAAGTATCCGCAACAAAGTCTTTTAGTAAGCTAGGTCCAAACCGAAGACGTGAATAACCTCTCAAGGTTACCACCCAATGCGCAGCAAAACGTCTCAAATAAGGAGAAACTAGTTCTTTCAGATATTCGATTTTATGGGAGTAACCATACAAGATTGCCCAGGCTGATAACGTGGTTACTCGAAGGACGTAGATTGAATCGTTCTGAAATTGTTTATTATTTTCATTGCCATTTTCAAAAAAGCTTGTATCAAGTGCATATTTCAACATATTTACTACGCGATTCGCTTGGCTAGCTGTCGGAAGGAGACCTGTTCCAATGAAATTAGCACCTATGTTTAATGCTAGAGAAACAATTTCTGGTGCAAACTCCTCAGTTATTGCAGAAGTGAAAGCAGAGCTGATTTGCGCTTGAAATTGATCTAACAAAGGAACATCCTCAAAATCAGGGTCCTTTACTGTTTGAAAATTCTATTGTCAGTCAGTATATGCGGTAATCAATAACTTACCATAATTAAAGTATCCAAAAGTTTGAGGCCACTTTCTTTTAAAAAAAAATTATCAGATGTAGATAGAATGAAAGCTACACGTACCAAATCTGAAATTCTGGAAATCAAATAATGTGAAGCTTCCGCTTTGCTGGACATTATATCAAATATACATGTATTTAAAATCGAGGATGCAAAAAGTTGAGTTTGCCAGCGATAATTCTTATTGCCAGCTGTAGAAACAAGGGAATGGGCAAGCGACACAGTGTCCTCATCCAAGTTATGATTTGTTTCATCCCCAAAAGACCTTTCGAAGTTAAAATTTCCTTTTACACCATTTAAATATAAGAGAATATTAACCCACCAGGAAATATCGCTTTCCTTGAAATCTTTAAACCACATATGTACTATATTTCTCAAAAATTTGTTTTCGGGTGTAGCATCAATTGATTGCCAGATGAGCTTGTCCAGATGCCTTTTGTAGCAAGACTCGGAAAACGATTGATTTTGAAGTAAAATTTGATACAAAACCTCAATGGCTGAATCTCGAATCAATGGATGTTTAACATCAACAATATTTCTAAATATTACATCGATGAAAACACCAGAGTTTAAATCAAGTGGTGTGAACAGATACAAATGTTGATAACATTTATATACTCGAGTGATGTTGTTACTATCCTCTCCAGCAAAACGCAGTAGCTCTCTCGAAATGTTGTAAGCAAGATAAGAGTCATAAGAGTTACTCCTTAAAGTAGGGCCCAGCTCATTAATTAAGCAATCAAGATATTCAATAAATAAGTGGGTGGGATAGACCAAGTCGGTTTTTCTTTTCAGAAGTAACATATCTATGTCGACATCAGCTGAAATCATGTAATTAAGTAGTATTCGCATTTGGCCAGTTAAAACACTTGGTATAGTTTTCGCTATTGTTCCCAATGACACGAAAGACGCTTCTATGGAACAGTTTCTTACAGTGTCATTGGAGTCAGCATTAAACACTTTAAGTAGCTGATACGCTCTTACTAATAATGCTTGGGAAACACCAGAACCAAGCTTGGCTAACGTATGCCCGACACCCATTATTGATGTTGCTCTACAATTTGGATTTCCGGATTCCGCAGCCCGCTGTATGAGAACGTCAAGAACAAATGTCGGTTTATTATGATAAAGCAAAGCCAAAAATGAGTAAGATTCTGAAAACAGACGGATTACGGTCATATCGTCAGTACCAGAATATATATCCAATAATTCAATAACAAGTGAAACAACCTTACTTGATAAAGAAAGCTTCTTCACACAAAAGACTTTTAGAGCTCCGTGAATTGAAAATAGAACATTTGTAGAAATCGCTTTCTCCCTGGAAATATCCCTCGTATTACTTGGGTTACAGACTGAGGCAATTAAGATTTCTAATGTACTTTCCATAACCTTCGGCGGTTGATAGCAAAATATTAAAGAAAATAATATGACTGCACTATCGACTACGGCAGTGGCCAAAGGAGGAACAAATGGGAAAGAAAAATTGTCTGATTCAGAAAACAGAAAAAGCATGTCAGCTGTCGGGTCTCCTATTAAGTAAGGCATTGGTCCTACAGTGATATCATTACCATCATCGCTTTTCTTGGGGTAGTATGAAGAAAATAAACCTGGTATTACCTTTAAAGAATAGTTGCGTTGTTGGGAATCATCATCTAGATATTGGAGGTATGAAAGCTCTGCTATTATTGAAACAGTTGTTGATAATAGCTCTTGATCGTCTAATGTAACGCCATTTATGTTCGTAAGTTCCAAGAAACATTGAAACACTTTCGATAAAAGCAACGTTCGCAACTCGCTGTGAGAATAGTCAGAATAATGAATAGCTGTTTGAAGTTCTAGCTTCTTGGTAAGGACAAAAGATTTATAAAATTTCAAGCAATTCGTAAGGAATAAAATTATACGTTTACGAACATCAGGAGTTAGAAGAACCCGGTTATACTTCAAAAATGCTAGAAGGCACTGAAGAGCCTCATAGCGAGTAAATAAGTCAGCATTAGATTCCATAAAGTTTTGAGAATGAATATTAGATGATATACGAGGAAGCGCATTCTTCCACAAAATGAACAATTGCGAAAGTTGCATTCTAGTAAAAGAAGGACCGAATGAAACATACGTTGTCATCAAACGCCATCCTACTTTCAACTGAGCCTGAGCTGTGAATAAATCTAAACTGGTAGAAGACCGTATAAGATCGAGGGAAAAATTGAATAATTTAGAAAATATAAAAGATGAAACATACAACGGATTCTTTTCAGCTGCGACATAGCATGATACTAAAGCCAGAGTTAAATTATTCAAAATTCCGTTGTTTGGTTTGATCTTTGATTCCTTCGTTTTCGAACGCATTAGCTTAAGTTCATTCTCTAGCTTTCCCAAAAGTGATAGTAACGTTGGCATTATGGGACCTGGCATCACTATAAGCAAACATCGCAAACACCATGCCGCACTATTCTTCAGACTGTCATTACCCAAGCTAATACTATCAAATAGTAATCTGAGGAATTGAGTATGATGAGGAGTAATAGAACCCTTTAATTTTGCCAGAATATCGGCAATGGAAGCAAATGCGACCTGAACTAAGGTGATTGATACTTTTGTTTGGTCAGCTACGAACGGTTCCAATACTTTAGATAAAAGCAATTCAAAAGCCTGAACCTCAGAACCTTGATCCAAGAAACGCGAATTGATTACATCATGCAAAAGAAAGGTAAAATGTTGTTGCTCTAAAGCAGATAACCATTCGCTTAAGGGGGGATTTACAGTAGAATCAAGCAAAACACTTAAGATTTCAGAATAATATGTTCGAATTTTTGGAAAGTCTTGTAAAAGAAAAAAATGCTTGATTGCAAGAGTTATTACACCTCTAGGTGTCTCGGATTTTGCGTATTTATGATTGTAGAGTCCAAGGAGCATCTGCAAAACTTTACTGAATTCATCAGATTCATCAACTCTTTGTATTTTTTGAGCATTCTCAGACTCTTCGTTATTTTCATCATCAGCTGCAGAAGAACCAGACGCAGCCTTTAAAGCTTCAATCTGACGGTGCGCTTGTAACATGGTGCTAGCAGTAAAGCATTTGGCTAACATGCTTTGCAAATCCGAGTTTTCAATGGAGCATTTTTTTAATAAATAAGATTTTAACCATTCCAAATCCGAATTTCGCAAAGAAGAGTTTAAAAGTAAGATGTAAGAGCAATTTAAAGCAGAAAGAACGACGTTCAACGAAGAACTTCCCAAATTAGATTTGATAGATTTCCAAATCTCCTTCAATAATTCTTCGCTCAAATGGCTTCCAGCGTGTCGAATGTTTTCAGAAAGACCTTGAAGAGCACATACCCGAAGGCCATGAGGATAATTATTCTTGGAGTATTTGAGAAAAACCTTTACGAACGTCTCTTGCTGGTTTATCTAATTATATTGTATTAGAACAGCATATAAAGACATACACATACCGTTTGACCATACGCTTGTAAGCAATTACCAAGAACCGATAAGTTATTTCTGGTAGGTTAGCAATCAAGTGAAGAAAATGCTATTTTCATACAGAATTTCAACATTATCTTTTTTATCAATTATATTGTCAACGAATCCGACCAATACACGGTTTATCTGGTATCCTTCAACTGGCAGAGTTAGTACAGCAAACTCGTAATGATAAAAAGTCGGTCATACATCCTTTTAACAGTGCAATTACACAGTTTGATAATAAATATCGTGTAGGATAGCCTATATAACTTCCATACTGCTTGATTAAAGCATGTATTGGGTCTATGAAGCTTTGAAGAGAGCTCTCTCGAAATGTTTTGCTCAATCGTTGGAGTTCCTGTTCATAATCGAGTAATTTTATATAAATTACTTCCCTTTTATTTAAGCCTGCAACTTTTTCAAGATTTTCCAACGACAATGGTGCCGTCGACATGTGGTTTGATTAGCACAAAGTATTGGAATTGGTAAATGAGAAAGTGCTACCTACGGCATCTGAATGCAGAGATAAAAACATTCCATAGAAACAAATATTATATATTCAATGTCTAAAAGTAATTAACTTAAAACATATAAATGAAATTTCTTTAGTAGTAAGCTTATATCTCTGGGACAGACAGTATACTTAAGTACGTATATCTTGGCAGTAAAACATCAAGAATGGGAAAACAAAAATTAAAAAACCAACTTAAGATAATGGCAGGGTAGCTTTTACTGAGTATACAACTATAGTAATTAGTCAATACTTCCTAATCGTTAGTAAAGCAACAAATTCATTATTAATAATTAAAATAAACTCTTATGCCAATGTTTGAGCTCTTCCAAAGAGTATAAGCAGGGGGATTATGTTTGGTTCATATAATACAGGGTAAACTAACGATCCATTTCGGTATGTATGCTAGAGATGAGAAATAGTGCTGTCTGGATAATCATCTCTCTTCCTATCTTGTCCATAATCATTTAATTCTTCAACATTATACGCCTGTTCTTTCTTTTTGCTGCGGAATCGAAGGCCTAGTGGAATGACTAATACCAAGAAGCCAGTAAACGACATTACAACGACTGGAATATAAAAGTTAACAAATTTCTTATCTTAAAGATAGACACATACCAGCAGCTTTCCGAATCTGCTCCCATTTTTGCTTTTCATTTTCGGCTCGAAGCTTTCCCAAAGAAACAGATAACAGATTATGTAGTTCCACAATCTTTGCACTAAGCTGTTGAACATCATTCCGAGTGTCATTTTTCCTATTTTCAAATTCCATTTTACTTTCAGTGCTTAGTTTGTTAAGATGCTCATGAACAAGTTGTTCTAAACCTTCGACCTCTCGTTGGTTCGAAAATAGGCCAGCACGAAGTGTGCTAATTTGATCTTTCCTCATATTGATTTTCTCTGAACGAAGCTCTGACAAGGCAGTTCGAAATAAATAGGAACACTAAATCAAAGAATGTTAGTTGAACAAGCTACTATGGCATATTTAAATTTAATTCAACGTCTTGAACTATTCCATTTCCCTTTTACTCACATTCTCAAAGTCGGCTTCTGATAAATAGGTCATATGACTGTGTCGTAAAAGTTCAGTTATAAACATGTTAGTGACATCCAAGAAGGCCTCTGCTTCTTTTTCACTATATCCTCCTTCAACTAATGTCTTAAAAAATTTGTAAGTATTGAAATGGTAACCTTCAAGGTCTCGAAATCGTTGGTCGATATCATTCGACCTCACCAGGGAAAGGTCAGTTTTGGATGTGTTATCATTTTCCTTATTAGTAGAATAAAATCGACTACAATCGTGCCTAAACACAGTCCTTGCTCTACCTTTTCTAGGGTGTATACTCGATAGTAGCGTAATTATGGGTAGTCGATTAGGTTTTATTAGAGAGCGGTTTATTAGAGGAAAAGACAGCATTTAACGTAATAAGAACTTTCCTTTTACTTTAATTTGTTGCATAAAATAACTTCACAAACAGCATTTGGCAATCTGCGTAATTGGGGTTGTAACTTGGATACTCATCTGCAGTCATTTGAAGACAGTATGGTAAAGGACGCTTATGTGAAATCAGGATCATGTATACTATCCTTTTTATTTTCAAAATTAGTTTAATACAGTCATATAAATCTTTATTCTAATTGTAAATCGATTTTTCGCGATATTGAATATATCATTAACAGAGAGCCTAGTAGGGTGTAATATTATTCAGGAAAAGGAAAACAGGGAGTTCCAAAAACACAAAATTAAGATAATTAATTGTTGAGTAATCAAAAGGATACCGTTCAACATGAATCTAGGAGCAAAGATCTTCCATACCATGAGATGTCTCCGAAAGAAACCAGCAAAGAACACCGTACTAGCTGCGATTGATAAATAATAAAGTAGAAAAGAAGAACAAAGTAAAAGTAAGTTTTTAAAAAACGTTTGTTTTGTGGTATAAGGCTTTGCTGCAAATAAAGGAAGGGAAAAACAAGTAAGAATAGGACCTCCCAATGTATGCAAAAACATAAGTACACCATTGATAACTTGATTTTCTGCAGAACTGGAATGAATAAAGGCAAAGTTCCAATCAAGAGAAGAAATAACCGCCTGATTCCCAGTTGTAAAGAAATGTGACAATCCCAGAATACTTAATAGTACAGACGTAAACGTTACTCCTGGTGATGACTGAGAGTTTTCTAATCGCAACAAAATAAATATCTGCAACAGGCAAGAAACTAAGGATAGCTTACCAAGTGGGCGTTGCAGAAACAATAATAAGGACGAAAATAATGCGAAAATAAAGTAATATTCCTCCACGGCAATCAATGCTTCTCTGTTTTTTGACTTATTTTCTCGTTTAATATACACAGAGAACATAAAAACTTGCCAAGACAAGCAGGTAATTATGCCAATTAAGAATATATTTGCAATATAGACAAGTATGCTACCATACTTGCTTTCAAGAGAGGAATTATTAGCCAAAATATGCTGAACAACCCAAAAAAAAGAAGAAAGGAATTCAAAAAAATGTAGAATTGCTTGCTTCCTTTTCGAAAACGAAGTCTTCAAGACTGATACTACATGATTCTTTAATACATAAGGAAGGAAAAAAGAAGTTAGAGTTGAAATTGTCAACGTAATTAAACTTCGAAAGTTATTTTCCGGTGTAGAAATGTAAGTGCTAGTGCAGAAAAATTCTTGCTCCTCGCGGCAGTTCGTTATGTAAGACGTTAGAAGTTGCAGGATAATAAAAAAGATAGACCAAACGGATGAACTAAGGGCCAATGTAGCATCGGTATGCGTAAAGCTTTTACAAAGCATTAAACCACCCAAAGTTACACAAAAATAGTGAGTCAATCGATCTTCCCATATAGTGAAAGAATTAGAGCCAAAACTGCAAACATGGAGTACAGCTAATCCTAACGCTATAACGCTGTAGATGCTAGGGATAGTAAACATAAATTCAAAAGATACTTTTCTGCATAACTCGATAATAATAATTATGTTCGGAATTAGCGTGATTAATGTCATCGGAAGGTAAGTGAGTATTGACATCTTGAGCACGACGAACAGTAAAGAAAAAAGAACGATTTTCTTTAAAGTAATAATTAACACATTCGAGGCCTTCTGAGTAGCATTTTTATCGTTCATTAGTAAAGCAAGAGATAAACCGCCTATAACCAATGATACGAACCCAATAACCATAGGCGCTAGGCTGAATTCTGCCCAAATGCTTTTGAAATAATCAAAAATACGCTGAGAATCTGTAAAGCTATTTAAGAAAAGTTCCAAATAGTTGTCATCGGTCTGCACAGTAGAGTTAACAAAAGCATCATATGATGTTTCTTGTTTATCCTCATAAGCCTGAAGAAATCTATTAATCTGAGCCATATTTATTTCCATACTATCGTGCAAATATTTAGCTCCGTGAAAATAAAATGCTTCCGGTATTATAGTTCCTAAACTGCCAAATGGAATTGCATTTCCAAGCATTAAGCTTAAAGTCGGAACCAGATCAACTTGATTTACGGAACGTCTTTCTCCGAATTGCTTGAACGGCTTGAAAGCTGGCCTCTTGCTATACATCCATAGTACGGAATTGATTTCATCAAAAGAGTCACCGCCATGATTACCCTTACCGTCCATACCATGATCACCCATAACTAGTAGAAGAGTATCATCGTCAATTAAATCCATCGTCTTCTTGATACATTCATTCATCTCTTTTAACTTTTCTGTCATGGTAGGATGGTTTGGCCCTAACCGATGTCCCACATGGTCAACGCCTAAATAATGGGCGATAAGTATATCCCACGGTGCCTTTTCGATATAGTCAAATATATATCGGTTCACTTTTCGATCCACGCCATGAAGGTCCGGAACATTAAAAGAAAAAGCAGGCCTGGAATATGTATGATTTAAGTAATCATGGAATAAAGCGTTCCAAGTATCATCTCCTAATAAAACAATTTCTTTACCCAGAGATTTCCATTGATATAAAAGATTGTCTTCATCAACGTTCGTACCTGCAAAGTTTGAACCGATGTCAATAAATGTTGGAAGTGAGCCAGTAGTTAAGCCTTTAAGGCGCTGAGAAGTAGTCGTGGGTGCGTCAGCTAGGAACTGAAGTAAAACGGACTGCTCAGGATGAGAAATTGATGTTTCATATGGAGTATTCAAAGCGTTAAGATAATAAGCAGAATCATTTGAGGGTATTAAAAAATCATATCTTAGAGCGTCTATAATAATTATAACAGCTTTCGAAAACAACTTTGGAGCCCAGCATTCAGAAGTTTCTTTCCATTGAGATATATTAAGTGGTGGATTAGAACAAGAGGATGTTGAGTTTAAAACTTCTCTTCTTAATAGAAATCCATCAGTGAAAGACTTCAGTCCATATAAATTTGAAAACAGAATTAGTGCGAAAAAAACACTTGCTTTCAAAGCATCCCATGCATTCGTCAAACTTTTTTTTTAGTTAACCTAACCTTCCCTTCTTCTTGCATAAACAAATGCGTACGATTAATTCTATGATTTATCAATGCTCACAAACCGTTGTGTTTTATGAGAGGTGGTGAATGGTACAGAGATATACATTGACTTACATTTTCATCGACAATATTGCCGAAGAAATAAGGCAGATTATTGTATGCTGTAATGAATGCTAATGTTACTATTTCTAATTAGTGGAAAATAAAGACAAAATAAATCCCAGCAGTAAGAAAAAATTTAAGATCAATAGCTTTCTTTTCTATTCTAGCTATTAAGTTTTGATTAAATTAGATCATCAATTTAAAATAAATAAAGGACATTACAAAAAGTATCAGAAGTGTTGTTAGGCTTATCAAATTAAGATGTTTCCCACATGACTAGTAGCATATAAATCCTCAGATAACTGTATCTCGACAGTTAAAACTTTTCCATTAACCAAAACTAGCTGTTAAATGTTAGTAAATCCTCGTCGTATAATCTTCTTACCAAAATTTTGAATCGCTGGAATTCATCTTCATTACCTGGATACAAAGGTGCGACACTCATACCCAAGACTAAAGTATCAACGTATCCGTTTAAAGCAATGATTTGTGGAATAAAGGAATAAGCATATATAGCTTGTCCGTTGATTGTTTTTTCTGTCATGATCAACCTTAATATTGACAATTGACCGCTTTGAGTAGCGCAAACAAGACTCTGCAGTTGGGGCACGTATTCCATCATATTTATTCTGTGAAGTCCTTCAAAGCGTACTGTGGATGGATCTTCGAAGCAATTCTTGCAGCTAACAAAAGGATAGATTTGAGACTTACGAAATCCACACAAGACAACAGAATACTTAGTCGCGAAAACAAAAAGTTCCTCTGGAGGTTCTCGAACAAATGTACGAAAGCAGGATTTTAGATTGTCCTACATTTATTCATGTTAATGGGGAATTTTTCGCAATGAGTTAATCACTTACCGGAGATTCATCATGCATATGCACATAATACTCCCCTTCAAACACTGCATCATCATCATCAAAATCATCTTCGTCAGAAATAAATAATTCTAAATTTAGGGAAATGGATGGATTCCAAGGAGTTTGTCCAAATGTCCTTGCAGGTATCAACGTTTCTATTTTATCCTTCACAGTTGGTACAAAGGTGAAGGCTGATTTATCAACGAATTTAACAGACCATATCCTGATAGTTATTAATAAGATAGATATTAACATTTGCATACCAAACTTTAGTATGGAATTTGGACAAACAAGATAGCTGATTAACATCCCATAACTGTAATGACCGATCGATTGATCCACTTAATAAAAAATTCCCCTTTGAATTGAATGATACACAAGGGACTAATACTATGTTAACCAACAGCTTGGCGAGCACGACTTACTATTGTGTTCATGTCCTTTCAGTTCTAGGGATTCCTGTCGAAACCAAGGAGAACGATAGTCTCGTTTGCATTTTTTGTAATTTGTAGATAAATTGAAGCTGCATAATTTGTTAGCATTGTGGGAAGGTTTTGTTTTCGCTCTTACATATTGACAACATGTGCATTTGAGGAGATGGCCAAATACCCTTGCGATGAAGCGGCTATTCCCCAGGCAGAAGCACTTACAGCAAAAGTCATGGGACTTCTATGGAGGTTTTGAACATCGTACATTGCAACTTTTCCACAGTCCGTCGCAGTGATTAAATATTCTAAATCACCAAAAAGCTCACATCTAACATGATTGATTCCATTAGGCATTCCTGGAGAGAGATCGCCATGTTGTAATGGCGAAGGCTCATGAGCACAAGAAAGGACCATTAGAGGTTCTGGCTCACTTGTATCTCGAGAAAAAGGTAAAAGATTATAGACAAAAACATCCTCTATAGTAGTAGAGTAGTTAATAATTTTTCTTAACTAAAAATTTCCTTTGTTATTGTACCTCCGACGGCTACAAACATATAGTCTTTTAACTTGCTACATGCAATTAAGGAATGTCTGAAAAGCTGAAATGGTTTGTCTTGCAGCTTAAATAATCTATAGATTGAGAACTGGAGGCGAACGATATTAGCAAGCTTTCAACAATACTTTGCAAGTTTACATACATCTAGGCGGTTTAGAAACTCACTGACTAACATTTCTTTCTCCATTATTAATTGGAAACCTTTCTTTTAATATCTCTTCAATTCATAAAAGATACACGTTTAACCAAATGAAAAAGTAGAGGTGGTTTATGTACTAGTGGTCACTTACACACACATTACTAGTATCCCAGAAGAATCACATAAAGGTGTTTCTTCCATATTTGGAAACAAATATCTTCTTCAGATAAATGAAATGGCAGCGACTGCGACACATTGCTTATCCTTCGCCCAATTCCAGAGGCTGAGATACTTTATGGATACGTCGACTCAGGAATCAGGTCGTATTGAGTTTGAAGGGACTTTTAAAGATGATTGGGAAGATGATTTAGACTGCTATTTTGATTCAGAAGAAGAACTATTTATAACAGCGGGAAGGATATTCTACTCAAAACTTAGAGTGTTTCAGACCGTACGAAATCTGAGTAGCAAGCTTGAATGGCCAGACTTACCCTTAGTTTCTAAGAAAGAATTTATTTCTCAGTGCCGTGAAGAACTTGAATCTGGGAAAACACTTCGTAATGGGGCTTTTTATACCATCTTGTATTTATGTGCAGGAGTGTATGATTGTGTCAAAGATCCAAAGGCTCATTTTCAAAGCATAAGAGAAAATGTCGAATTACTCAGAAGATTTCGAATTTTAGAAGTCATATATTCCATCTTTACAAATTGGAACGAAAACCGTAAACCTGGCTATATGTCGGACTTGAAAGAAAAGGAATTGCTTGCTCTTTTCTTGTCTCTGATATTTTTCTTTTTAACTGTTCCCTCAGAAAATTACGTTGAATGGACTGAATCTGCTAGGTCTTTACAACCATCATTAATGTCTTCCTTAGTACAATTATTTAATGATACGGCGAATGAATATGAAATGGACCTTGATAATGTCAGTCTTTTTCCCTTAAGACAAATTACGTTCCTAATTTATAAGACTTGTATCCGTTTATGGGGGACAGAAACGGAATTCCAGGAAAAGAAAAAGTTTATTGCGAGCATGAGTAACGCAACTTCATCTATGGATAAACCAAAAACTACAGTACTTGATTATGAAGTCTTTCGTCATGAAATTGCTACGAAGTATTCCTCTTTTGCCCATCCTTTTTATTCACTGCCATTGGATCGAGAACAGACACATATTCTTCCTACACTAAACACAGATTCATTTCATAAGTCATATTTTATATGCAATAATCGTTTCTGTTCTCCGGAGAATCCTTCCCTACCGATACCAAACTCGAAGTCCAAAGTAAGTACTCGGCGCGAGCAATTTCAAACGAATCAAAACTTGCCTTTTGGGTTTACCCCTTCTATAAAAGATTCTTCATCTCCTAAAAGTATAATAGAGGCGGCGGAATTGCTGCACCGTCAAACCAAACATAATGTCGTTGTAGAGCAGCTACTTTTCGAACGAGAATACTTACGGCATTGCACACTTCAATATCTTCTTGGCACTGATTTTAATGATGCAGTTAGCTCATTGGATTTTTCACATGAAAAGCCACCAGTTAACGATCCGACTTTGAATTTTGTTTCAAAGTCATATGATGACCTATTCCTTCATTTGGATATTTTCGTGCAATTATCTATGCATTTATTTTATTATACTTCTAAGAAAGTAAACAAGCTATATATTGAAGCATTTTCTTCATCAGAGGCAGCAATGCAAATGCAAAGTATTAATGATATGGCGGTTGCTGACTCCCCTAGTGAGGAAATCAGTGAACCAGTGGTCAAGCCACTTGAAAAGGATTCGATGGATGATTTGAGCGAATTGGCTTCTGGATTTTTTGTTTCAGGTACTATTTCGTACTTTGTTGATACGTGTGAACTTATCCTGTATTCTCTGTCGGGCCTTTTCTTAATGATGCTCAAATGGTTTCGTTTATCTCATGTGTTACGATCAGAGAGATTTGCGAAATTACTGTACGATAACCACTTTTTAGAAATTCTCAGTCGCTATTTATCAGATAAAGAGTCTTCCAATCACGCCGAACGTGATATGAAATGCCTTCGAGGTGGCTTTTTTTCTTTTACGGCGAAATCTTATAAGCAATTTCCGAATAGTCCTTATATTTACTCCAAGGGTCCCTCTTCGAGAAATACGTTAATTACTTTAAATTGCCTTCGTGTGATGGGAAAGGTTTGTAAATATCATATTAACAGAAAAGAGTTGCTTGTGAAGATTGATATGCAGAAGCATTTAAAAAAACTGCTAGAAATCCCTCATGAGATACTTAAGGTGTATACGCTGAAGGTTTTAAAATTACATATACCGTATCTAGGTATAAAATGGAAACAGGCGAACATGAATATTATCACAGATATATACTTACATTGTCCTCTTAATCTAAGAGATAGTTGGATCTTTCAAGAAAACAATTTGGAAACGCAACGCTCATCAGATCTTCAAGACACCTTTTTGTGCATTTTGATTCGATTTTATCATAAGAGATTATATGGACAGAATTGCAAAAAGCTGTATGACCTAAATTTGCTTGAGGAAATCCGTTTGAAGCAAGCCATAGAAGAATTAGTTGAATCTCATATGATGGATTATCTGCCAGATGCTATGTGGACCTATACAAGTAGCCATGAGTCTCCCGATTTTTTCGATAATGAACTTTCATCTGTTCTTGTACAAAATGTGTCTTCGTTTTTCTAATCTTTACTTTACCAGTTCATTTATTATTATCTTTTTTACTATGAATAATAATCCTACGAGGAAATGAATTTATGTCAGTTTGTATATATTTAATCACTCTCTTTGCTTTCACAGTTCAAAGACTTCTTTCACAGTCCAATATTCCAAGATGTCTTGTATGAACCTTTTTGAACGGAAATCTGGATGCCTATTTCTATTGTAAACTTAGCTAATTGTTTACAAATGGGGAATAGTGACATGTAACGAGAACCGGTATAATCTAAAATTATCAGATCATTTTTGCTTCTGTTAATAATTTATATACTTTCATGTATCTGAGCTCAACCAACACTAAACTGTACACACGAAGGTTTATATAAATTAGGTAGAAACGCTGGATTATAATCGAGAATAACAATTTTTCGATTCTTTTATCTAATAATTGCTCTTGCAAATAAATATAAGTATTTGCTGGGTATTAAAATAACATCCCAAAGAGTTATTTGCCCCTAAGCGTAATTTGTGTGAGAAACAAGACTATCTGACGTTACGTTCTTTTATAAACTAGGCAAATGGATGTTGTTTTAGAATTGGCAGACAACTATGTCTTTGACTCATTGTACGGCAAAGTTGTCGATGCATTTCACGTGTCCCCCATGATGGGAGCTTCGAGTGTGAACACGACTGCCCCTATATTTACTACTTCTGTTAGTGCCTCCTCTTCAATCGCGTCTGCTTTACTCGATCGCAATAACTTGTTTCGACAAGGCCTTAGTTTGTTTTTCATCACATGGATCATGGGAACTTTAACGTATTTTGTCTCTGCATCTATAGCTTATTTTTTTTATTTTGATCGCGAAGAAGCCCGTCAGCATCCCAAGTTTTTAAAGAACCAAGAGTTTTTGGAGTTGAAGGTTGCTTTGATGAATCTTCCTGGTATGGCCTTATTAACGTTTCCGTGGTTTTTGGCTGAACTCCGTGGGTATTCTTATGCTTACGATAATCCATCTGAGTATGGATACTTTTATTTGGGCTTTTCTGTTGTCCTATTTCTTCTCTTTTCTGATTTCTTTATTTACTGGATTCATCGTGGTCTTCATCACCGTTGGTTTTATGCTCCTTTACATAAATTACACCACAAGTGGATTATCCCTACTCCATATTCTTCTCATGCCTTTAACTTTCTTGATGGTTATAGTCAATCTTTACCTTACCATTTGTTTCCCTTCTTTTTCCCCTTAAACAAATACCTTTACTTACTTTTATTTGGATCTGTCAATTACTGGACTGTCCTTATCCATGATGGAAAATATTTTTCAAATAATGCCGTAATTAACGGTGCTGCCCATCATGCTTCTCATCACATGTATTTCAATTACAATTATGGTCAATTCTTCACCTTGTTCGATCGTCTCTGCAGCTCTTACCGTCACCCCGATCAAGAATTATTTGATGCCGAACTCAAGAGGGATCAGAAGCTGCAAAAAGAACGAGTTGGTGAAATGGAGTTTATGTTGAAATCCGTTGAAGGGGAAGACGATCGCACGTATTCTGGCAAAAAAAATGTTTGAAAGTTGTGTTTTTAGTTTTGTCAGATTCTTTTGGTTTATGTTAATGAAGTTTTTTCCCTTGCCCCTATCTCTTCTCTCTCTCTTCTCTCTCTTCTCTCTCTCCCTCTCTCCCTCTCTTCCTCTTAAAGCAGGCTAACAAGTTTATTAATAAGTATTGACTAGATAAAAATCTAGTCAAAGTTGCTAGACAAGAACTTCCTAATTAAAATTTCTTGATCAATTAGTAACTTTTTTATGGTAGGTAAGATAGTTTGAGAAAGTATCAATAATAATTTACAAATTGTTCTGTACACGTCTCAAGTTTCTCGTCAAAAATACCTGTCCCTGAAGTGTACGAGTATTATGTTTTATTTGTGTCCAACTGTTAGCTCTCAACCTGTCGAGGTTTAGTGAATGAGAATGGCAATCACGAATGCCAAAAGGACGATTTCGAACAACTAATACTTTGGTTTCAGAAACATCTAGGTCGGGAAGGTTTACAGATTCCAGTGGTTCTTTGAAAAAGCTATCCAAAGTGGAATTGAATAAGTCCAAATTAGAAAATAAAGGCGTTTTTTGAAAGGTAGTATCAAATGCAAATTCGATGGCCTTAGCTTGATCAACTGGTATTAAATTAAACATAGAACAGTACAAAATAAACCTTTTTCTGTTTATTTAAAATTTAACCAAATATTATAGCACGAGCACTATAAAAAACAATAAAGGGATAGTAAAAGGTAATAAAGAGAAGCTTCAGTAAGAAAGCTGTATTTTTCAATCTTAACAAATGATGAAGAAAAACGCTGTATTACACAAAATAAATTAAAAGCTTTCGTAAGGTGAAAACGAATGTTTCGTCTTTAGAAAATATATTTTTTTTCAGTACTCAAAATTAATAAAGTCTGTAGAATTAAATATAATGTTCTTGTTCATTTGTGCGGTACTACTAAGTATTTCAATAGGATTGAATACGTGAAGCATGCGTTGAACCACCAACAATCTGTCACTGATTCAGATATCTCGTATTTCTTGAATAAAATCTTCCTTTATGAATAAATAATGGGACTTTTGATACAATGGTCCTTTACGCAAGGATTCATATTAGGGCAACTGTTAACGGTTTCAGTTATTTACGTGTTTCTTAGGTTTTTTTTGTTTTGTAATCCACCACCACAAGACCTAGCCAAGGATGAAGAGAAGATTGAAGCAATTAAATCTCAACAAACTATTTCTTCTCCTAGTTCTTCTGCTGGCACTGCCAATGCTAGTGATAACGCTAGACATTATTTTCAAGATGCCCATTCAACTTTGAAATCGGAGTTTTTAGATTCTCTTTATAATGTCAACGAACACGAACCTGAATCATTAGACTGGTTCAATGTCTTAATTGCCCAAGCTTTAACTCAATTTCGGCATGATGCAAGCTCGAACAATGTGGCCTTAAGAAAATTAGAAGCAGTTTTGAATAAAGGTACCCAAGACAGAACAATGGTTGATCACATCTATGTGAAAAACCTTTCACTGGGTAGAGGATTCCCTGTCTTCAGTCATTGTAGGGTTCTTCGTCGAGAGCAGGGCTCTTCTCAGCTACGAGCGGAAATGCTAGTTTCTCTGAAGGATAATCTCACATGCACAGTTGAAACGAAGCTGCTACTAAATTTTCCAAAACCTTCATTTGCGACACTTCCTCTGTCGATAACTATCAGTATGCGAAGATTTGTCGGGAAGGTATGTCCTACTTTTTGTACAATATTTCAAAAATTAACCAATCGATTTCATTTATCTTGTATTTATGGTCTGTTTATGGTTTGCTAATACACCATATTTTAGATGATGATTCATTTTTCTCCAAGCAACGGAGCAGATCAACCAGCTTACTTTAACTTCTCGTTTGACCCTGATTTTGTAATCTCTTTAGAAGTCAATTCCCTTATAGGAGCACGATCAAAACTACAGGATATCCCAAAAATTACTCAATTAATTGACTCTCGTGTCCGTCAGTGGTTTATTGCTCGTTGTGTTTCCCCTCAATTTCAACAGTAAGTATATTATTTATTTATGTACTTTATTAACCAAAAAATTACAGAATCGCTATACCCAACCTTTGGCCCACTTCTGCAAAAGAAGGGCATGCACGCTCACAAACGACGAATTCAGATGTACACTGCAATATGTAAAGAATGCAAATCCAACAAAATCCTTAAGTGTTTCATTCTATTTCTGTCGTCTTGACAGAAAAGGTGGATATTTGCGACCGGGTATCCATCCATTATTTTCGTATTTGAGCCACCACCGATTGCACTCAAAAATTACTCCTTCCATATTCATTCTCTTTATGATCCTTGCAACATTTCTCGAATCGTCTATGCCACAATGTTGGTTTCCTTCAAATCGAAGATTCCATCGTTGCAGCATTCTTTCAATATTTCTTCTTGGAACACGGTATACATCTGAAAAATAGGCTCGGACGTCGACGAAATGACCTTTCATCCAGTCTGGGATGTGTGTATCACTATATTTGAACTGTAATGTTAGCTGGGATAACTTTTCAAAGAGAAGGAAATTTTTATAAATCATAGTCATGTTAATTAAACAAATGAAGATGAATACCTGCTTTGCAAGGAATGATGCCATATCCCATGGGCCATCACATGCCCAAGCCCAATTTTTTGGCTGACTCCTAGGAATTGCTCGTGAGGGTTTGAGGATTTTTATTTCATCAATTGGTGGTTGAAGAATAGCTCTATGTTGCCTTAAAAAATCTGTTAAATTTTCGAGTACTTGTAGGAATGACGGTGCTTTGTCAATAACTGACTGTTGTATCCCAGTTAATGACTTGCAATAGTCAGATAATGTAGGATTCGAATTTGGTTGAACATAAGAATGAAATTCGTCGATAATCTCATTTGTCTCCAAATCGTAAAGTAGACAGGGAAATTCTATTATTTCATTATCGAAAGTAAATCCACATCCTTCCTCACATGTTGCTTCTACATCGACTATTAATAAATATCGACTACAATGGAAATTATCGTGTTAGTTAATTGTAAATTTCTGTGAAACACAACAAGATGAACTTATACATACAGAGGAGTTCTGTCTTTGTTGTCTAAAGAATAAAGATTCCATTGCTCTTGCTTTTTCTTTTCTTGTAAACGCTGTTCCCGAAACTTATATCTTCGACGCAACTTGTCCCTATTTTTGTAAGTGACTATGTCTCAAAGAAATACTAGTACAGAACAAAATTTATTTTTTCTATTACATACTTGCTTCCTGTAGAATTCAGATTAAGCTCTTCCAGTGCTAATCTAAGCTCTTCCACTGTTGATGGTGACTTTTTACTCATGGTATGGTCTAGTTGACATTCTGATAATAGCTCTTCACATTCGTTTGAACGTATTGCGAAATTACCTATAGAACTTATAATTTGGATTTTCTCATAAAATATAAGAATTAAAGGGGTTTTAAGATAATTTATTAAAGCTTTTTTGTCTATAAAGTCGTTGTATGAGAAGAAGTATTGGCGAAAGAATATCGGGTACTGGGTTAAATGGAAGATTTTTCTACATTAAAGCAACCTACAGGAACTTGGGAAGCTTCCGAAGAAGCGACTGATACTCCAAGTTTACTTGTAGTAATATTGGATGCAAATCCAGCTTCTTGGTACTCTCTTTCTAAGCGTATACCGGTTGCAAAAGTGTTGGCAGATATAAATGTCTTTTTAAACGCACATTTAGCTTTTCATCATGATAATCGAGTTGCTGTTTTAGCCTCTCAATATAACAAGGTTGAGTATCTTTACCCAAAACCAGAGACTGAAGAGACTGTGCCTTTGCTAGATCCTACAAAAGAAGCAAATACTTACAGAAAGTTTCGAGAGGTTGATGATTTTGTTCTTGGCGGCATGAGGAGGTTGATGAATTCCACGTCAAGCATTTCCAAAAAAACATTGATGTCTGGTGCGCTGTCCCGTGCCCTGGCCTATATAAACCAAGCCCAAAGTCAAAAATATATCCGATCTAGGATAGTTATCTTTTCATTGACTGGTGATGTGGCACTTCAATACATTCCGACGATGAACTGTATTTTCTGTGCCCAAAAGAAGAATATTCCAATTAGCATATGTAACATAGCAGGAGGAACGCTCTTCCTTGAGCAAGCTGCTGATGCTACAGGAGGTATTTATTTGAAAGTCGATAACCCCAAAGGCTTACTGCAGCATCTAATGATGACCTTATTTCCGGATCAAAATCTTCGAAAACATCTTAATACGCCAAATCAAGCGAACGTTGATTTTCGAGCTACTTGCTTTTGTCATAAAAATGTTTTGGATATTGGCTTTGTCTGCTCTGTATGCTTGTCTAGTAAGTACAAGTGTTCTGTAGCATCAAAAAGCTAACAATTATCTAGTCTATTGCGAACCAAGAGATTTCTGCTCGACCTGTCAAACAAAGTTCACCTCTAGCACGATATCTAAACGGAAATTTTCGTAGTTTACTTTCATCAACATATTCATGACGGGTTAATGAACCAATTTTTTTGAGAATTAACGAGGCATCAATAAAACTTCCACGACCTTTGGTAAGCTAATTTAATATTAATGTATAAACAGTCTGCATGTTAACTCATAGGAAGAAGGGCGGCTCTGACATTCCTTGATGAGATTAAACATTGAAGGTAAAATGCTGTACAAATCTAAGAACTTCAAATTACAAATAAGATGAAAATCGTTTAGTGAAAACAATACAATAGCTTTGCAGGACATTGCACTCTCATGAATGCTATATAAGTTTTTTTTAAATATTTTGAATTTAGCTTACGACTCCATCTTTAAGAATGCATATTGTTCATTCAAGCTTTTTATTTTCCTGCCAAACTTCAGCTATTTCTACATATTGATCGCAAATAGCTTTTGGTTAGTACAGTTACCATTATAAGGATAACCACTTTTATTTCTACCACCAAATTACAGAGAATTTAATTGATACTTTAGTTATTGTTCAATTTTGGGTTAGCTTTTGGAAAAATATGGATATCTGATGAAAATTGCATAATGTTTCTGAAAACTTTCATACATATATCAAGGAGAAGGTTTAGTACAAATTTTGTGACAAACCAAGGACATGTCGTGGTAATTGGAGGAGGCCACGCAGGAGTGGAAGCTGCTGCTGCCTCTGCACGGCTTGGAGCGCCTACAGTTCTTTTGACAAGGTCATACAATGATATTGGGCAAATGAGTTGTAATCCAGCTTTCGGGGGAATTGGAAAGGGCACGTTGATGCGTGAAATTGATGCTCTTGGAGGTGTCGTTAGCTCTGTTTGTGATGATTCTGCTATTCAATTCCATGTGCTAAATCGATCAAAGGGTCCAGCGGTCTGGAGTCCGAGGGCACAAATGGATCGTTCAACTTTTAAAGCAAATATGCAGAAGAGGATGAATAATTATCGGAATAATCTACAAATCGTAGAAGGTAGTGCTGTTGATATCAATACAAAGGCAGACGCTTCTGGTAAATTATCCTGTTCTTCTGTCAAACTTGCTGATGGTACTGAAATCATAGCGAACAGCATTGTTATAACAACTGGTACATTTTTAGGTGCCAATATCAATGTTGGAAGTAAGCAAACTCCGGCAGGAAGGCTTGGAGAATCACCTTCCTTTCCTCTTAGTGATTGTCTACGACGTCTAGGATTTCAGATGGGACGCTTGAAAACAGGAACACCTCCACGTATTCATCCGAAAACAGTCGACGTTACAAATCTCACAGAGCAACTGGGTGATGAAGTACCTGAAGCATTCAGTTTTCGTAACCTGAATGATGACTTTGTCCCAAAATTACCGCAGCGCTCATGTTATAAAACGTATACAACGGAACAAACACACGCGTTAATCAGTGACAATATTTTATTAGCTCCTCATATGCTTGCACATGACATTCATTCCCCTCGTTATTGTCCTTCTTTAGAAGCTAAGGTAATTCGCTTCCCCGAAAAACAAAGGCATATAGTATGGTTAGAACCAGAAGGCTTAAGCCCTGACTCTTTTTGGTATCCAAACGGGTTAAGTAATTCAATGCCTGAAGATGTGCAAAAAATAATAATTAGAACAGTACCAGGACTTGAAAACGCTGAACTAGTTCGCCCGGCCTATGGCGTAATGTATGATTTTATTGATCCTCGACAACTCTATCCTACGTTGGAAACACAAAAAATCCGTAAGCTTTTTACAGCAGGCCAAATTAATGGCACTACTGGGTATGAAGAGGCTGCCGCCCAAGGTATCGTAGCTGGCATAAATGCTGGTTTGGCTGCTCTGAATAAAGACCCTATCACAATACCTAGAAATGCTGCATTACTAGGAGTAATGATTGATGACTTAGTAACCAAAGGTGTAAAAGAGCCCTATCGCGTTTTTACCTCTAGAAGTGAATATCGACTTACAACAAGAGCTGATAATGCCGATTTAAGGCTGATGCCCCTGACAAAATCTCTTGATTTAGTTGATGATAGTAGACAGTGGGATAACTATTTGACTATTAAGAGCTTGATGGATAGAGTAATCAATGATTTGAAGTCCTATAGTTTAAGCTCTCAACAGTGGGCCAAACTGGGAGTTTCAGTGCCCCATGATGGAAAGTATCGAAGCGCATGGCAATTACTAACATTTACCAATTTAAATCCAATGGATATTGTGCTTAAGCTTCCTTCAACTAAAGAAATCCCTCGAAGGATACTCGAAAGAGTAATTGTTGAAGGAAAATATGCATTTTATATTGGTCGACAGGCATCACAAAACAAGTTGCTTTACTATCGAGATGAATCAACAGTTATTCCTTCAGATTTTGACTTTGAAAAGTAAGTTTTTTTTTGTTATTCATTATACTAACAAGTAAACTAGACTTCAATCTATATCTGCAGAAGAACTAACGTTACTAAAAACAATTCGTCCTGTTACAATTGGACAACTAAAACGTATTCAAGGTATTAAACCAAGTACTGTTATTTATATGTTTCGACACGCCAGTCATATTCCTAAGAAAGAAACATGGATGCAAGAAGTTTTTAAGCCTATGTATGATTTTCATTCTTAAATTCTCATTTACTTTGGTTAATACATCTACATTCTACTCATCAGTTGCATTTCTATATGCACACTTGATTAAATCGAGATGGATAAATAAAAAATAAAGCACAAAATTTTATTACCTTAAATACTTTTCCTTGAACAAATACCCATCAAAGATTTTCTATTTCATGTAAAGAGTTTTAAATAACATAGCCATACGACTGTAGAACGCTTTGTCCATCACCAGGCAAATGCATGCTTATGATTTGGGACATTCGATTTGCGTAACGTTTGTTAGCGCCATTCATCTCTGTAGCAGCAAACTGCTTAAGATCAGTGATTTGAGGGAATGGGTCCAGGCGTTTACCACCACTGGTAGCCAATCTTGAAAATGAAGCCTGGAACATTACAGAATCAGCGTCAATTTCGTCTACCATAAGATCTTCGTCAGCCTCGGTTTGAGTTTGTTCAATTGGAAGCTCGAACAACTTCAATAACGCTGATAAAATAGGAATGAATAAGCGTTCGTACGGAGAGTTATCGGACAACAAGAGATCACTAGTGAGCAAGCGCACCATACCAATTGCAGTGATCTTCCTATCCAAAGGAAGAGATAGCTTTTGGGTCTGAGGTAAAATAATCGAAGACATAAGTTGTCCAAACACTCCGGTTTGCACAGAATCTACGCCGTGAATCAAATTGTCTGGTCCGCAGGAACCTGTAGTAGAAGCGGCCAAGAAAAAGAAGAACACAGTGCAACGCAATGAAAAGCGTTCGGTACGTGAGTTTTTAAGACGACTCAGCAACAAGAAAAAGATATGATTTATATAGGGAGCAAGGATATTAGCATCGAAAACAGAAAACACACGATCTAATAAGTCGAAACCAAAATGGTCATTTATTTTAGAAGAAATTAGCTTCCTATATATTCCCAAAACCGGTTCCACAAAGTTATTTGAGATAAAAATTTGGGGGCCACGAGTGATCATTGCTTGCAGAAGTCTCACCAAAGCAGGAATGTTTCCTTTAGAATCCCAGAGAGCTGGAGATAAACAAGGTTGAATCATGTTTACCACAAAGTCAGGCAATGGTTCATTTCCACTTGCTTCGATCAGTTGAGACAAGAGTTGTAAAACGTAAGGAATAAATTCAGTGACATCCATAATTAAGACACTCTGAAAAGCAGGAAGCAAAGCAGCTTCTAACTGAGCAACGGTTTGTGGTCCTGACTTTGATAAACTTCGAATAAACGCACCAATTGACTCGAACAAGTAATGATTAAATTTTGGATTAGAAGGGTTTTTGCATACTTCATTTGTAACCTTAGTTAGATGAGTTAGAGCAAGCTCGGCAAATGGTACAATGCGCTCTTGAGACATGATAATAATTCGCATAATAGCTTTCATCAAATAGTCATTTTCAGAAAGCTTTTGTGGAGTAGTACCACTTTCGATAATGAAAAATAACTGCGTCAATACCGGTTGGATAATGGGTTCTATAAGAAGACTAGTAAAAATGTGTACGTGGTTATGGCGGACCGTAAGCAATAAATCGATGGCAATCGAAGCATAGGTGTAAACAACAAAATTTGGTAGCTTTAAGAAATCGGAAATAATAGGTAAGATGTCGATAAGTTGCTGAGATTGTAATTGGTTTCTAAAAGTAAATATGAACTTGATATCTTCAGCCAGCACCATAGGATGAACGCTACCAATAGGTTGAAGTAAATCAGGTTTGATATTGCTTTCAAAAAAGCTTACAACGTCAACCATGAGATTTGTTGAAGTAACTCCCAATCTGGAGGATTGACCTTTAATTGCGATGGCCGCAAATAGCTGTAAGGCAGCATACTTTTTGTTCCATTCTAAGGCTGGATTTAAAGAGGATTGCTGAAGACTAGCATTTATATGAGTAGTAATAACTGTGGTAATCAACTGATCGAAGTGATCTAATAATCCTCGAACCAGCACAATTGCAGAGCGAGACCGAGAATCACTATTTGACCCTTCCAAATCACGACGGACATACTCAAGAGGATCATCCTCAAAGAGCTCTTCATCAGATTCACGGAGGCAAATATTTGGAAGAATGACGAGTTCGATGAATTGTTGGAGAACAGGTTCTTGTCGGAAGAATTCTGCATGTCTACGAATTCGGATAACTGAAGTTAAGAACGCCATGGCTTTTCCTACCAAAACGTCGTATTTCTCCTCTTGGGTTAAGTTCGTGAGAAGCGTCCAAGTCATATTTACAAAATCGGTTAGATTGGTAAACACTTCTTCGTATCGCAGGGTATAAAGCTCAGCAATCTCGCAAATGCTGGCCTTTACTTTAATTAAAGTATTGTTATCCTCATCCTCCAAAGCAGGATTAGAATAGGTAAAGTAATTAAGAAATGTTGTCATGAATTCGGTAATGTGATCTTCAAAAAACTCAGGAATATCCTGGCAATTCAAATCATAAAAGAGCTTACATTCAAGCAAAATAACCTGAAATAAAATGTTAAGAGAAGCGACATCTTGGGGTCCATTTGTCAAGAGAGCATTTGTTTGCTTGAAAAGAGCAAGGAAAGGTTCACAAAAACGATCCAACACATATTTAATTTCTAAAAACAAAGCATCGCTTCGAAATAGAGGGCGCCAACGCTTAAATATCGCATGAGCAGTAGAGAGAACCGAAATATTTACACTCATGTCTACTGGGGAAAGTCGAGAAATCAAATCAGGCAAAAGAGAGTCCCAACGATCAGGAAAGTCGAAATTGGCAATGTAGCCGACAACTTCTCCTAATTGTACTTGAATATTCGGAGGACTCTTGAGCATAAGGTTGATGATTTCGCGCTTGACGAGTTCGGCTACTCCGTCGTTAATACGAACAGTAGCATCCTCTTCAGCATCCCAGTATCTTTTAATATAGTTTTTAAAATATAACGAAGCAGCAAGCTTTATGCTTGGATCGGCTGTTTCATCGGCAACAATGCTTAATACCTGAAGAGCAAAGTTTCCATCTTGAACTTCCCATGTTTTCAAAGCTTCCTCAGCTGAAATCAACGTCAGTAAATTTGCAATATACTTTTTTACTTACCAGTCCTAGATGTAGCAGGATTTAAAGTACCTGCAAGAAGAGCTGGAATCCCGTCCATGATATACGTGAAAGGGTTGTTGTGGTTGAAGGTAGGATGAAGAGCATGGAAGTTTTATAGGGGATGTCAATAGTAAATCAGTTTTGATGGGATATTAAGCTGTTTTCTTTTTTTCATTGGCATTACTTTCTTTGAATATGATCGGGATGAAAGAAATCCAGGTGTCAATGTACTAAGGAAAAAAAAAAAATTGGTTTCTTATGCCACAGGCTACTTTTACCTCGATGGATTCAGCTCGTATATGGGCTTATATTTTATTACGATAACTATTAAACCGTACATAAAAGGATGGGAAAGCGATGCAATGGATGAACATCACAAAACAGAAAGAGCATGGTATCCTTTTAAATCTTTTGAAATCCGACTTTACATTAGTGAATACCAAAAAGAATACGCATAATATGAACTTTTATTTTCCCTAGCCATGAACGTTCCTGTATGAACTAAGAAATGAAAAAAAAAAAAAAAAAAAAAAAAAAAACCTATTTGTTTACGCCAGCAATAGACCGTAATAGACAGATTCTTTATGCCTACGTCAATGAAATAAATATAAATATAACATTTTTGAAATATTTAGCATTGCTCAAAGTTCTATTCCTTTTACCTGGCAATTATTTTGTAAAAGCTCTTGTTCTCTTTTGTTTACCAAAAAAAATCTCTGGTATTATCGACAGTACTCTAGTTTCAAGCGTTTCAATCAATTTTTTTTGATTATTTATATTGTTAGACTTATTATGTAGTTTTTATCTCTGAGCATATATAATTTTTTTTTTTTTTTGCTTAGCCGTAGCATTTTACATTATAACATGATGAAGTATGTGGTTTTAAGTCCTAGAAAAAAGCTGAATAAAAAAAAAATAATAGATATGGCATGAAATGTGAATCATTGAACTTTTACTTGAAACAATACGCTAGTGCAATTTATTTATTTATTTAGTAAACAACAAAAAAGAACTGTTTACTCTCTTATTTTACAAAGTGCGTTAATAGCGATAAACCATTGTGAACGTTTACGCAAAGTAGATTAGTGGGAAATAGTGTCGCCCTTTATTTATTTACAACCCAGTATCCAACAGAAAACCACATAAATTTAAGTGGTGGATTTATTACGAAAAAGACGTCTTGTTTTAACATTATAAGAGGACGTTCAAGTATGAAGTAGAATGTTTGACAGAGAGTATGCTCAAAAAATGAACTTTGGTGGTCCTGACTCGAAAACAACTGAAGCATCAGACCTGAGTGGACAAGGCAACAGTGGCCAATTTCCTCCCTATTCCTCTAATGGTTACCCATACTCCTCGTCGTTGAATACATCTATGGAAGAAAATCTAGGATATCCTGAGATGATGTCCCAATCGCGTCCTTCAGCGACAATTCAAGGATTTCCATATGGCCCTTCAGGTACATATGAAGGAGTATCTTCGACGCCCTCAGTTTACATGGAAGAATCCAACAAGCTTACTCCTGCTTTTATGGCTTCTGCTAGTATGCAGCATGCGTCGCCGCCAATGCCACCTGCTGCTGCTTCATCTATTCAGCAGCAGCAGCAGCAGCAACAGCAGCAACAGCAACAGCAACAATTTCTACAGAGGCAACTTTATCTGAAAAACCAATTGGAAACAGCGAATAATTTATTTGAGCCTTCTTCCAGAAACCAGCCAGAATTCTCGCCAAACACACTTCCTAACCAAAACATGGCTACCTCATCTTCTATTTCTCCTCCGATGGCGCCTGGTATGTCTGCTAATCCAAATTCTTCAATAAAAGATAAAAACACGAATTTTACAGACATTGCAGATAATTACAACAAATTTATGGTTAGTTTGTTAAGTTTTATGGCGAAGCGTGGGACTCCAATGACGAGTTATCCGACAATTGATGGCAACCCCATTAATCTCATGATGCTTTATGCCCTGGTTATGCGCGCTGGAGGCTCAAGGCGAGTCACCAATTTGAAATTATGGCCAAAGGTTGCGGCTTCTCTTGGGTTCACTTATCCGAAAGCAGTTCCCGTTTTGTTTCAAAATTACAACAATTATCTTTTTCCGTATGAAGAAGCGTGGACTCGAGCTCATCAGCAAAAGCTTCGGCTAGAAAATCGAATTCCAGCCGAGAACCAAACTCCTTATTCGGAAGACCCAAGGATGCCTACTTCAAGGCAATCCTTACCCAATACGGCCTCCCACGCACAAATACCAAGTTCTAAAAATGAAACGACGTCTCTGAATATACCTCCTCACGTAGTTGCTAACAACAAACAGCCAACCCCTCCTACCGCAGTATCTCAAAAGAGCGACTCTATCCCACCTATCCCTCCTATTCATGAAAAAAACAAACCTTCCTTTGCTTCCACAGTTCCCTCATCCTTCCCATCCGCCTCTAACCAACCTCCTCCTGCCGAAGCTAGCGTTGAAACCCGTGTTTACAATCCCATAAAAAAAGGCCTGGTAGGATCAACCGCTGGGTTCCCCTTGCATCTTTCTACTACTCATCGTATCGATGAGTCTTTAATGCGCTTGAAAATACCTAGTATCTCAGACCTAGGCTGCATCAACATCCATGCTCTCTGTATGAGTCTGTTATCTACGCTTCCTAGTGAAATTACTTACGCCCTCAATGTTTTGCTTCTTTTGGCTAATGACAAACAAGAAGTGGTGCATTTAGGTAAATGCGAGGAACTGATTGATGCATTAGTAGACGTTGGATGGAGCTGCCTAGATGTATTAATTGAAAGACTTGCATCCGAATCGAACCAAAGCAATTACAAGCAGAGACCGTCATATCGATGTCTACTGCTGGAATGTATACAGGAGAATAACCTTGAAAAAATTCGGCAAGATTGCAAATCTGAAGCTTATCTCTCTAAGGAAGGAAAAAGCTTTAATTTAGCGGAGCAACATTTGCTTGCTGTATGTATAATATTTCGTAACATATCTCTTGCTGACGAAAACTTAATGATCGCCTCTCAAGGATCTGATTTTTTTGAATTCTTAATGCGATTAATTCGGTTACTGAATCGCGGCGAGCCTTATTTACTTGAATCTAAGCGTGCCATGCTGGATCTGCATAAAGATGTTTTACTACTTCTTTCGCAGGTATCGCATAACATCGTATTACCAAACATGGAATCTGCATTGCAATTATTATATTTTATTTTGGTGTTTTCTCCTATAACGAAGGGAAATAAGAAGCGAGGGGTTTTTGAAATGAAAGATCCACAAAATGTCCTCCCTATTGATGTTCCTAATTATACCCCTTTCACACACCCATATGCTGGGCCCTCTATAACTGTATATGCTAAATTATTAGCCCGGGAAGCCGTTAACAAGATATACTTCCAGACGGTCTTTGACCAAAATCCTGCCCTTCTAAATTCGACATTTCTCTTCCTTGCCTCCGTTATTCCAAAATTCAATAGACAGTGCCTTAAACTTTGCGAAAAGCGCTTACCTTTATTGCACCATGCATTTTTGTGCTTAGAAAATACTGTATCATTTATACGAGAACCGTCTCAGGCTATATTGTGGTGCAACATTGGTGATGGTTTTTTTGCTTCTCTCATTCGTTTGTTAATTCTACTATCCGGTCATCCATCTCTTAATCCCGTTTTTCCTCCCGATGTTCCTACCCGAACCAATGCGAATCCCTTCCGTTATATCATTCAGAGTGGGCTAATCTGTGCAAAGAAGCTCTTTAGTTTAGCACGCTTGATAGATTTCCCTATTACGTCTTTTCCAAAGAACGAAACAATTCTAGCGATCCTTCTTGCTCCTACAACCGACCGAACGTTTTTGAATGATCTATCAACTATATTGGACAAAGACCTTGAGGAACAACTATCATGTAATAATACCAACTTTGAATAATTATTTCTTTACTATTCATATGGTTCTATTTTCGTCAATTATATTATTCACCTCTTAGCTTGAACAAAAGCATCTTGTTATCTAATCGTAGTAAATTTCATCTCCTGAATTAAAAAATCCAAAGCCAAATAAACACAAATTTTAACATAACCAAAATCATACTTCCAAAACCTTAAATTACATTGAAGATTCACCACAATCTTACAAATCAAATTCCTACAGATTTCCGAAATATGAAAATAAAGACAAAAAAAAAATAATATTGAAGAATCGACAAAATCCAACATCAGACATCCAAAGGAAGGACTATGGCCGTCATTTGCGACTAGAATGGGTTCGTATGTCGCTCCGTGAAAACTGCGAATGTTTATTGGAAATTTCATCACTTGTTGTCCTTGACGATTCTTCTTTCCACATCTAACTAATCGGTTCTATAAGCGGAACTATGACTAACTGACAAAACTTTCATTGTCAAAACCTGAAAAACCAAAACTCGCTCGTATAGGAGCAGCTACCACGATTCTTTCGACCATACACGCTTATATATCAATACGAAATACCGATACATCAAACACTTTACGAGTTTGAACATTTTAAACTTTCATGATCCCATCGCAAAAGCACACCTAGTTCAGTTAGTAACCTGTTTTGTCGTAATAACAATATGAGGAACGAGAAATTCAGACACCTAAAATACTGGCAAGTATTACCTCTTTCGGGAAAAAAAATTGAAAGAGGCTAGTTGTATCGTCATAGTCGATAAGACGGGTAAAGAAGACGCATATATAATATCATCAGGTATTCTCGTCCTCATATAAAGATCGAACTTACCTCTACAAACAAGTTCACCGATCGATCATCCAAAAATTTAGTTATCCAAAAACACCAAAATTTAAAGTTTCAAGTTCATGAACGAAGGAAGATACAGCTTGATCCAACACAGCTGGAATTGTTTCATCAGCTCCCAGAATACGCGAAGCATCACTGTAGTCCCTGACACTGCCGTCTACGAATTACCGTTCCGATACACGATTACGCGTTTCCACGATTCCAGCCAGACACGTCCACTTACTTCAGCTACGGTGTAAAAATTACAACCAGCAGCTACAAACACGTTTCAGCGCTTTAAAGTCCTCACTGATAACATCGCCGCCATCGCAAATGGGGTATCCTTCAAACAGCGATCATCACTGTCGTTGTGACTGAGAAAACAAACTGAAGCAAAATTCAGTTACTGAGAATAACTCCTTCTGAAAATGGCAGTTCTATCACCAGTGAGGACTTGACAAGTAACCTGCAGATAAAGTGGTTTTTGGCGGCCCTTATATAGACGAAGAAACCCTAACCCTGAACGTTCTGGAAGAAAATGCTGTGGTGAAAAAAAGTCCTTTCTAGCATCAATTACGTCACTCATATTTCTCCAACGCTGAAAATAAAGCACTACACAATAGTATGCGTAAAATTAATTAGCACACTGCCGAAAGACAAATCGGTAATTCGAGAAAGCAGCTAGGATCGTCATCAGTACATGTAGATGAGGGAAATAGTAATGATTTTTCTTAATAATAATAATGCTACCTGTAACAAGTATCTCAATAGACTGACTAGCTTTCCCGTTTTCGCTTATGGAAATGTGAGTAAGCCGATGAAAGCAGCTGAGTGTTAAATTAAATTTTATTAACTCCAACTAAAATTTAGTACGTGATGACCTAACTGAATCAACACTTTCCTGTACCGCATAAATCTGTTGGGTTTTCTTTATGTTTACAAAGTAAGAAAAATAGTGAAACATAACGCCGAATGGTATTCCTGATAAACAACTACTCTATGCTGCGTTATTTTGGTGACAGCAAATCTGTTCGTATGCAAGGCTTCAATTTTACGCTTTGCACAGAGCGATTTTAATAACTGCTTTGAGCAAACAGATATCCAATCTGTTTCACGAAGAGACATGGTTACCAACTATGCATCGATGATGTACAATAGCGGTTCCAATATCCTTGGGTACGGAGTTTTGAGACTGTTACAGTACAATGAACAATTGTCCTGCGGTTGGGAAAACACCATGAAGGAAGACATTGGGTACTGGAGAAGATTCGTGCATAATTTCTTTACTGAGAAGGGAACCTTCCGGTTTAATTTTGAGACAAATCAACAAAGGACTCGTGAGCCAAAACAGTTTGAGTTGTCTTATGCAGCTTTGCCCAGATATTTTTATTTAAACTATATGGGGAATATGAGACGAATGTCAATTGTTTTAGGTGATACAAAAGAATTTGCAATTCCTAATAATGGATATTTTGTTGAATCCTCACATGCAAGCCTTGTTTATCAGTTTGCAAGCGGTATTCAAGTGGTCCTGTATGGTTGTTTGCGAGCTCACTTCTATCGTGCACCTCTTTTGAAGCTAGACTCACTTGAATTTTCCGCAACCAATTATTCTGAGTATCTTCTTCGTGAACTAATAAACAGTGCTTCTCTTGCTCAGCAATATCAACGCGAGCATCCTCCGAATCGGGAAAACACATCGTCTTTCCCTTCTCAAGGTAACGAACCAGCCTCGTTTTATCCTCCATATAACTTCGCTGCCAATTCACAGCTCCCCTCCACGCCAGTTAATGAGTATGGGATTGAACCTCGGATAATGCGCTTTTTGGAGATTTCTGAAACTATTTCTGGGATGCGAGATTTAATAGCATTTACTCTGGCTCAACGTTCAGGTCCGGCAAGTGCTCTTCAAAAATTTTCTACAGCTTTACAGCAACAGCAGCAAATGCAGAAATCAACGGCCGCGAAGGTTTCCTTTATAAATAATCCCTCTTCAAATCATCAATACTCTAATGTCACTGAAAATTCTCTTCCCATTCCTCCTTCTGCAGCAACAACAACAGCAGCAGCAACAGGACCTCCCGAGTACCGCGTTCCTAATTACCCAGCTCATTATAATTATCATCAATATCAACGTCCTATGAGTACAGACCTTGATCCGTCTCAATTCACTAACCATTTTCCGCATCCTAACTCTCAATCTCCTGCTCCGTTGATGAATCCTACCTATTCAGTACCTCCTCAAAAAAGATCCGCTACACTATCTCCGCTTGGGGAAGCCGGAAAGCAGGATGTTAATCAATCTTTTTACCCTAACGAGTCTTTGGGGCCTCAAAAACGAGCCAAAGTTTGATTGTTACTTGTAAAAACAACTTGATCCTAAAACAATCGTTGTCTTTATTACTCATTTTTGCTATAATTAGCTATGTTTCCTTATTCATTCTATTAATTTATTCTCGCATATTTGCTTAAAGGTTTTACTTAATTTCATGTTAAGTTATTATGGTCTCCGTTTTGACGCTTGATACTGTCTCCTTGTCCCTTCGTTTACTTTATTTGTTTCTATATACTCGTCCAGATGTCTATTTATGGAGTTATTTTATTACAAAAGAATATAAATAATTAGAGATTGAAAGAAATTTGAATTGTCTTCATTCTTCTTCGAACTTTCGTTCAGTGTAATTGGCTCTACAGTACTTTCTACCAGTTTAGTTCAACTTGTAGCTAACTTATCGACTTGTACAAATTTGTTACAGGTTTATCGAAAAATGTTTTCCGTTTTATTTCCTTATCGTGGCAAATGCACCTTTTTGCCCTCTCCTGTGTAAATGTGTAAGCGATGATCTTAATCTTCGGTAGACGTAGAAACCTACCCTTCGCCAAACACTGTCGCGCGCGGTATAGGCTATTGCATATAATTTTACTTGGTACTTCTTTTTTATATTTTATTCTTTAAAAACAAATTCCTTTAATTCAATGCCATCTTACGGCGACTTGGAAGTATTGGATCAACTTGATGATGCTGACTTCCTTAACTCAAGTACCCGGATTCGTCGCTTTAAAGGGTCTCGAAAAAATGGGCATAACTTTACTCATAGTAAGGGTACTCGGATTTCACAATGGCCTCGCATGAAATTTGTTCGTGCCGTGGATATATTTAATCCTACTGAGGAAGTAAATAGAATGATTGAAGAAGAAAAAAGAAAACGAGATACTACTTCTGACTTTGCTGGAAGCGAACGTTTAAATTCAGCTCATCAAAAGGAACAACCTCGTTTTAAACAATCTTCTGAGATTCATGAAGACATTGTTTTATTTAAGCCGATTCGCAATAACAATATTTCAGGTAGAGAAGACAACATACGTGAGAAAAGGGAATCTGTACAAAGTCAAAAAACTCTCCATGAAAAAGATGCCATACCTGAGAATAGGGAACCTGTACATATGAAAAAAAATATCTATGAAAACATTAATATTAATGAGCCCGAAATTGTATCCGACAAGAATGAAAATGAGATGTTGTCAAAGAAATCAGAAGAACCTCCTACTTCTACTACTGCTTCGGACTCTCGTCGACCCTCCAAACCCAAAAGATTACAGAAAGAGAACATGAATGAAGCGGACACTCAAACATTAAAATCATCAAATAGACCATATTGGCGAGAAAAACCGTACATTGTCTCAGATTCTTACGATGACTTACCTGATGACGAAAGCACTGATTCAGATATTAAATTCAACATTAATAAGTTTGCTAACTTGTCTATGCTATCTGATAATGATGAAAATGAATCCATGGAAGAAGAAGAGGTTGAGAGTATAAAAGCAGAATCTACAGAAGATGATTTATTTTATAGAGAGGATTCGGATCTGCTTGACAACCAGCGTCAGCACGATTATGAATACAATGATGAAGAACTAGCAAATATCTTGGCAGAAACAGAAAACTTGGAAGATGAAGAAGTAAATGCTTTGCTCGCAAGCGTTTTTGATGCCAGTGATGATTCAGAAATCGAAGCCTATCTTAGTGTTAAAGACACAGGGGCAAATGATTTTACAATATATGACTATGATAGTGATGATGAACCGTACCAGAAAGCAGCTTCCGAAACGTTATCAAAGTCTTTCCAAAAAGACCGCAAGAAAAATCAGAAACCCAAAAAAATGTCTAAGGAAGAAAGAAAGGCCCAGAGGAAGCTTGAAAGACAAGCTGGAAAGTCAATAACAAATCGACTTGCTAGTTCTTTTGATGTTGATGAGGATATAGCTCAAGAATTAGAAATGTACTCCGATCTTCAAGAACAATGGATGAAAGATCGCAAAAAGAAGGCAAAAAAGCGTAACGAGCGTGAAGAAAAACGTGCACAGGGCCTCTTGGGTAAAAAATCTAGTAAAAAACTGGCTAAAAAAGCGGCTTCAGAAAAAAATTCGGATCCCGATAGTCCTACATTATCCAAGGTGGATCACGATTTTATTATGTACGCATACAAGCGCATGCAAGAATTATCTCTTTCAGGAGTGGATGAGATATCTCTTCCTGCATGTCGTAAGTATGTACGCCGTTTAATTCATGAATTAGCGAATCGTCTTAACCTTCGTTCACAAAGCTATGGTTCGGGCAAAAAACGTTACACGGTTCTTTCAAAAACACCTCGATTCAATTCTTCAGGATTGAATAGCGCGTCCTTAACAAGGCTTCTGCATCGTGTACAGTTATCGGTCGGAAAACGATCAGAAATATCTGGCAAGCCAGGTAAAAAGCCTGGGTTAATAGTTGCTTCGAAGCGTACAGTTACTAGTGCTACGAAAGTGTTCGAAGGTCAGGTGGTTGGTGGAGATGCTCCTGAAATCACTCGTGCTAATCCGGGTCGTCGTATGTTGGAACGATTAGGTTGGTTCGCCGGTAAAGGGTTAGGACATCCAGAAAATGAAGGGTCTCGTGAAAGCTTGCGTGCTATCGTAAAAACTAGCCGCAGTGGTTTAGGCTAAAAGCCATTCTACATAATTCAATGATGGCACCAAACTATTGATGACTAACATTTTTGGACACGATTTATTTATTAATTTTTTTTTTTTTAATTAACTGTTATATGAAAAGCTATCCTTTTTTTTCTATTTGTTCCGAGCCTTTTTATAAATAATCTACTGTTGTATATGTTATAGTAAGTAGTTTGATTTGAAACTTCTTCTTATCTTCCTTTTTCGTTTCTATCCTTTGAAGTTATTAATCATTCTTTTTTCCAATCCATGAATCCAATTCTATCACCTTCTATCCTTTATTTACACTACTAGTAAGAATACAATCGTTCGTTGCGTTACGCTAACTCAAAAGTACGCGTTCCTGTACGCATCATAAAGTTTATTTACCGAGGATCAAAATGTGAGGTCCGTTCTTTTCGCGATGTACGAGTAGTTACCCTTCACACAGCACCAGAGGAAGAAGGCTTTTGTCCTAACCTGTTGTTTCTACTCGAAACGCGTACGTTTCTTTATTTACTTTGAAAAATTCATTTGATTGAGCAATATATTTGTGTAATTTCTTTTTATTCTTTTGAGATTGGTGATTTACTCATTTGTCAGTCAGTTAAGGTTTGACTGCATATTTTTCCCAACATTTCATTCTTTTCGTATTGTCGTTCGTTTTTTCTATGCTGTTAGATACTATAGAATTTATCTTCATCTAGTTCTCATTTACAAGTCAACGTTTAGTTTTTTATTTGGATATCCGTTCATGCTTGGATAATAACAAGCTTCTATTCGTCTTCGTTCTTTTCTAAATAGTCTCTCTCTTTTATTTTCCTTCTTTTTATAACTTTTCACTACGGTTCTAGCGTTTTACTGGGGAGTTATTTTTCCGAGGATAAGTCGATTGTCTAATAATCTTATTGTTTGGCTGCGATACCATGAAATTCTTCTATTACCCGTCCTTCTCTGTGTGGTTTCTCCAAATTCTTATATTCTTTCATCTGGGAAGTCACCATGCATATGCCAATCTAAATTCCCCCTTTGGGTGTTACCAGGTAGATGAAAGTTTAAGTGAAAAAGGAACTCATAAATGGCTTACTCCTCAGTATTGCTACGATAATATATGTAAGGACGATCCTGATATTTCTTTTGTCGCTGTTCGCGGAGTCAGTTGCTATTGCGGCAATACACTTACAGCCAAAAAGGTAGATTCCAGTAATTGCAACACTGTATGTCCTGGATGGGATGAGTTTAAATGTGGCGGTGATCTGTACTGGTCGGTTTATTTGACCGGTAATGGTATTTTGCATACTTCATCTTCTACTACCTCTTCTCAAACATCTTCTTCAAAGGCTTCCTCGTCGTCGTCTTTTACCACGGCGAGCTCATCAAGTTCTAATCCCACATCAAGTTCTAAACCTACATCCTCCTCTCAACACTTGACATCTTCTAGCCATTCTGCGTCTAAAATTTCTTCGTCCAGCTCTAATTCTCCTACGCCAACTACTTTTTCTTCTTCCTTGGTGAAGACAGTAACTCCTAGTGCGTCGAGCTCATCTTCATCTCCATCTCCATCTCCATCTTCGACTGCTCCACCGAAGAACTCTCAAGCCTCGAAATCGAGTAATTCATTAAATGCTGGTGCAATTGTTGGTATTGTAATCGGTTGTGTTGCTTTTGCGGTTGTCATTGCTTTATGTGTCTGCTTATTCTTCTGGTATAGAAAGTTTAAAGCAAAGATGAATGCTAAAGATGATATTACTTTTCCTTCCTATAAAAGTGAGCTGGACTCGCGTCTTGATCCTGGTATGCTGAATAATCGCAATTCGAGTGAATCGTTGGCCGATAGTCAAGACTACTCGAGAAGAATTTTAAGGGTTATGAATTAGAAGAAGAAAATATTAATGTATGCATCTTTTGCTTCAACGCACTTGGAGACAGCTTTATATGTTTACCCAAACGTCTTCATGTGCATTTATTTCCCGCATATAAAGATAAAAATGTATGTTTTATTTCTCGCTCCAATATTTATTTATTCATTTACTTCGTTGTTTCATTTCTTTCTTTTTTATGGGATTTGTTTTTCGGCTTCTAATCTCATACTTTTTCTTTCTTTATACCTAATTACAAAATTTTTATTATTTCTATTCGACGTTATTTTTACATTTTCTTCTTTAAGTTCGGTGTCTACCATCAGGAACATGTGCAAAAGATCCAAGGATTACTTATCAGACTTTTGCAGTTTCAAACTTTTATTGAGAAATAAGCGAATGCGGTAATGACAGCAAAACATTATTGATGTTTTTGTATTTTACTTATATCCTATCCTTTAAAACGATGTTTTCTTTCATACCGGTTGAATAAAGAAATACTTAATTAAATTTCCGTTAGATGTCTTTACCTCTTTATTATTAGATATATGTTTTTATAATTCATTGAAGGATAATTAACCTTTGGAAAGGTATGGTTTCGTGAATATGTGTTTTCATATAACGCTAAAGAAAGTTGCCTTCTATGGAAAGATTTTCGCAACAATACACATGGTTGGATCTTACCAAAAGCTTCAGTTGGTGTCGCGACCGACCTATTGCAATGAACTTAACCACTTTATTTTTTTTTCTTTTCTCAGGTTATATCCTATAACTCAGTCACTCTTTCAATTGCTTTAAATGATTTTTTCGCTTGCTTTCTTGGTTTTTAAAGGATTGATTAATTACAATTCAGTAATACAAAGTAGCAATCAGGGCACACATGTTGTTTTGACCCTTTTTTACTTTCATTTTTATTTTTTTTTTTGATAGGGCAAAAAATTAAAAAAAAGTGTGTTATGTTAACCCTTCCTCCCTCTTGTCTCATACAAGGCTTTGTGCAATCTGGGAAATACGACTGCGCACAACTAAAAACCAATTGAAACATTTTGTATTTCTTCAAACCCGATAAGAGAAGAAAGCTTGCTTTTTTATGTCCATCATGAATATATTGACCTAGGCCCTTTATTTTCATTCCTTTCAAACTTCCTATGCTATATACTATATCACACTCTCCCTACCCTCTTGAGCTTTTTACATAATACTCTAAAAGCATATGCTTATTTCTTTATCGTCTTATTTCGCTAGAATGATTAACGTCACTCGGATTCTAGAAGGTGACGTCATAGCCCATAAGAGTTATAAATTCAAGAATCCTCTGCTACAGAGTTGCTGCTTGTTATTTACGAACCAAATTAGATCATTATCAGGTCGTCGCGATATTACTTTACCAGAAATACTGATAAATTTCTGTTCGTCGTCGTGAGATTCTAACAAGTGAATTTTCGAAGACAGCATGTAAGTGTTGAGACAAGAAAACTGTGCCACCTGAAAGCTTTGCTCATACTAACTTTCTTTACAGGGGTAGAACATTTCAAGAAAAACAGCAAAGCCGCAGAGTGAAAATGAGCACTGGCAACATTTTTTCGAGAGTCTGGAACTCAGTGGTCTTTGGTTTCGGCGCTGCTTTGGGTGCCACTGCTGCTAGTGCCATGATTGGTGCCTGCTGTGGTTAAAATGGATGCTATGGAACCATAATAGACAAAGAATAATGGGTCGAGGTGCTGCTTTCATTTTTTTACGCTGGAATGCAGTTTCACTTCGAAGATGTCTCTTAGGATGACACGTAAAAAAGTTTATAATACGGTGATGCTTTATTTTATCTCTTGCTATTTGAAATCCCTTTAAGTTTTATGATATTTTTCATTCATGTTTTCTTTATAATTTTTCTCTAGTTCAGTCCTTTAATATCAATACAAATGAGAAATTCCTATGGAAGTTTGAAATCGAATGGTTATGGAAACAAAAGTAATAGGGTATATTAGAGATATTGTACCTGTCGATAGTAGTATTCATTCTTGCAGTCAAAGGTTAAACCTACAGAATCGGATGAACGTAGTAATTAATAACAGTGAACGTGAAGATGCCTTCAATCAACCCTGTAGGACATTCATTTTCATAAGATTTTTATAGTCGTTTACTTGCACAACCATCACATTCTATTTCCCAGTTTAGAGTTTTGTAATATAAGTATTACCTGGTTTAGTGTAATTCATATTTTCAACTATGGTCATCGCCTCATCACAAAGGCCAACTTAACCAGAACCACCATTCAGATAGAAACAAACCAAAAGAAACTCTGTAAACTAGGACAAACTGGATTTGTTTGTTAAAAAAAAAATAAGATTCGTCAAAAATGCAGGTGTTCGCCTCTTTAGGATTAAAAACCTGGATCCAGTGGGTAGCCCTTGTGGCTATCCTTTTTCAGGTTGCTACCGCTTCCGTACCTCTGACGGATGAAAATTACCAAACTGAAGTTAAAAATGGGCAATGGTTTATCAAGTTCTATTCGCCTACTTGTCCTGCTTGCAAACGCATCGCTCCAATGTGGGACGGTATGGCAAAAAAGATTGAAGAGAAGGCTAATCAGGTTAATATTCACATCGGCGAAGTGAATTGCAAGAAATACTTAAATCTTTGCAAGGATGTAAAAGATTTTCCCACGCTTCGATTTTATGTTAATGGTGAGAATAAAGACGAAGTAAATTACAGCGGCACCACCACCGAGGCTTCTCTTTTAGACTTCGTTGATGCTCGTATCGCTGACGCTGAAAAGGAAGTTGACGCTGAAAATGCAGAGGCACAGAAGAAAGTTTCTGAAGACGCTACCACTTCTGATCCTTCTTTTACAACTTCGACGAGCTCTTTATCACTTGGCTTTGTTTCCGGCACCTCAACGAATCCTCATACTGATTTCACGGACCTGAAAATGGTACAAGTTTCTCCTAAAACTTCTTCCATTAGCCCAATTTCTTCCTCTTTGCCCTCATCTTCATTCACGGTAGCACAAAGTACTGGCATTCCCAAAGAGAATCACTCAAAGGCTTCTAGTACGTCTCCCATTAGTACTGTTTCCGCCCCCATGAGTGCTGAAGAAAAGTTTACAGCTACTTCAGTGTCCGCGTCTTCTACAACATCTCAAGCTACCTATGCCATCCAAACTGCTCCAAATGTTCCTGATGAGGGGGGTGACCTTTCGGAGCCCGTCAATGAAGATTCTGAAAAAGCAGCCCAGCCTAATCCAACTGGCCATTCCAAGCCTTTAGTCACCCAGGAAGACATTGACAATGCCTTGTCAAGTGAAACTGGCTGGTTCGTTCATTTCTATTCTTCGGAATGCACAGATTCCGCAGTTACTACAGCTACTACAGCTTGGAATGCGATGGCTGGAAGAATGAAGAATAAGCTCAATGTTGGTCATCTCGATTGTAGCAAGCACAAACCTAGCTGCAACAAGTATAACATTCAGCATTATCCTTCTTCCATTTTCTTTAAGGAGAATGAATATGTGGAATATAATGGTCTCTTTAAAGTCGGTGATCTTACTAGTTTCGCCGAGGAAGCCGCCAACTTCAAGATCCGCGAGGTGGAATTTTTTGATACTACGGAGTCTGAGAAACATGGAGACGTTTTTTTCTTGTATTTCTATGACGATAAGAGCGCTGATACTCTTAGTGCAGTTCGTAAAACTGCTATTCAACTCCTCGGCCACGCCCGTCTTTACCTTACAAAGTCTCAGCAACTTGTGAAGAAGTACAATGTCAATAGCTTACCAAAGTTAATAGTCGTGAAAGATTCCACACCTAGCTATTATCCCACCAGTGTAGCATCTGATATCACCGATTACAGAAGAATTTTGAATTGGATGAAGAACAACTGGCTTCCAGTTCTTCCTGAGCTCCAAACATTTAATTCTGATGAAATTGCCAATACTGATACTGTTGTTTTGTATTTCCTGGATCCTGATTCATCTAATTTCCAGGAAACCAAAAGCACTGCTCGAAAGATTGCCTCCGATTGGTTAAATGAGGAATCTCGTAATTATCAAACTGCTTGGAAGGAAGAAACCGATAAAAAGAATGCTCATCTGAACAAAGCAGAGGAAAAGAATGATGCCGAAGCTCTAGAAGCTGCTCGAAACATGAATGTTAAGCACAAGCCTGCCCCTACACGATTTGCCTGGGTAAACGGTAATTATTGGGCTAAATGGTCCAATAAGTTCAATCTTGATATCAACAATACAGGTCCCAGAGTGATTCTATATAACCCTTCTAAAGGTATCTACTGGGATACAAATGCTAAGGGTGAGGCTATTACAGTTGATGAGGACGTAGTGTTCGAGGTTCTCAAGGATGTGGAAGCTAATCCTAATGCTTTAAAACCTAAAAAGCTTAAAGAGAATGCTGGTTTGGAGTATTTGGCATCTTACGGATTGGATACACGTGCTTTATACTTGATTTGCGGTGTCGTTTGCGTGGGCATTATTGTTTCTTTATTTGGTGCAAGAAGGATAAGAAGTCTTGAGCGCCGACACCGATCTTCACCTATTCTGCCTATCGCAACAAAGAATACGGGTAATACTGGAAAGTTTGATTGATTCATTATTCATGACGGGCTTGTTATTGAAAATTGGCGATTTTACGAATTTCTATCTATTGTTGCATTATGATTATTAATCTATCATTTTTATGGGTTATTCGCTTTAGATTAAGCATTTTTACCATATATAATACTATACTCTTGTTTCTTAGGTATATTAACAACCCAGTTATAAAAAGTTGAAATCAAAAACCACCTATCTCATACAAAACGTATAACCTAAAAAAATCTTTATTTAAGTACCAAAAATTCCCATTTATAAACAGTATTCAAAATTAAGCATCATTTCAACCTTTAAACCCTTTTTTAAGTCTTTTAGACCCTAAACAACATTAGAATATGCACGTTTCTTTCCATCGATTCCGAGCATTGAATTATCAATATCCTCAAGAGATGTTTTATGATTTAGATCCCACTCATGTTTTAAATATGTCAAACCAGCAAGGTTGTATCCCACAAGCGATCGATCTTCCACTAACGAACCTCTTAGACTATTGCGAATATTATTCAGCAAAGGTCGCATTTTGATCGTAGCCGTTAGTTGACGATGATATGTCTTCAATAAGAAGAAAATGATTCGAGATATCAATGGGATAGACCACTTTCGGCTAGCCCAAATATCAACAAAGCGAAAAAGGGTTAAAACTTGGTCAAAGGGAAGCACTAACAGAGCATCATCAAGATGACTTGTGCGAACTTTCTTGAAAGTATTTAAGACGTATTCTTCCGCCGAAACATTTAAGTGAGCTAAAAGCGGGTTACGAGGGGTTCTAGATTTGTTCGAATTGTTGAGTTTCTCAAGTCGATATTGGATTTCGTCGTCTAAATCCTTAGCTCCTATAACTAAAGCTTCTAAAATTTTTTCACCGTCTTTTAAGCTTTCAACGGTTTGCTTACTCACTGTGGCAACGTTATTCTCTGCTGCCTCTTCGTTTGCCTCTTCAGCACTATAACTGGAAACCAAAGTTGACTCGTATTGTTCTTCAAGTTCACGTTCTCGTTCTTCTTCTAAGAATACTAGATCATCTGATTGAGCCCATACACGGATGGAGTGATCATGTGAGCCCGTAAAAACTGAAGTTGGAGCCACCGCTAACGACCAAACTTCAGAGTGGTGACCGCGTAATTTCAGAATCAAATCAAAAGTGTTACCATCCCAATATCTGACTTCCCTGTCTTTAGAGCATGTAAAAAAGTTTCGAGAACCAGGTTGGAACGCTACCTTCATAACAGAATCCTGGTGCGCAAAGATTGATTTATGACAGTCACCGAAGTCTAAACCCCATAATTTGACGTTCTTGTCGGCACTACAAGTAGCTAATAATTTTGAGTCGTGCGATATGTCCATTGAAAGAACAGGTAACTTGTGTCCGTATAAATTCAAGAAAAACTTCAAAGTATCCAAATAATATACCTTCACTGTATTGTCAAGTAAGGATGCAGTGATAAGGCGTCCATCGGGAGATATTTTCGTTGCAAGAACGTCGTCAGCAAAATCAATTTGACGAGTTTGCTCGATCCTCAAAGCGAAAACTTTGACGGAAGTACCGGGAGCATAATCGTAAGAAGATTTTAAAGACCATAATTTCAAAGCTTTATCCGCAGAAGCCGTGGCAAAATAGGATCCATTATGCCCAATGGCTAAGTCCCAAATAGGTCCATTATGCGCCTGAATACGTTCCAATAAAGAAGAACTAGCAACGTCAAACAATTCAATTTCTCCGGCTTTATTGACGGAAAGGATTTGCTTATCAGCATTCACGAATGCAGCAGCTAAAACGTAACCACATTCGAAAGTACGGATACAAGAGCCTGTTTTATGATTCCAGATTTTTAATGTACCATTCGCACCACTTAAGACCATTTCATAGTTTGAGGAAAGAGCCAAAGTTCGGACATCAGCACGATGTCCCGGTAATTCGATGGAGTTGGTGCGCATAGCTCGCTCCGTAAGAGGAATAGTGGCATCTGCCTTTGCATCCACATTATAGACTTCAATGGAATTATTTTGAAGAACAGCGACAAACAAAGGACTACGTCGATGAGGAATCCAAGCGAAAGATGAAACACGTGAAGGAGCACGAATAACCGCAAAAGGCTCGAATTCATCTTTCAAAGTCAATTCTACTTCCTCAGTCTTTCTGCGTCTACGACGACGGTTCATTATTTTTTCCATTTCAGACGCAGTTCTTATGCGAAAAATCTCAATCAAACGATCATGGGCCTGGAAGACGACAAATCGACCGGAATCATAGAAGTCTAAGGAAACTGGGCGATCACGGCTTTGGCGAGAAACACCGCCTAAAAGTTTTAAAACTTTGGTAGCAGGTGTAATGTTTCCATCACCAGGAAACGAGATTTCCCAAACTTTAACATCTGCATCACTGCTAGCAGTTAAACAGCGTTTTCTATCAGGACTAACAGACATCGCCCAAATTTCACCTTGATGATTGACATGGGTCTCAACACAGTGTTGAATTGAAAGATCCCACAGCTTTAAAAATGAGTCTTTACCAGACGATAATAGATATTGGTCAATGTTTGCGGCATCAATCTCCATGTTAGACGAGGCATCCTCTTCGATACTGTCCGTATTCGCCTCGCCATCAGCGGCCCTAGGAGTTAGGAAGATGAGTTTCGTTACTTGATCCTTATGTCCACGAAGTCTGTATAATCCAGTTTCGTTCACGACATCCCACAGAATAATGTCGGTGTCTTTACTACCGCTAGCTAACCGAGTGCCTGTTTGGTCAAAAGTCATAGTAGAAACAGCACTTTTATGACCATTCAAAGTCAAGAGCAATTCCCCCTGTTTCCATAGACGAATAGATCCATCCTCGTAACCAGCGGCATACACGTCGCCATGGTTAGTAAGACAGGAGACCTTGAAGGAGCAATCCGCGTCCTTCCACTTGGATAACAATTGACCGGTCTTCAGATCCCATTCTAAAATGCTTTCCAGACCTCCAACAATCGCATTCCCTACGGATTTCGCCGATTCAGATGGTTGAGCTACGACATTACACCCGGATGAAGCGACGACCCCAAAAAATCCGGAGGGCTCGTAACGCGTGTAACTTTTCACCATGGCGTTTTCCTCGTCCTATGGCGTTCCAGAGTTGTTGGTAGAAGCAAAGTTAAAGGCTGTCTCTTCTTTCTTTTTGACATATAACGAGCAACTTTACTATACGTTCGAATGGATAACATGCTACTTTTTTCTTCTTTGTTAATATAGCGAACTTTTTTAATTCGCTAAATGTAATTAAGGTATAGTAACTTCCTCTGTTTTATTGACTTTTAAGACATTTTGATGCACCTCGCTTTCCCGTACTCTTTGCCTATACTTAGTAAAAGCAAGTGTTTACAGAGAAAAAAAAAAAACTTTGTTTTGGTTTTCTCTCTCGTTTAATTCCATGTAAGAGAATAATTAAGGGCCTTTAACATCTCCTTGTTTCTGGATTTTATCCTCGGTTAGCGTGAAAGACGAAGTTCTCCTTGGTTGAATTCAAAAAGATTTGTGGGCGCTCTTGAAAAGTTGGCATTTTTATAATTTTATTTAGGACAGGGGCTCCCAAAAAAGGTGTGTTCTCTTATTCTAAAATACCAGCGCGGAAAAGACTGAAAATGCCTCCTACACCACGATCTGGAAGTCAAAGATACGTTCCTTACGATGTAAGAATACCTCGGTCGCCTAGGGAGGCAGCTGCAGTTGCTGCAGCTCGTCGTCAAAACCGACGATCCAGCGAGGTCTCGTATTCTACTGAAGAAGCACCTCACGAAAGCCCTAGTGAGCATGGAGATATCAGAGGAGTCGCAGACAGAGATGTCGATGAAGTATTTAATAATCACGGATTACAGCAGAACACATATCCAGGTTTGTCAGAAGCCTCGTCAGTTCCTCGTTCAGTCCGAAGCTTGGCGCATAATGAGAGTTTAGGATCGCTCGAAAGAAGTAGAAATGAGTGGTCAGCAGAATTGGATAACTTGGATGATCTTGATGTTCTTGAGGATATTTCTCCTCTGCAAGAGGTATCTCAATGCCGTGATCCCTCTGGTAATTCCATGTCAGCCTATGACGATGTTATTGATCTAACAGAAGCCGAACAAAAGCTGAGTCAACCAAAACAAAGAAATAGAAAACAAAAACCGTCATCAGAAGCTGCACCTGGCATAGCTTCCGTAAATAACTCTCAAAGGTTAGCGGATTACAAATGTGTGATTTGCCTTGATAATCCTGAAAACTTGTCTGCTACACCGTGTGGTCATATATTCTGCAATTTTTGTATCCTAAGTGCATTAGGAAATTCTTCTGCGACGCAAAAATGTCCTGTCTGTCGAAGGAAAGTGCATCCTAAGAACGTGATTTGTTTAGAAATGATGCTGGGCAGCGAACAAAACAACAAGGATTAAGTAATGTTATGAACATAAAATAAAGCAATAATATTATTATTATTAGTTATGTCTATTCTTCGTAAAATCAATTATTAGCCTTTCCAGTCAGAGTCCCAAAGAAAATATCTACATTGAAATGGCTGTTTATCATCATCAGAAACCGCATTGGAATTTTCAACGACCTCTCCTATCGGTCGCGCACACATCCAAAATTTTCGTCCATAATTTATGCCTGGCTTTTTTACAGTCAGCAATTTACAGGGCTCTTTATGTCCATCACATAATGGAGGCAATTTTTTCTGAAACATGCTTTTCCATGCAGTTACACTTTCCACATTAGAGGAATTAGATACTGTTACTTTCGACTCGATATCATCAACTTCGATCATTGGAGGTGCAACCTTCTCTCCCTCATTTTTATCCGTCGACTGAGGCTTTTTCATGAAAAAAGTTGATAGCTTTGGCTGCTGTGTTCGTCGACGCTTCTCAGGCGGACCATTTTCAGGTACAGACGATGGCGTACCGCTGATTGCAGATGGTGAGTGAGACGGTGTTTTAGATGAATCTTCCAAATCAATGTCTGATTCTGATTTGGATTTTTTTAGCTTTTCAAATTTTTGAAACATGGAGTGTATGTTTTTTGACGGTCGATATGCTGAATGATGACATGCCGATAGAGAAGGGGGATCTTTTGCATGACTTAGTAATTCATACAACGGCACATTGTCGAGAGAATCTCGAAAGTCTATATAAATAGGGCAATGATCAGATCCCATGACTTGTGCCATGATGTCCGCATCTTGAACCCACGGTAAAAGATCTGGAGTTGCCAGTGTATAGTCAATTCGTGTACCTAAAAAAGTTAGATACTCATTATTAATATATAGCATTACCATAATTTGTAGGTCTCATGTTAAGTCTAGTGTTCCAGCAAGTGAACATGCCCTTTCTAGTAGGATGCCGAATCCGCCCAATATCGAGCAAAAGCCCAGACCTGTGTGGTTTTAATAACTCTCTAAGCCATGTTCTCGATTCAAATACACTTGGAACCAATGACTCTTTTATTATATCTTTTTGGTCTGCAGTGTCGATAGAGTCACAAAGGATGTTTACATCGCCAACTAAGACGACCTTCCGTTTTCCTTCTTTTATAAAAGCAGAAATTCTATCCCTTAAGCATTTATAGAATGCTCTTCGATAATCCATCCTATGGTCCCCAGAATTTACGGGACAATAGACACCAATTAGAATGAACATACCCAAGTCAAGTAGAATACATCTTCCTTCATCATCAACCCATTTTGCAGCTTTCCTATCTATGTCTTTGGGATAGTATCCAATCTGTTCATGCGGAGGAGCTTCAATGTAGGAGTATCGTTGATTGCGAACTGGTAAAATCCCAGTGATCCCTTCTTCTGCTTTTATGGGTGTGCACAAACTCTTTTTTACATAAATACCGACTCCACTGTAACCTTTTCTTGTAGTGGGGAATGTGAAATAACCTTCATATCCTTCGATTAGAGCAAATTCTTGGGGAAAGCTATCCTTTTGCATCTTCAATTCTTGGAAGCATACGATATCTGCTTTTAGCTCTTCAAAAACTTCTTTGTAAGACTTTTTATTGTTCCATGGATAGTAATTAAATGGATTTTGTATACCATTTACGTTCCAACTGACGATTCGCATACTTTCTGTCGCAATGGTGCATTATTGGAAAGGAGTTTGTTCAATTGAGCGTCAAGAACGTGCCTTCGTAGGAGTGTTTGAAAAAGGAAACCTCTTTAGAACTTCAAAATTAATAGATCTATGATATGTTGGTATAAAAAAATTTTTGCTTCCTCTTGAAAATGTTCAAGACTATACATAGGAGGCGAAAATAAATAATGAAAAGTCGCGATTATAACAGTCTATCTAACTTTTATTAATACAATTAAAAAAACAATGAATAAGTTAATGAAATGACTGCGAAAAGAATGGAATTCCGAGAATTCAACAAAGGCATGGTTAATTTTTTAAAACTTGTGAATAAATATAAAGTAGGAGACATGAATAGATACATAGATGAACAAGCCCAATCATAAAATGAATACATGCTGAAGGCTGTTTTGAAATGCAACTGTTGACGAGCGACATTAAAGTCTTTGAAGGAAAGAAAGAATGATTAGAACAACGAAATGGGGTATACCAAGAAGCCAAAAAATAAAAATAAATCCCCCTTTTAAGATTAATTGTTAGGAGAACCATGGAGTTCAGATTCTGACTCATTTACGTCGGAATCTGAACTACCTTCATCAATGGGATTTCCTGTTGCATCAGTTAAGTGGATGGTATCTATATAATTAGGTTCAGCTAAATCCTCCACAGGATTTTCTGCTGTCTCCATATCCATGTCCTCTCTGTCAGAGAGAACATCTTCCTGAGCCAATTCCTCAGCAACGTCTTCTTGTTCGAGTTCATCTCGATCATATTCTTCTGTTTCATTGTCTTTATTAAGTACAGCTTTATACCGTGGATCCATCTTGCTTTTCTTCGTAGATTTATCCTCGTCTACTTGGGGAAGTTTCAGTTTCTTTTCCTTCAAGGAAGCTTCATATGCTAATTTTGTCAGACTGTATATTCGTAAAGAGATAAGAGATGGGTAAATCGAATCATACCTTGCAAATGAGCATCCAATCGATTCGCGAATTCAGGATATTCTATTTCTTCTAGAGCACCCAAAACATCCTGAGGCATAACAATTTTTCGATTGTTCGTAGAAGAGATTTCTCCAGCGCTAAACGATTGCATGGGTCAGTAAACATATCATTCAAGGATGAACTTTGAATATCTAGGTTATCCAGTCACACTTGTAAAACGATCAAAATTACATACGCAGACGTTAAATAACTAATAAAAAGAGTTGCTGAATTCGTAATGGCCTTGACGGCTTCCTTTTGTGCTGTACTCTTCTGGGGTAAAACTTGTTTAATCAAACGCATAACAATGGAACGAGGAAGAGCTAAATCATCTAGCTCAGTATGTTCTCCAGTATTTGTTGAATCCATTTTGTTACTGTTATACTCGTTTCAGACTGATGGTAAAAGAACGTGAAAGACAAATTTCTAGGGTGTGTCAGTATTGTTTATAGTAAAAAACAAGTTTGGCGAAATGTGATATAAGAATTCTCCTATTGAGCTTTTTTTTCTTGTCTTGGCTTCTTATAATTGAATTAGATATTGGAAAAAATAGAAAAAAAAAAAAAAAAAAAAAAAGTTTACTATCCTGGAAAGCTCGAATCGTGGAAACAAAACTACTCGAAGGTCATACAGTCGAATTTAAATGGAGTAGAAAAGGCTTTAGAACCGGAATCTTCAAGTAAGCAAAACACTCTTTGCATGCTGTTACTGGTATTTCTTCCCAAGAGCTCAAGGTCAATGGTTCATATAAAGTGTATGCATATACCCTTTCAAAAGGCAACTCAATGGATTTGATGCACGTGTAACCTTTCTACCAAGAGCTTTCTGTACACTGACAGTCCTTGAAACTCCTGAGAAGTAGACAATTTTCATACGCATTGAGGTATCTTAGGCGTTTGCTTCAACAACAACCTATCAGACTAATGAAAACTCAGCCGACTGTTATGAATTGAATGCGATTGAAGAAAGCATAAAAGATCTTCTTCTGTTAGTCGATGACTGTTAAACCGAGTTTGCTTCTTTAAACAGGAAAGCAGTCAATGAATTCATCAATGTTTTTATAATTTACAAGTTTATGAGAAGTTTTTGTTACTAGATTTGAATACAGAACCTGTTTCTGCGTTCTGAGTTGTTTCCCAGAAACTTCTACTTCACTTTACCACCCTCGATAGTCTTTTACTAAAACAAAAAGTAACCAAAGTGTAGCGAATTGATCACCTTTACTCTTCAAGTAAAAGAAAGGAATATAAACTAAGAATTTTTTGTTAATTTCGGCCTTCACGCGTACCTACAGTTTGAATGAATCAAGCAGGTCAAATTATTCCCTTTACAACATCTGGCTCCCTGGTGGATTATGTTGACCGTATGTTATTTTCATTCCTTTTCATATTCTAATCATTCATTTGTTCAGGTAAAGTAATAGTGGTTTTAAGAGATGGTAAAAAGCTGATTGGCATTCTCCGGTCCTTTGACCAATTTGGTATGATTCCGCTTTGTGTTCCTTGCTTAGATAATAGTGATGTTCGAGTTGCTAACGTTTATAGCCAATCTGATGCTCCAGTACACGATCGAAAGAATTTATGTGGATGATATGTATGGTGACATCGATCGAGGTGTTTACATTATTCGTGGTGAAAATGTTGTCTTATTAGGAGAATTGGTAAGAAATTAGAGGAGTTGAAAAGTCTTTACTAGGGCTTGAAGTTCCGAATTCTATTCACTGTACTAACCAACTTAGGACTTGGATAAGGAATATGAAATGGAAAGGGGATTGCGCCGTGTTCCGGCAGAACATCTATATCCATTGTCAAAGCAACGTCTTGATGACAAACGAAAATCCTTACGGGAAAAAACCAAGAAACTGAACACTGTGGGTTTCAGCGTCGATTTTGGTCATGATGATTTGTACTAAAAATTACAGAAGTGAACCCTATTTTTATTTAGCTGTCTATAATATAACATTTCTTTGATCGTTTCAATCTATCGTCTTCATCGATATTTGTTACTTCTTTTAAAGAATGGAAAGAGTAAGTTTACGAATGATATACCGATCGAACTTAACAAGTGATTATTCGGAGCCTGTTTTCCGTTTCAATTATTATCTCCAAAGAAGTGTAAATTATTAGAGAAGGAATTAGTAAAATTTTTCTGATGTTGAATCATTACTAGACGTCTTGAATATATGAATATCATCTTGTGTAGCAGGGAAAACAGGTGGACGGTCCACTGCGAGGTCAATTTCTGAAGCCGGCCAAATCCAGTGTAAGAGCATCATAACCAAATAATCTAACGTTATTAATATACAAAATAGTTTACCAGCCCATTGACCACATCCATAGTAAAGTTTTAAACGATTAATGAGGCGCAAATTTGGCTCTGCGCATATACTATCATAAACTTTTTCAGTTCGTTCGGCGACGTCAATCCATGAATACATCTCTTTTACCTCTTCATGGAATTTCACCGTTTTGATTTTATTATTGAGATAATCAGATATAGCACTTGACAAGGTTCGTACTAAATCGTCTTCTTCAGGTCTAGCAAATCGAGTCATATGAGAAGGCAATACCTCAGGAACACCTCCAACCTTGGTAGATATAACGTACAACCCGCAACTTGCTGCTTCCACCAAGACGGTTCCAAACGCTTCTGTCAAGCTTGGGTGTAAATAAATATGACCACGTACCATGACATCCCGAACTTGGTCATGTCGTACTGAACCTAACATTTCCACTCTATCTTGTAGCATATACTTTTCGCGCATTTGTTCCAGGTCAATTGCTTTTGGTCCATCTCCTGCAATTACAAATCGAACTTTGCGAAATTCTGCACAAATTTTAGGAATCACAGCAATTAAGAGATCAATTCCTTTATTATAGTATAATCTTGAAATTACAACGATGGTCACTGCGAGCATAAGGTTAGGCATAAAGGAACACTTGGGTTTTGACATAAAGAAGACAAACACATACGGTAATCATTAGAAGCTTTTGAAGGGTCTGGTCTGAAGTTTTCGGGGACTAACGCATTTGGAATAACCGAAACCTTTTTGGGATTAAGGACAGCACGAAGAACGGTGTTTTCTCGACTAGAAAACACAGTTAGTAAAGAGTTGGAATTGTTAAAGCATACCATGTATGGGAAACACAAATGACATGATCAATATCACTCATGGTGAACTTGAGAAGCTTATTGGTGATAATACTTCCCGCATCAGCAAACCCAAATAGGGAATGGTCAGTAAAACAAGTCTTTAGGCCCATGGTACGGGCATGCAAAATGGCATCGTGGCATAAAAATGAAAGACTTCCGTGTCCATGCACAATTTCAATGCGTTCTCGGATAATAATATTTCGAAAGATAGGGAAAAAGTAAAAAAACGAAGGAAAAGTCGTCTCTCGGTATACCGTCTATTAGAGTAAGCGTCAGCGAAACATGATTTTCTTGTGAAACGTTTATCCAAGGAGAAAAACATACATGAAGGGGAACATAATAAGCCGTTAAACCATTGGTAAGGTATCGGACGCCGACGCGGTCTTTGTACGCATGTGTAATGACTGGTGGAATAATGTGTCAATAAATGACGAATTGAAAAATCCATTGAGATGTTTGTATACCTATAACTTTATGGCCAAGATCAATGAGTCGTTGAGACAATTGAAAAATATGAGACTCAATTCCACCTGGTTGGGGAAAGAAAAAATCAGAAACCATACTAAATGTAGGTTAGAATAGAACAGACGCAAAGCTCAACGATTCCATTCAGGAAGGAGAAGCAAGCATTCGAAGTAAGAGCAATCAATCCAAAACATACGCTATTCGGTAACCCATTGTGAGAAAGAAATCACTTTACTGTATAGAAGAAAACTAAGATAACCAGAAGAGAATGCACATTTGCATTTCGTTTTTCTAATGGTGAAAACGATGTAAATACCCTTTCATACACAAGGTACGTTGGTTGGTATAGTAATATATCAAAATAATATTATTATATTAATGTGTTCTTAATACATCGAAAATCAAAATAAGGAAAAAGGGCCCTAATCTATTTCACTAGAAAATAAAAGAAAATCACTTGACTTTGCGAAATTTCTGTTCTTTACAGTGACAATTCATTCAGTTAACTATTTCCAAGAATCTATCATGTTTTGTTTTGTTTTGCTTTTACTTTTGACATATCTTTCATTTTGTATCCATTCCAGTATAAACAATTACATTCCTATTGCTGTTTGCAGGCAAAACCTAAAAAAATAAAGCACTTATTGTAATATTAATTATAAGAAGAAATAGTTAACTCATACGAATGGAAACAATGAAAATTTACCAAATAAAAGCCGAAAAATAAACAAAAGATATCACTTTTCCTCAGTAACAGCCTTACATATAATCTTTACTTTAGAAGACTATAACAACTGGTCGCATGATGTAGTTGGTTATCATGTCGATCTAATAAGTCGAATGTCGCCAGTTCGAGCCTGGCTGTGACCATAGATTTTTTCTATTTACTGGAAGTATCCATACTTCGAATATTTTGTTGACTTACTTTATGTAGTTTAATATTTTTTTTTTATCTGTCCCTATCCGTTTCGTTGCTTTCCTAATCTACTTTTATTTCCCTATCGTTTAACTTGTTCGCCAAAATAGGACAAAACTAGAAACAATGGCATGTGCAAGTATTGCCCTTCGGTTAACCACACTTTACATATTAACCGATTTTTTTTTTTCGATTTCTAGTGCCAGCCAAGGTTACACCTAGGTACAACATTTTTAAAAGAGCGCACTTCAAGTACGAAAGACATAGAATGAAAAATTTAGTGGTTTTTGGAACTCAGTCACATCCAAAACTAACAGAAGCAATATGTGAGCATCTTTGCTTGGATGTAGGTCGAGCCGAACTTGGAAAATTCAGGTATGTTTTTGCACAGGTGATAAAAAGCAGAAAAAATGGATTTTTGCTAAGCAGATTTCAATAAATTGCAACCGTTGCTCTTGAGAATTCTGAAAGCTTTTATTTGGAAAAAAAAAAATTCCCGAACGGTTTAGATTGTCGACAAAAGAAGTGTCTACAATTGATTTTTTAAATGACGCAGATAAGATCACAAAGGAGCCATGTGTAATACTATTAAGAATTTCTTCCGTTTTATTGTCTACTTTTTCTTTTTCTCGCTTTACCTGAGACATTTTCATGAGTGATAAACTAATTTTTTCTTACAGTAATGGAGAAACCTCTGTAAAAGTTAAACAATCTGTTCGTGGTTGTGATGTTTATATTATTAGCCCGGCTTCTGGGCGAGTCAATGACCATTTCATGGAACTTTTGGTCATTATTTCTGCATGTAAAACTGCTTCCGCCAAAAAGGTGACCGCTGTCTTGCCCGTTTTCCCTTATAGCCGTCAACCTGACCAAATTTTTTCTTCTCGAGGCGCACCTCTTCTAGGATCTTCTTCTGATGGCGTTTTAGAACCAAAACGCACTTCGTCGTATTCGTCATGGATTGCTCAATCCGGAACTTTGGTTGCTGATTTATTGATGTGTGCTGGAGCTGATCATATTATCACTATGGATCTCCACGACCCTCAATTTCAAGGTTTCTTCGACATTCCCGTCGACAACTTGTTTGGTCGTCCTTTACTGAAGGATTATATAGCCTTGAATATTCCTGACTATCATAATGCAGTCTGTGTATCACCAGATGCTGGTGGTGCAAAACGAGCTACTGCTATAGCCGATTATTTAGGATTGGATTTTGCTTTGATCCACAAAGTACGTTTTTTTTTTTTTACTGATGACTAGAATACTAATATTTTGTAGAATCGTCGTCACGAAAGTGGAGTCTCATTAATGCTTGTTGGTGATGTAAAAGACAAAATAGCTATTCTAATTGATGATTTAATTGACACTGCTTCAACTCTGGTGAGTGCCGCCGAATTTGTTAAAAAGCACGGAGCTAGCCAGATTTACGCTCTTGTTACACACTGTGTTCTGTCTGGTGATGCTATTGAACGTGTAAAGCAATCTTGCATTGACAAACTCATTGTAACCAACACAGCTCCTCAAACAATTGAACCCAGTGACTGCTTCGATATTATTGATGTTGCTCCTACTTTTGCTGAGGTAAGCACTGCGATTTATTTTGAAGAGGTTAATTTTAACTAACTTTAATAGGCTATCCGTCGCATACACAACGGAGAAAGTATTTCCATTTTGTATGACCAAAACCACGCTTGGATATAAAATTTTTGGTGTTGATTTGTACTTATTTCTAGTCAAATGTTTTTTTGCCGATGCCATCTATTTTGCTGACATGATAAAAGCCTTTGACGTGCTTTACATATGATTGTCAGATTGTTTTGGGATACTTTTGATTTGCTTTTGTTCATTATTTCTTTTTTTTTTAGGGTGAGAAAATAGATATTCTACAAACGGACTTTTAATAATAAATATACTTTTTTTTTTCAGATTAATTAATTGCGTCGATTTACATATCTATACTATAGTAGGAAAGATTCAAACGAAAGTTAAATAACATGAGGAATAAAGCGGATATTATGTAGAAAACGTAAGGGGATATCTGAAAAAAAAAAAAGGACAAGAAAGTAAATAATAAATGCGTTAACAGTCAATGTTTGCTTTGGCCGTTTTATAGGCATACAAGGATCAGTATTCTAAAGAAAAACGTTGATACGACAAAAGGACTCACATTATTATATATAACAACAGACCGGATACAACAGGAATTACCACATTATCATCTAAGCCCCAAACGTCCATGGCTTCTGCAACAGCACCGACAAATCCGTTTACCACACATAGTACTGGGAAGGACATCCAAGACTGAGCTGCCATACTATCGGGGCCCGTCCGGATGATACCCCAGTATAAATAAGACGCCAGAATCCCACAACCAAATGCGCCAAGGCTGCCGGCTAAGCTTTTATTTTTAGCGATCTTGGGAGTATACTTTCCATATCTACGACCAAAACTAGAAGCTGCTGTATCGCACCAAGACAAAAGTAAAATACTCATCACTGCAATATCCTAAATTGCGAAAATGTTAGAACATCCGGTTTCAAAATCGTTATATTGAGTAACGAATACGGTTAAAATATTGGAGAGCTGAGAATTCACCAAATACCTTATGGACCTGACTCCCTCATAGAGTTTCCTCCCTGATAAAGCCAAGTGGAAAACAAAAGGATTTTTTTCATGTGGTTCACCTTCTGCAGCATGCATCCCTGAATTTCTTTTACATACCTCTGGAAAGAAGCTTAGAACTATCCATGTTCCTAGCAAATAAAATATAACGCCATTCCAACTGTTTTTTTCAGATTCACGCATTAAAGGTCCCATCACTCGATTATAAAGGTGGCTAAAAGCCGGCCATTGAAATCGTATAACATCTCCTGTAAAGGCTGGAAGAAAACCCCATGCCAAATATGGAGTAATCTGCTCAGCATGAAATCCATACCGTTGAAGTCCTAACGTGATGAAACCTATCGATACAGGTTAATAATGTACGCCTCAATAGTCTGTCACTTACCAATCGATGTATGCAGTAGTTTCCGAGGAATCTCATTCTTTTTAGACCATTGCGACCAAGTCAATTTTGTCGACATTGGATCGTTCTTGCTCTGTTCATTCCACTGTAGATATTCAGGTTTTCTTTAGAAGATTCGAATAACGATAGTGAGAAAGGTAGAAGGAGAAAATTTCAATACACTAATAATTATAGCATACTTGTACGAGAGCTCATTATCTATTTTCACGTGTACACGTTTAAATTATTCCCCTTGTTCACGTAAATAAACAATAGACAGAATGTTTTCCCAATACTATCTTAGGTATATTTGCTTATTGTGTTAAAACGAAGTTTTGCGCATTTTTTTGAACTTAATTCTGTTCCATGTTCACTGAAAACGAAGTTTTTATTTAAGAGAAGGAATGGACTTTCTCTGTATCCATTTTAAATGAAGAATCAATCAGAGAAACTTGATTCCTAAAGATCAAGAAAACGATACGAATGAAAAGAATATGATATAGAAGAAACATCAAATAACAGAAAATGAAACCATCTTGATTACAAAACATCACGCATCACGATCCTTCATCATTGCATTTTAAGCAGGTCGAAAATGTAATAACGAGCAAATACATACTTTGAACAGGCTCAAAACTCTTTTCAATTTTTTTTTTCTGGTAATTGTCTTTGATATGTTTATACTATTATCCCATTGGGACAGCGAATTTCTTCTATTGTGTATTCTCGATTATTGAATGAATACACAGATAATACACATCCTTTCATAAAAGATTATAGCAAGAGAAAGTTCAATCTATATTCAGTTTAGTTATTTTTTCTTTAGTAATGAGAGTGCGAAACCCTGAATTTTCGTTTCATTTCTTTCTAAAATTAATATTTACCAACGACACGTTACACGCCCTCAGTATTCCCACTTGCTATGATTTCCAAAAACACTGAGAAAACAAGCTCGCAACCTCCATGGCGGATTCACCTCGAAATCCGTTTCATTCTAGATCACAATTACCTAGATTTTTAGCAACTGCTCCGAAAAAGCCTTCATCAATTCCTGCACCGAAAAAGCCTGGTTCCGGTACGCGTTCTCTCGCATATTCTTCACAAGCATTATTACTAATATAACAGAAAAGGATAGTTCTCGGGTGCAATCACTTGAATTTGCTTTAGAAAATGCAAAAAACGATTTGAAACAAAAAGAGATCGAAAGTGACCGAGAACGCAATGACTTGCTCGCCAAACTAACAGAGGAACGCGAACAATCGAAGGCTTTTCAAATTCGCGTCTCTTTGCTTGAAAAGCAAGAACATGAACGAGAAGCAACGAATCATGAAACTATTGAAAGACTAAGATCTGATAATGAATCGCTCGTCTTACAACTTTCAGAATTGAAGTCGAACTTAACCCAAGAAACTGCTGCCCGCGCGACTGAATTAGAAAAAACTCAGCAAGAGCTAAGGGAAAAAATATACAAGGTGGAAGATTTCCAACAGAGAAACAAGCTTCTTGAAGAGAATGCATCTCAGATGGAAATTCGTAATTCCTCTCTACAAGAACAACTAAACTCAAAGCTTAAAGAGTCACTAGATAAAGAGCAACAAGTACAGACTCTCATATTTGAAATAGAAAAGCTAAAAGAATCAGTGAATCAAGCCTCTGATTCTTTGGAGTTGAAAGATGCCAACCAAAAGCTCTTAGAACGAATCGCCGAGTTGGAAAAACTTCAGGAAAAGCATCTGTATATGATTGAACGATACAATACAAACTCTAGAAATATTGAAATTGTAAATGAAGAAAAAGCTGATCTTGAGGCTAAGCTATACCAATATGAAGACTACAAAGAGAAGGTCGCTGTTTTGGGTGTTGATAATGAGAAACTCCAAGCAGAACTGAATAGTTGGAAAAAGACATTCATGGATATGAACGTTCCCGAGCTTGCTGCAGAAAAGTTTAAGACTCTCCAGTCAGAAAATAAGACTCTCAGCGAGCGTGTCTCAGATCTCACACAACAACTACTCCAGGAAAGGATTCAAGGGCCTCCAATGGTCATCGAATTAAAAAACAAGGTAACTGACCTCAAGAACGAAAATAAAGAAACGAGTGAGCAGATTCGACGACTCCAACGCCAGGTATTCTTAGCCAACCAAGAAATCAATCTTTTGCGCGCAAACTTGAAAAGCTATGACGATGAGGAAGCCATAATGAATAATGAAAAGTCTGGCCAGAAAAAGCTAGAACGGATCGAATCACTCACCCAATTGATTGATGAATATAAAGTCTTGTTTGAAAATTCAAAGATCTATAACCAGGGAGCTTCCGCAGATGAACAGTCCCTAACTTTAAAGCGTCCTCGGAACGAAGACCAAGAGGATGTTGGCTACGTGACAGAATTGTATCGAGAAAATCAACATATACAGTTACAATTACAAGAGAAGCTAAATACTGAAGGATTCCTAAGAGATCAAATCAATGGACTTGAAGTCATTATTGCTGAATTAAGGCAAGAAATCATTCAAATGTCAGAACTAAAATCCTCAAAGGTCCTTCAACATAGATCGAACCCTACGCTCAAGCATGAAAGGGTAAAAGCAGAACAGCTTCACCTTCTTGAAAAAGAAAATGGGGGATACAAGGCCATCTTAGAAGAAAAAGATATTCAAACAGTACCTATGGAATCACTGGAATTAGCTAATCGGAGAACTTTGGAGCTAAAGAAAGAACTATTAGATCGAGATAAAAGAATACAGAGACTAAAAGAGATCTTTTCTGTGAAGTCTTTGGAATTTAGAGAGGCAATTTATTCTCTCTTTGGCTATAAAATAGAGTTTCTGCCCAACGGAAGCGTCCGCGTTACTTCTATGTACTCACATGAAAACAATACTGCTTTTGTTTTTGATGGTGAAACTAGTACAATGAAATTAGTGGGAAAACCTTCAAGTCCAGATTTCGAGCGATTAGTTAGGTTTTGGTGTGATGAGCGAAAGACTATACCTGGAATGTTGGCTGCTTTGACATTGGAATTGATTGACAAAAATGACCAGTCTACCTTGAATGAGCAATAGCGTAATGACAATTTCAATGACAGAATCAATTTATGCAGAAATCCTTTAAGTATTTATAGGATCTATACAAACTACTTTGCATTATACATACTTCATACGCATCATTTATACTTAATTCCCTCTATTTTATTCAACAAATTTTTGACATCTTATGCAGTAGCTGGAATACGTGCTATTGATTGGTTAGTGGTCTTAAACGTTGATACCAAAAACGAACTTACTGTAAATGTATTGCTTAGAGGAATGGTCCACCTTATTAATAACACCACGCTCGGCCAAGTCCTTAATGGCAATACGAGCAAGAGCACCGTTAATCTTCATACGGTCGACAAGGACAGAGACAGAAACAAACTTGAAGGCGGGAACCTCCTTGTTAATACGGTCAATCAAGGTCTTGTCAAAGACGGTGGCATGTTGAGCCTTGTCTTTCACTTTTCCTTTAGACCATTTCTTTTTAGGAGCCTATAAGTTATTAGTCTGGCTGTCAAAAGACATGGTAAACCTTTCCAGTTACCACTAAAACTCAAACTTCATACCATTTTTCACAGTGTTTACCTGGGATTCTAAGTTATGCATGGAAACGTTTTGACCAAAACTTGTGTGACTGTTTTCCAAGTAACAACTCACTAAACTGAACAAGTAACAAGTCTATGTGAGCAAAGGAATCTGCAAAACCGATCTATAGGTTCTTATTTTTGGTAGCAGATTTCTTAGGTATGGTATGAAAAATTTAATTTACTTTAAGTTATTCCCATTAAGGGGAAAAAATCCAATTACCAAATTGGGTCATCCTTTGCTCAATAAATTAGGAACAACTGTGCAATTGCGGCGTGCCGGCCAACAGATGGTGCGAAGAAAAGAAAAGAGAAATACAAATCGTATTTCTTTGAACGTTATAAGTTCTGTAGCGGCTGACAACATGATTGCTCCTTTGTTATGTGTCACCCTTGATGATAGAAAATACTTAATTGGAAATATGGGGGAGTTGATGCAATTGAAGTTTCGAAATCATCCACTTAATTATGGAGGGAAATTATTGCGATCATTTATGATGCCAGGAAGTGGTCGAACATACAATCCATGGAGTGCTACCGCTGGCCTACTCGGTTATGTGCAATCAAGCGAAATCGACACTGTTTTAGATTTGCATGCTCCTTCTAGAATAGCATCGCTTATAGCAAATTCCCGAAATTTGACTTCAGGAAGCAGTTTAAAATTAAATGTTATACCTTTTCAAAACAAGCTCTCGGAGGATCATGAAAGCTTTGAGTTTCGAGAAAAGGATTTTTGTACAATACAAGGAGAAATGTCACCTTCATGGTCATATCTGTCTTTCATGACCGTACCAATGCATGGTACTTTTAATTCCGAGAAAGCGAAACTCCTAGGTGTTCCTTTTGGAAAAGCAAATGGTTTACTATGTCAAGGAAAATCAGTTCTAGCTAGCGACAACAAAACATGGGTGCGCCCAGAAGAAGTACTGGGTCCTACAAGGCCGGCTCAAAAGTTTGTTATTATCGGTTGTAGCAGCCCTTCGGCTCTAGAAAATCTCATAAATTATGCGAATACATGGGAGCACGAGTTACCATCTTGCATTATTCATGTCCTTGACAAAGGGGTTTGGGGGAATGAGTATGCGAAGTTTATGAAGCATCCGAAGCTACGAAATTCGACGCATTTGATTTCATGCATTGAGCTTGCAAAAGATTCTCTCATATTCAGAAGAAATAGATCTGCTAATGTGCTTCCTAGTTGCCGTGGATTTTTGTCAACACATCTCTCCTCTGTTCACAGTCTTTCTGAGAATGTTTTTGAGTTAGAAGAGGGCTTATCTGTAGAAATATCTGACCAAAAATGCTTCGTCAAAAACGAAAACACGGAAAATGTTGGTGTAAAAACTCACTCTTTCAATGAATTACCGTCTCCTTCTGTCGGTTATGTCGTGGATATTTTGGGAACGAGTGCAACATCACCGACATTGTATCGAAGCCTCAGTTGCTACCTGGTAAATGTGGATAATTGTTTTATTCTACTAGACTGTGGCGAGGGCTCTTATTCTCAGCTTATACGGCAATATGGAACGAATCTTGATTCTGTATTGAAGCAACTCCGTTTAATATTTATTTCACATATGCATGCTGACCATTGGTTAGGGCTTGTGAATATTCTTTTAGCTTGGAATGAAAGTACTCGTGGAGCAGACACCACACTTACCGTCGTTTGTCCCAAATCACTACGGTTTTGGGTGTCAAGGATTTGTGATTCTACCAAGCTTTCACATATTGTTGAGCGTATTCGGTTTGTGAATGCTTCTACTGTACATGCGGGGAATGAGTACTCATTGTCGCAAAGTTTATCTTTATATACCGTTCCATCTATTCATATTTATGATTCGCACTCAGTTATTTTATCCCACAAAAGTAATGGAAACCTGGTCTATAGTTCCGATACCCGCCCAAACATGAGGCTAGCGAAAGCAGGAAAAAACGCCGCCGTTTTATTGCATGAAGCTACCTTTGAAGATGATTTACATGAAGAAGCTGTAAATAGATTCCATTCGACCGTCTCGGAGGCTTTGATGGTTGCAAAGAGAATGCAAGCACAAAAATTGATTTTAACACATTTCAGTACTCGTTCTATTGATACTTCTTTCACTGCTCCCAATTGGTCTATTTATCCAAAACACAAAACTATTTATGCCCGAGACGGAATGCGTTGGACGCAATCTATATGTCAGCCTAATAAAAACGCTCATAAATCATAATGGTAAGAAGTATGAATAATTTCTTTTTAATTCGTTAAAGTGGAGCCGTTTCACTATCACGTTTTTGTTGCGCTTAATATATGACACATTAATGATGCCAAACTTAATAATATCTTTACTATCTGTATTAATACTTCACCAAATGTATAGTAGTAAATTTACTGGATACTCATAAGACTTAATTATTACGCTCATTCCATATCACCAACAATCATAGAAGCATTAAGACATGTTTTCCATTGTTTAATTTGCATAGCTAAACATTAGTAAGTCAGTCACGCAACTACCATAATTCAACGAAACTTCGCTATTAATTGATGCTACTATCAAACTAAACCTCCATCTGTATGAGTAAGAAATAATTATTAAATTAAACAAGGAATACTAACATCTAATATTTAGATACAAAACATAGAATCAACCTGATTTTCATAAGTGTTTGTAGTAATTGGAAGCTTCTATACCTTGTATTTAATTATAGTTCAGATGTATGTTGATAGAATTGAATAAAAAATCGATGAACCCTCGACAAAACACGATTTTAGGATTCAAGAAAAACAAACAATACCAATTGATCGCTTCTTGGCAGACATCAAGATACCTGCTAAACTTGATTGCCCAAAGATACATGTAAAATAAAAAACTTTTATTCTTATATATTAGTTCATGTTGCGAATCAGCAATACGCTAGATGACACAGCATTAAGTGAACCCGACTTCAAAACTAAAAACGACTAGTTCCCAACACAACCAATTCAGGAACCAGGAATAGTAGCGTAAAAGATTAATATAGACAACAGGGATAAAAGGAACAATACTAGATAAGCATAATAACACAAAACTGTATCATGCAACATTCTTATATATGCGTATTTACATATAAACATCTGCAAAAAAAGCAGCTTAATCATAGTTGGCATTGGAGTAAACAAACATTGTCATACCGAGACGAGGGCTGATCGTGTGAACCCAGGACATGGAAGTGTCAGGGTTAGCAGCAGCAATTTCGTAGGTGTGAGAATGACCTGCGCGAGGGCAAGCAATGTTGGTAGAGTATTCACAGCCATAGTTGGAGCATTGAAAGCGAGCAACTTCAGAAAGACGTGTGGGTCCCTTGTTAGAGGTGGTTTGCTTCTTGGGGTTACCAGACATGTTATAAACAACAAACTCAGCAGGACCGTTAGAAGAAGAAACGTTCAAGGGGAAGAACTCGTTAGTCAAGCGAATGTCCAAAGCGCATTTAGTATAGTAGTACAAGGAACGGCCATAAGGCACGTCAAAGGTTTGCAAGACGGATTGGTTTTGGCCATTAGCACTAGAAACTTGAGGAATAGTGAAACGCTGCATGCGCTTGTCAGGAGCTTTGTAGTTGTAGTTGTAGATACCATGGGGCTGAAGACGCTCAGACTTAGGAGGAATGTCAGCAGAACGGTTAGAATAGTATTGTTCGCTGGAAATGGATGTATTAGAAAGACCAGTGTATTGACTACGGTAGTCAGAGAGGTTGAAAGCGACAGAGTCGATATCTTCACAGTCAATGCTACGTCCGGCACCAGTGAAGACTTGAGTACCACAGTGCATAAAACCCTTGCCGGAACGCTTCAAGACATAACCGAAGGGATCCAACTTACCACATTGCTGGGTGGCAGCAAAGTTGTTAGCGGGCTTGCGTTGAGTCAAGTCAACACGGTGACTACCATCATCATGTTGCTTCTTCTTATAGTCGGTGTGGTTGGTGAATTGGAGATCACGGTTGGCACCAATGTAAGCGTATTTGTTGCTGTCAGAAGCAAGACGTAAGAAAGACTCCTCGTCAATCATAAAGACGGCGGGATCGACGGCATCGTCCCAAGGGCGAAGGTAAGTCTTACCAGAGGTAGGGGAAACGTGCCAAACGGTGTAGTCGTAACCACTCTTTTCACGGAATCCAAGGACACCGAAAGTGTGGTTAACACCAACACCATTGTTAACATCATTGGAATGAGAGGCCTTGGAGGACTTGCGGTAAAGAGTATTAGAAGGAGCAGCAGAGCCACTAGAAACCAAAAGGGTGGCAGAAGCAACCAAACCAAAGAAAGAGTTGAGAAGTTGCATGTTTAAAAGAATAACAAGTAATCCGATATAGATAACTATAGATGAAAATATCTAAATAGATAACAGAGGGAAAACAAAAAACCAAGTTCAAACAGAATAGAACCGAAAATTATATGTTTTGAACTTTTTTATTTATTTCGGCGATTAGAATACGAAAGAATACCGATATCAACGATGAGAAAAAATTTTCCTAACAAAGTTGATGAAAAACAACGAAAGAAAAAGGTAAAGGAAGGGAGAGAAACGAGAAAAAAGGATTTGACTTTTCTTCTGTTTCTTTTTTTTTTTTAAGGGAGAGAAGGAGTTACTTTACTTTCGACTTGAAAAGACAAGACAGAAGAGTTAAAGTTAAAACAAGAGCAAGGTAAAAACCAAAACGAAAAGACTATACAACGAGATAGAGAAGGAAGCGTTTCCAAAAATTAGAAAAGCTACCGTAGTACTGATCCTTTCCTTATGAAAAAAAGTCAACCTCGCTATCTTGGTTTTCAAAAAAAGCTGAAGAAGGTGGGAGGGAGCCTAAATATATACCCGCTTCGTCACTTCCGTGAGCGGAGGTATCGGGATGAGAAAATAATAATGACAACGGCCGATCGCGTGATTGACGTAACCTTGAATCTCGGCACTCGTTGGTCGGGATAGAACGAGTTGGAACGCTAACTTTACCAAAGTGGACAACATCAGGATAGTGAAAGTAGTCTGTTCGTTTTCTGAATATAACGATAGTTTATTTCATAATGCAATAAATATAGGATATGGTAAGAGGGGAATAGTGCGATCCAGGAGAAGGAAGGAAAGAATAGAAAAAAAATAAGGACAAACAAAATAGTACAGGAGAAATATAGATGGATGAAGATTATGTTAATTCATTTTATCATCTAAATTATTAAAGGAAAGTTTTTCATCATCAAAAGATAAATAAATGAAACTTAGGTTATTCTTTATTTTGGTGGTCTCTTCCCTCTACGGATTATTCTGTTTCGCTTCCTTCTTAGAGAGGGCTTGACTTTTTCGATTTTCACCCCTCATTCTCCTCAACCCTCCCCTCGCCATCTTCCACTCTCATCCTTAATCTGTCTCATTAAAGTTTGGCTTAAGACATGGTACTAGAACTTTGCTGTTCGTTATAACAAATAAGGACGAGGTGGAAGTATCTCGCAAATATGATTGGCGAATATAGAGAGTACCGACCGATAGCAGAAATCAGTTGAGGGTGTCAAAGACCGAACGAGACCCTAAGAAACCCGAGACTTTACGGGTGACAGATTGGAGAGAGAGAGACAGGGAGAGAGAGAGATAGATAGTTAAAGATACTATGATTTTCGAGACTGATACTTAAAAGGAAGGATGAGATGTAGAGGGCTGGTAGAAGAAGTTGTTCGCAGCAAAAACAAACCAAAGATAATTAAAAAAATTGAAAAAGAAAAAAATAATAATAATAAAGTATTTATTGAATAGATAAATAAATAAACAAATAAGACGATAACGCGTTCTCGTTTGGATGATTGTTTTTCATTGGAAGAAAATTTATCTTACCAGTTACAGCCAAGTAGTCCACGTATTTACCGGTTTCGGTCATGACTGGCTTATAGGTTAGGAGGTCATCGCTAAAGGAATTTTCATGTTGAGACTTTGACCGAACTTTCCAATGAGATATGATAAGCAAGAAAACCTGACCGAGTGGAAACCAGCACATAAAAGTGAAAACCAACAGAGGAATAAACAAAAAATAGATATAGGTGTAGATAATTTTCTTGAACCATCTCTTACATCCATAAGTCCTTTACGCCCTTTTTCTCATTTTATTCTCATTTAATTTTTATTCTAGAGTGCCAAATACAAATCGTTTATACTTCCAATATATACAATACAATACAATACAATACAACAGTAATTCCTCGTGAACCATTGAAACAAGATTGTAGAAAGATACTATATCTTTTCTACGAATTCATCTGTTTATCATTCAGTTTCTTCTTCATTTAAATCAGAAAAATTCTGCTCTCCATGGTTCTCTCTTTGTTTTCACTCCATCATTGTTGCTATCCATAAAATTATCTTCTCTAATCACCATTCTATTAAAAATCACAGTTAAGATAATATTCTACATTGATTTTATTAGCGAGGTTTCTTTGGCCTTCTCTAACGTCATCCTTGAACCATCCTTCTTTCATCAGCAACGGCCATTTATCTTCTCCCCAAAACCTACAGCATCGTCTGCAGATTCTGATTTTGCATTTTTCGTGTTTTCTTTGCCATTTCTGGTTTAGTTGGTTTTGCTTCTCTTAACCTCTTGTTTTAGTTTCTATTGATCTCATTTTTGCTATTATTTCTTCATATCTTCTCCGCAACTTTTTTTTGTTGAACGTTTGAACCATGTCTGAACAACATTCTCTGAACCCTTTTGAACATACCGGTGCTGCTGAAAATGCAGACACTACCCAAAACGCTGCTGAGCAACTCATCCAGTCTCTGAACGCTGATCAGCTCGCTACTTCCTCTAAGCACGACACTACTGCTACCAAGAATGAATCTGGTGCTGGTGGCGCTGCTTCTAATCCCCATTTCTCTGAACACGAGACTCCTGTTCCCAAAGAGGAGGAAAAAGCCACCGCTTGCCCATTCTCTGGAGCCAAGGCCCCCTCTGCTGATGGTCATCATTGCCCTGCCATGGCTTGTGGTGGTCCTTTCACGAGCGAGTCTGAGCAAAGCGTCGATCCTAAAGTTGCTTCTTCCTTATGGCGTGTTCTCACTTGGAAGAATACTTCTTGCAGCTTGTCCTCTTTGTTGAGCATTCTCGCACTCTTCTTTGTCCCCTCCTGGATTAACATTCCCCGCTTGTTCTTCCGCACTATTCGCTACGTCTTGTTGATCACGTCCATCATTGAATTTGGCGGTCAATTTGCTTCTAGCGGTCGTCGTGGTGTTTTATCCCCTTTCCGCACCAAATATGTCACTTGCAACACCAAAGCTATCGACTGCTTCGTTAATTGTACTGTTGATATCGCTAATGTCCTTCTCATCCAATTCCAACGTGTCTTGTTTGCCGAATGTCCTTTGCTAACTTTTGCAGTTGCCATTGGCTCTTTCATTGAATACTTCCTTTCTGGTTTCCTCTCCTACAGAGGTCTCTTTATTTGGAATATCATTTTCGCTTTCACTCTTCCTAAATTGTATGAGATGAATGAAGCCTCCATCAAGCGCATGATCAGCTCTCTTGAGCAACAACAGAACAAGCTTAAGCATGACGCTGCTTCTGCCACCTCCTCTCAAAAGTAAACCAACTGTGACTGTGGCTTTGGCTTCGGCTTTTTTGAAGGAGAACCTTTTGTAAAATGTTCTTTTTCCTTTTTGTTGTATAAAAAGACATTTGGTTCCTATGTTTGTTTTTGTAAAAGACGGTTTGCTTTGTAACGAGAGTTTCCTGTTTATTTCATTTATTTTTCGTCATTCTATCTATGAAACGAACGAATGATGCTGACGCTTCTCTGATCTTGTTGTCTATCAGACAATGATGCCAATTTATTCATGGTTTTTACTTTACATATCTACCTGATTATATGATAAATATACTTTTGTTAGTAATCAACTAACTTAATAGTGGGAAAAGCTTCTTCGTGAAGTCATTTCAGAGTTCCTGCTTTTTGTCCAACAAGTTTGATCCACCTTCCACCACCAGGTCGTAGACTTTGCATTCATCAATATTAATGCTCAGCATACAACTTTATAAAAGCTTTTGAACATTATGTAGAGTAGTATAAACCAAGTAGGCCGTGGAAAATATTGAAAGGTTTTCTGCGTGTAAACATCAATCATACGGTTTTCACCATCGACCATGAGTGCAAAGAAAAAGTGGGTTATATCATCGCAAAAACATTACTCGCCATCCGAAGACAAAAGTTCTTTTACAAAAAACGCATTTGGATTTCACTCGAAAAAGTTTCAAAAGTCCCCTCTTAGGGAAAATATTGAAGATATTGAAGACCAAGACGAAATTCTACTTACCTCCATACGAGGATCCTCGACATCTAAAAAGCAAAAAAGGGAGCAGTTTCACGATGATATTCAAGAATTTTCGTCTGAAGAAGAGCCGACTTCCGTTCCTTTAGGTAGCCATGATTTCCGATATTCATCAACAATTGCAAACCCAAGTCTCCATTCTCCCTCCTCTGCTCTCACTTCCAAAGCCTTCGCGTTCCAATCCCCCACATCTGTGAAACGAGACCAGGCTCTCGAAAAGTCTCCTGTATCTGTGCATCTAGCAAAGTTTTCTGCAGCAGCTACCGGAACGCCTCCTCCCAAACCAGATTTTACAAACCGCTCACCTTTCTTAGATAAAAAGAAGAAAGAGTTTTCCTTATCGGAATGCACAAAGGCACTAGAAAGCCGCTATGTGGCACGCATACAGCATCGCGATTTTCAACAGCTAAACTTTGCCTCTCAAAATGTTAGGGATCAGTATACCAACCTGTTGTTGGTAGAGGAGAATCCAGCATCCGATTCACGAAAAAACTATCTACTATGCAAGAAGTCAACCGTCGAACTGGATCGATTACATTCGTTTTCCTTGCCTCCTCCCGTGTATAGATACCAGAATGATTGTATTGATGTATCGATAATTCCTTGTTAAAGCCAATATCTGTACCATAGATAGTTTTGGGTTGGCTCTCTTCAATCATTTCTTAGCTTCCTGCTACCCCAGAGATCTCCTTCTATGCCAGTCAAGTAATTTTATGTGGATTTTATCCGAATGCTCTAATGATGTTTGTTCCCTTTGTCCTGCCTGTCTAAATCGCGACAATAGCGTTACATATGCTACATAATTCTTCTAACAGTTTCGTCTACATACTAAATACTTCCATGAATTCTTATTATCTTCTTCCTATTTATTTACAGTTCTTATAAAATAAAATGAAATAAACACTATACCGTTTCCATCTCTCAAGACGCAGATAGAACTGACAACTTCAATCTACACCATAACCTACGGTACTTTTTGAGCTCCCTGTTTTGTTCAAATCTCACTTTAATCGTATGGAATGAGTACTTTGGAAGCCATCTATTTAATTGATATCTATGGGTAGTAACAGTTTTCTATTTTTTGCAAAATCTAACAAAAATTTGACAGATCGGTCCTGCTTCAAATTGAATCCAGAGGTAGAATATCGTCAGTGACTTCAGAGTTTATAAAGAGTGAAATATCAAAAAGCAAGTTAAGAAATGAAGAACCTCCTTTTATCATCTATCACATGAATTACCTCGTATTTCAACAATTGCAGGATGATGTTCGAATATGTATACCAGTAACCTGCGATACAGAACCTCTTTACATACATGATGTGATGAGACGGATTATAGAAGTAGTAAAGACTTATTTTGGAAGCTTCCAGTCATCCATAATTGAAAAACACACCTCTTTAATTGCACAGCTTCTGATAGAGATGATTGATTATGGGTATGCAATGAATATGGAGCCTAATGCTTTGCAAGACGTTATTCCCACTCCAAGTTTAATGAAAAAATTTATGGAAGTTACTGGTCTTCAACCTAATACACCTTCTGTTCACAAAAATACAGTGCCCTGGCGAACCTCCAAAGCCCGTTATACTAACAATGAGTTTTTTATCCGTATTATAGAGCGTGTTTTTGCTGTATATGAAGGTAATAATCAACTTGCATTTGGTTTTATGAAAGTTGACGTTGAATGTAAAAGTCAGTTGTCTGGAATTCCTGAGCTTTTACTATATTTGACGCCTGGATCAACTATGGAAAGTGCAAAGTTTCATAACTGTATTAATTTAAAACGATGGAAAGACCATCCTCTCCAATTGCAGTTCATACCGCCAGAAGGAAAGTTCATCCTTGCATCCTTTCACGCAGATTTATTTAAACAAAAATCTTTGCCTCTTAGTGTAGAAGCGAGGAATATGAATGATGGAAATTTTGAAATTCGCATACGGAACACAGGGAAAAAACCCATTGAAAATCTGGAAATAAGAGTTCCTTTGCCTGTGTCTTTAAGCAGCGTTTCCGCCACCCATGGTGACTATTTATTTCGTCCATCAAAAGGTTTAAACGATGAAGGTACTGTACTAGAATGGACTATAAAAAAAATTGAATGGACTTCCCCAGCCTATACTTTGAAGGGTGCCCTAAACAAAAAAAAGGGACTATCTATCAGTGATACTAGTTCTGAAAAGGAAGTGTACCCAAAACTTGAGCATCTGACTCTTCATTACAAATATCCACTCTCCATCCTTTCTCATTTTAAGGTTGAATCTCTCAAAGTTGTAAATCGTCCGGATATGAAGCCTTTTAAAGGCGTAAAGCATAGTGTAATAGCCCAAGATGTTTCTGTTCGCTTTAAATAACCTACTTAGAAATGTTTTCATGATCGTTCTTAGATGCTGATTACTAATGTACACTCTTTATCTTCATAATATATACTGAGTTTAACTAGTATAAATATAACTTTTTTTATTATCAAAAAGGCCTTGTCATCCTTGAATTGCTCCACTGTCTGAGTGCTCTAATATATAAATTAAAGTAGCCAAAGGCTTCAGGAAACTAATGACTTTTTCCGTATTAAGTTGCTCATAAGCCAAATAAAGCTGTCTCATTTTATCTAGCAACAATAGGCGTTTGTTTTTCTGTAAACTAGTAGAGTCTGCAGATAGCAAAGAGGAAAAAAAAAACGTCCAGCTTATTAAATGAAAGATCTGACGATTTTTCTTTTTCGGGATAAAACCTCGTGAAAGTGAATCAAGATGCTGAGTCGAACTATCCAATACGTGACGAATATTTACAGATATGCCTGCCCCTTTCATTATACAATACTGACTCAAACAATATCGAAGAGAAGAGTTACCAAGTGCCTGAAAAGCTCGCTGTTGTTTTTGTGGAGGCAAAAACTCCAAATGAAAGTCGATTTGGTTCAAAAAATGATAGGATTTTGTTAGTTGTACAACGACTGTAAGGCCTTTGGGAAGTGAAAGCCAAACCAATTGAAGCAGGTGGGCCGCATACTTTTCTAGTTTTTGAGTAGTCTCATTCGACAAATATGCCTTTCCCGCGGTCTTTCTATGATCTTTCTGATCATCTTCCGAAAAAGGAGAATCATATGGTCGTTGCTTTGGCAGAAAACCAGTTAAGATAATCTCTACTGCATCATCTAATTCACAATATTCTTCACCCAAGTATTCTTTCATTAATAAAGAATTATTTAACTTCGCATCGGAATCTAAGGCCAGTATCCAAATTTCTAGCAAGAGAAGCCATCGATTCATATCTTCGGGAATTGCAAACGTGTATGCTACCAAATCCCAAAAATCAACGTCTTTCGTAAACAGATTATGCATAGAAAAAACTAACAAGCTTTCATCACGAGGACTATCAAAGTCGGAAAGTTCCGTCTCAAATGACCAGGCTACTAGATTGTCTTTGCATCCTTTCTCTAAAATTTGTAGAAGCACCCAGCGACTAGTTTCTTGAAGATTCACTTGTGAGTATTCAGGATTAACAAGAAGAGTTAAGCATAACTGAATATAGCAAGCTGGGACTCTTGCAGAAGACACCTGAATTATATACTGTAAAACCCCTAGAGCTTTTAATAAGAGATCTTCCTCTATACAAAGCTCCAATATTGCTTTCAAAGCATAATTCATTTCGTTATGCTATCAATACTTTACAGTACAGTACCGCTTTGGCCCAGGTGAATGAATTAAGTGTTATTTTTCCAATCCCACTAACAGTAGCAGCAAAACAGTCTTTATAAAGTATTAACAATAATTAAAAATTAATAAAATAATATTTTATGAGATTGAACTTCGATCGATATACTTCCTAGGTCACAGTCAAATCTCTACCGAAACATTTACTTTTACAAAATTATGCATATCTTTTTACCATGAATCCAATCACTTCTTCACCTCTGTAACATGTTCTTGTAAGGTGTACGCAAGTTCACCTAAACAGTAGTTGCTATGTTGTAGTAAACTAGTACGGGACGTGAACCTATCCTTCACCAACATGGCTGACTTTCAAGATGAATTGTTAGCGTTAGCTGGTGTAGATGATGCGGGTTTGGGAAATGATCGTAAAAGATTGCATGATGAACTGTATGCTGCTTTTTTTTGTCAAGAAATCCTGAATTGACACGGTTTTTAGGGACGATGATTTGAGTAGTAGTTCAGACGAAGAAAAAGGCGATGAAAATGATTTCAATTCCAAAAATTCCGAAGTAAATGATAAAGAAAGTGAATCTGAAGAAGATTTCGAGGAAAAATACCAAAATCCATATCTGCTAGAAGGCAAATTTAAAGATGAAGCAGATCGAGCAAGGTAAACTCTTTGGCAAATTGAATTCGGATAGCTGACTGGATTTAGAATTATGGCCATGTCCGAAATTGAAAGAGAAAGTATTCTCTTTGAACGTGAAGAAGAAATATCCAAATTAATGGAAAGACGAGAGCTGGCCATTCGTCTTCGTCAACAGAATAATCAATATGCTGCACAGACAACAAGAAGTACGTACATACTATTTGAAGTAGAGTTCTTTTTTATACTAACAAATTCTTCAGAGTCTACTCGTGACAAACCATTGACCTCGACTGCAGCCGGTAAAAGAGATAAATTGACAGAACTAAAGAAAAGGCGCCAAGAACGAACATTTAAGCCCGACGAACCAACATTTAAGTCAAAGAAAGAAGGTCTTACGTCAGATTATGAAGAGGAATCCGAAAAAAGTGAAGCAGAAGCTTCTCCTTATTCTCCTACAGACCTGGAAGGAAAGGATGAAGTGAAGGTCGGGTTGTCGGACCTGAATAGTATTCGCATGGGTCGTAAGCATGTTGCTGAATATATGTATCACCCTACATTCGAAACCACAATTACTGGTTGCTTTATACGAGTAAAAATCGGGGAAAGAGATGGTAAAGGCGTATACAGATTATGTCAAGTTAAAGGAATCTCTGAAGGGCGTAAGCCTTACCGTGTTGAAGGTGTTCTCACAAAAACGTATCTAGAATGCTATCATGGTAAATCAAAGAGAGTTTTTGAGGCTAATGTTTTATCAAACGAACCTTTTACCGAGTCGGATTTTCAACGTTGGTGTCATCAAATGGCAGAGGACAAGCTCAGTATGCCATCGAAATCATTTATTGAGAGAAAACTAGATGATCTCAAGCAGATGACGCAGTATGTATTGAACGAAACAGAGGTATCAGACATTATTCGTAGAAAAAAGGAGCTTTCAAGGGTTCCTTCCAATCTCGCTGCAGAAAAAACACGCCTTCGTCAACATCGTCAAGCCGCTATTGCTGCCAACAACACAGAGCTCGCAAAAGAACTAGAAGAGCGACTAAATACACTTCAGGAACTTTCCGTGGGAAATGCGCCTCAAACAAACTTTTCGGCAATGGATCAGCTTGCAAAGGTTAATGAGCGTAATCGCCGCCGTAACCAAGCTGAGGTTCGTTTAGCTGAGAAGCGTATGAATGAAGAACGACGACGATTAGCTACATCTGTGTCAACTTCAGCTACAAGTCTGCCATCGTTAGCTATTGCTGATAGTAATTCTAAAACCTCGACGCCCTCCGTGTCTGCGTCCGGTGTTTCAACGCCTCAAACCGATCAAAATCTCTCATCTAATACTCCTTCAGCGTCTCAATCTCAAACTGCTGTCTCTTTCAACACTACACCTAAATTATCTCCTTCGGATTCTCATATATCGATCAACGAACCTGTTCCACCGCCCGCTGATCGTGAGCCCGCCACCTTAGCTGAGAAGGAAGCTCGGCTTCGTGAGAAGGCTGTTCACGGTATTGATGATTTGATTGCTACTGTTGATTTCGGTATTGATATTAACATTTGAGCAATTTCAGTTAAGATTGTATACTTCCACTGTTTATTGCCTGTTTTTATGATGAACCCACCGTTTCTTGTACAATCCGCATGTTGAACTCCAAAAAGCTACACTAACTTATTTCTATATCGTAATGTAATTATAATTATAGTTTGCAGTGGGCTTTCTTGAAAGAAAAAACTAAAAATACTTGAACTACTGGATCAGGAAGGTTCGTAGCTGGTGTATGCACTCAACAATTTTGCTGCTTTAGATAAATGTTTAACTGTAATTTTTACGACTCAAAATATACTTTTTTGGAACATTTATTTTTTAATTCTGATTGCCCACAATGATTATAATGAATACTTATATTATTGTAAACTCCGTTATAATTATGCGATTTTATAATAACCGGCCTTAAAATCTGTTTTCTACCAACAACGTCTGGTGTTGCAAAAGCCATATTTTGGCTTGCATCTTGTCAATTTGATTGTAATAAATAATTTATGAGTTATGAAGGATCCTATTGATAATCAGGTAAGGAGTTCGAAGCCATTGCTCAAATAACAGATAACTAACCCTAAAATAGGTGCCCAAAAAGATCAAGCATTTGCAGTTTGGCATCAGCGGGCCAAAGGAATTCGTCAAAGATGCCACAGTCGAGGTTTTTAGCCGTGATTTATATACAATGACCGATAGGTCACCAGCCGAACATGGTGCCCTGGACTTGCACATGGGTACTAGCAATAAGCAAATTACTTGTACCACATGTGGTGAGTCAATGGCCGATTGTATGGGCCATTTTGGTTATGTGAAACTTGCTTTACCTGTTTTTCATATCGGCTACTTTAAAGCTACAATGACCATTTTACAAAATATATGCAAGGATTGCTCAAGTGTTTTACTTACAGATCCTGAGAAGAGGCAATTTCTTAAGGAGCTTAGACGCCCTGGGATTGATAATTTAAGGCGATCTCAAGTTTGTAAGCGCATTAATGATCAGTGTAAAAAGACCCGTCAGTGTCCTGTATGCGATTCTATGCAGGGGGTTGTTAAAAAGGCTGGTCCTTTGAAAATTATTCATGAACGTTTTCGTTATGCTAGAAAATCTCAAGATGATGAGGGCGAGTTTCGCCATACCTTCGATGAGGCTATCAAGACTATACCCGAATTGAAAATGCATCTTACCAAAGCTCACGATGATCTTAATCCCCTGAAAGTTTTGAATTTATTTAAGCAAATCAATCCAGTTGATTGTGAGCTTTTAGGAATGGATCCAGAATTCGGACGTCCTGAAAACTTATTATGGCAATATGTCCCTGCACCTCCTGTCTGTATTCGCCCTTCAGTAGCTCAGGAAGGTGCAACTACTGAGGATGATTTGACTGTAAAAATTACTGAAATAGTTTGGACTAGTTCTCTTATTCGCGCTGCTTTGAGTAAGGGCACTCCTGTCAGCAATTTAATGGAGCAATGGGAATTTATGCAACTATCAATTGCAATGTATATCAATAGTGAAATGCCTGGTCTACGCCCTTCTGATATGCCATCGAAGCCAACACGTGGCTTATGCCAACGTTTAAAAGGGAAATCTGGTCGATTTCGTGGTAATTTGTCGGGTAAGCGTGTCGATTTTTCTGGTCGAACTGTTATTAGTCCCGATCCTAATTTACGAATTGATCAAGTCGCTGTCCCTTACCGTATCGCAAAGATTCTTACATTCCCTGAAAGAGTTACTACTCAAAACAAACTATTTTTACAACAATGTATAAAAAATGGGCCGGATGTTCATCCTGGTGCTAATTACATTATTGATCGTGAAAGTGATTTGAAGAGATTTTTACGGTTTGGCAATAGAAACCGTATCGCTGATGATTTAAAAATTGGTGACATCGTCGAACGACATTTAAATGATAACGATGTTATTTTATTTAATCGTCAGCCATCCTTACACAAGCTCTCTATTATGGCTCACCTTGTAAAAGTGCGTCCATGGAGAACCCTCAGATTTAATGAGTGTGTCTGTGGCCCGTATAACGCCGACTTTGATGGTGATGAAATGAATCTTCATGTACCACAAACTCAGGAAGCAAAAACTGAGGCTTTGGAGTTGATGGGCGTCAAAAACAACCTAGTAAGTCCTCGTAATGGTGAACCTATTATTGCAGCTACTCAAGATTTTATTACTGCTTCTTATTTGTTATCGTTAAAAGATACCTTTTTAGATAGAAAAACATTTGCTAATATGTGCTGTTACATGGTTGACGCTTCTGTACATATCGATATGCCACCTCCGGCTATTTTGAAACCTCGCTGTTTATGGACAGGCAAACAATTATTCTCTGTTTTGATGAAGCCAAGCCGTTTCAGTCCTGTCCAAGTTAATCTGGATGCGAAAACTCGATCATTTAGCAGAATTAAATCCAATACCCCTGAAATGTGTCCAAAAGATGGCTATTTAATGATTAGAAACAGTGAAATTATTGCTGGCGTTGTGGATAAATCCGTAGTCGGTGATGGAAAGAAAAATTCTTTATTTTACGTTATCCTTCGAGATTATGGCTCGATGGCAGCTGCTGAAGCTATGACTCGATTATCAAAAATGTGTGCTAGATTTATGGGTAATCGAGGTTTCTCCATTGGTATTAGTGATGTGCAGCCTGGACAAAGTCTTTCGCTTCAGAAAACGGACTTGGTTAACAAATCCTATGCCACGTCCGACGATTTTATTATGCAATATGCGAAAGGTACTTTGGAAACTCAACCCGGTTTAGACCAAGAAGCAACTTTAGAAGCAAAGATTTCTTCTACTCTTTCAAAAGTTCGTGATGATGTTGGTGAAATATGTATGGATGAACTGGGACCAATGAACTCACCTCTTATTATGGCCACTGCCGGCTCGAAGGGTTCAAAAATCAATGTTTCTCAAATGGTTGCCTGTGTTGGACAGCAAATTATCAGTGGTAAGCGTGTTCCAGATGGTTTTCAAGATAGATCACTTCCTCATTTCCACAAAAATTCAAAGCATCCTTTGGCTAAAGGGTTTGTTAGCAATAGCTTTTATAGTGGTTTAACTCCGACCGAATTTTTGTTCCACGCAATTTCTGGTAGAGAAGGTCTGGTTGATACAGCCGTCAAGACTGCTGAAACTGGCTATATGTCTCGACGCTTGATGAAATCGCTCGAAGACCTCTCTTCCGCGTATGATGGTACGGTTCGAAGCTCCAACAGTGACATTGTTCAATTCTTATACGGTGACGATGGTTTGGATCCTACATATATGGAGGGTGATGGACAAGCAGTCGAATTTTCTCGTAGCTGGACTCATTCTGTTAGTATTTCTGATGATAAGCATGACCAGCCCTTATTTCCATACCAAATTATTAATATTACAAAGTCTGCTCTTTCACATCCCCGGTTTATTCAAAATTGCAATGGAGATTTTATTGAAACAATTCGGAAATTCGTGACCGAGCTAATCGCTAACCAAATGGCCAAAGTTCGAGAAAATCGCGGTTTATCTCCTATGCTTGAGGAACCGGATTTAGACGATATGGATGATTTTGAGAGCGATGATTTCGCACCAGTTGCGGCTAGAAAGTCAGTGGAAAATATTATACGAGTCACTGAGAAACAACTAAATACATTCTTGGACTATTGCTGGGAGAAGTACATGCGTGCTAAAGTTGAACCTGGCACAGCTGTCGGAGCTGTCGGAGCCCAGTCTATTGGTGAACCTGGTACACAAATGACGCTAAAAACGTTCCATTTCGCTGGTGTTGCTGCCCAAACTACACTTGGTGTACCTCGTATCAAAGAAATTATTAATGCGGCAAAAACTATCAGTACTCCTATTATCAGTGGCCAGTTGGTTAACAATACAGATGAACGCTCAGCTCGCGTTGTTAAGGGAAGAATTGAGAAAACCTATTTGAAAGACGTTACTAGTTACATTGAAGAGGTCTACGGCCCTATGTCTGCGTATATCGCCGTCCAAGTAAATTATACTACTATATCTAAGCTCCAATTGGATATCACCTTAGCTGACATAGCTGCTGCTATATGGAGTGATCGAAAGTTGAAGATTCCTTCTCAGCAGGTTACCGTGAATAATACTCTTCAGCAGATCCATGTTCATACCTCCTCTGAGGGTAAGAGCGGCGAGAGTGAATTATATTATCGGTTGCAAAATTACAAACGCGCTCTTCCTGATGTGATTGTGGCTGGCGTTCCTGAAATAAATCGTTCCGTGATTAATCAAGAAGCTGGAAAGATTGAACTATTTATGGAAGGTTATGGTTTGCGTGAAGTTATGAACATTGAAGGTATAGTGGGCACAACAACAACAACAAATCATGTTATGGAAATGAAAGCAGTTTTGGGGATTGAGGCTGCTCGTACCTCCATTATCTCAGAAATCGGCTATACGATGGCTAAGCATGGTCTTACTGTGGATCCGCGTCATATTATGCTTCTGGGTGATGTTATGACTTGTAAAGGCGAAGTTTTGGGGATTACAAGATTTGGTGTATCGAAAATGAAAGATAGTGTACTGGCCTTAGCTTCATTTGAAAAGACGACAGATCATTTATTTGATGCAGCTGCTCGATTTGCTAAAGATTCAATTGAAGGAATTAGTGAGTGTGTTGTACTTGGAAAATTGGCGCCGATTGGTACAAATGTTTTCCAACTTATCAGAAGGACTGAAGAAGATGAAGAGCAGAAGCCAAAACGCCTCTTATTTGATACGCCTTCCTTACCTCAACTAAAACTGACTGCTTAATTCCTTACCCTTGCATTGTATAATACGAAGGCTTTTATAAATATTGGTTTTCAAGGTTATGTTTTGGTTTTTTTTGATTTAATAATGATACATAGTATTTTAGACTTGTTAACATGGAATTTAGTTGCAATTATAAAATAAAAGGATTTCCGGTATTAATTTATACATTTAATAATATGGACTAAAATAAATTAAATTCCAAAACCGTATCATGAGGGTCAGACGAATAAACGAACTCAGAGCATTGCATGTTGAAGTGGGTTAAAAACGTAGAATTGTGAATTCAATAATAACTTAAAAACATTGCCTACCTATGAGCGGTCAAAATTAAGCAGCGACGTAGTTCGAGTATTTTTCAATTAAATTGGTGCAATGCAAAAGCTTTTGTAGGTTGCATATCATATTAACCTGTAATTTTTCATTAAGATATGTGTCACTAGGGACATCCATGGAATCTAAAAGCCGACAAGCATGGGAAATTGACGACAAATCTGTCAGGGAGAACTGTGAGAGATCTTCGAGTTTGTTTCTCAAATGAGAAGCACACGATTGAAGTTTTTTAACAGTAAATCTTTGAGAATTTGCATTTATAGAATCTTCATTTTCCGTTGAGTCAAGTTGAGATAGAGTTTGCAAGGCAGAGGAATAACCAGATGGATATTCAGTGATTTCAAAAGGAATGCTAGCACACTTTCCACTGCGAATATTCTGGATGTCGTTGGGAATCTCATAGATCTTCATTTCATTCAAGTTGAAGTTAAACGGAAAAAGAAGTAAAAATTTCAGCTTTAAAACCTTTGAGCTCTATTGCACGACGTTAGCATGGCCCAATCGTTAGTTTAGAATTAGGCTGGGGACCTTGCTCTGCATGCTTGGGGAAAAAGCACAGGCCCATTGTTTAACTCACCTGCTCTAAGAATGATAAGACACTCTCATTAATAGCATCTGCAAACAAAGCATATCCAATAGGTGATGATCCCAAAAGTTTGCCTGCCTGTTAACAAACACCAAATGAAAATTATAAAGTAAAAATCTTACAATGTTCTATCTTCTCCGTAAGAAAAGATGCATCCAGATTTCCATTTCTACACACTAACTCCGCAGACTCTTGAATGGCTATAGCGAAATCAAAATTATGAGGTGAAGCTAAGCCATAATTGAAGCTTTTTCCGACAAGTAGTAAAGCTACGTCGGGTATAGGCGCATTGTTGGCTTCATACCTCGAATGTATAGCGGCCACTTCATATAAGACCGTCGATTCTCTAGTTAGACATTAGACTTTGATCACCGAGACAGTGCATTCATACACATAAATCATAATAAACAAGAAAACAAGAGAATAAAGGAAATTCTTGCTACAACAAACGATGAATTTTAAAGGTAGTTGGAAGAAATCACACGTCCAACAGTTCAACAAAAGTAACAAAGTAACAGGCATAAATGTAGGAAACATTATAAACAAGTGAAGTATAACAGAAGCAGGAGGATGTAATAAATAAAAAATGAACAAAATCTAGAATGAAAAGAAAATACAAACCTTTCAAAAACAGATCTGAAAGCCTTTGTAGAATACCCTTGTGCATATATACAGAAAAAAGATATCAGCCAGCTAACAGATACTTAAGAGTATTTGACAACTCATCCGACAGAATTATCCGACTACATTTCATAATGCAGGACTGTTAGGATAGGTTCTCAAAAGCTTATGCATGTTGGCTTGTGATAACTTGATTTGTTCCTTTAGCTGATAAGCTTTACCTTGCAATAAGGTAACCTGAGATTCCAAAGTTTGGTTTGGCGAATTTGGAAGCTGTTGCTCTTCTGCTGCAGAAGAAGCATTCGAAGCCGGGGAAGAAGCAGCGGAATATGCACTATACGGGATAGCAGAGAAATTTAAGACCAGATCTCGAGAAGTAGAACTGCGAACGTCAGGACTAGGAGCAAAAAATCCAGAGGAAGCTGAAGACGAAGTCGAAGATGAAGATTTCGGTTTTTTTCGAAAAAATCCTTTCTTCTCATGTGTGCTTCCTGGAGCATTCAATGGGGATGATCTCTGAAGTAGTAAGTCCTTTTTTTCAGCTACTAACCTTTGTAACTTCAAAATCTGGCACTGGAGACTTTCCAATTTTGCGTATTTCTGTTGCATATCTGTATAGGCGTTGACAAAAGCCTCATGAAACATTTTTGCCTGCTTCTTGTTGAACCTAGCTGTCCATCTTCCAAGGGCTTCTGTAGTTAAAGGCTCATCGGCTTGTCCAAGAGATTCATCTCCATGTGCGCTACTTTCGTTTCCCGACGATATTGTCGAAAAAGAAACGAACGAATTCCCTCGAAACAGGACCGTTCGATGAGGCATTACAAAATTGCACTCCAAAGTGCAAGGATTCTCCTTTGGATTCTATTCTGAAGCCAACAAGCATCCAACGAATGTTGTATGCTCCGCGCAAGTTCGATTTCGTTTACTCTTGCATGAATCACCGATTAGCGCATTGCAAACAGTCGCGGTATATGGTGTTTGTGTGGTATAGCGTGGTCGTTAAAGGTTTCTGAAAACGCGTTTTGTTTACGTGTGCCCTTGAACATGTCGAAAGCAAAACAAGCGCTTGAATGAAGATTGAGTAGTTTTATATTCAATTTATCGATTCTTGGAGACCCGTGAGGTTTTAGTTTATTCATGCACAAAAGAGTTGGCATTGGCGCGTTAAACAAGGATCCATTCAAACAATATGAACAAGTAGGCAATGAATTGATAGAACAACAAGCTGAAGAGATTGCTTCTCAACTTTCCACTTTTCAAGAGGCTTTGAAAAATTTTGCTAAAGAACATGCAGCTGAAATTCGCAACAATGCTGAATTTCGTAGAACATTTACAAAACTGTCTTTGAAAGTCGGCTTAGATCCGCTGGTAAGTGGATCGGGTGAGTCTGCATGGTCGGCTGTTGGTATGAATGAGTTTTACTTACAAGTCGCTGTTCGAGTGGTTGAAGTTTGTCATGCAACACAACTGGAAAATGGAGGACTCGTCTCTGGCAGCCGAGTTTGCCAATTTTTGAACGAAGAAAACGAAGCTTCTGGGTATGATTTGTTAACAGAAGATGACATTATTCGTGCTGTGGAAGCTTTAAAACCCCTTGGTCCAGGCTGTGATATTGAAGAAATTGCCGGCAAGCGTTATATTAGGTCATTACCATTAGAACTTAGCAAAGATCAGAACTTTGTGTTAGAAGCTGTTGAGGTACTTGGTTATGTCACTGTTTCCATACTGAAAGACAATTATGGTTGGGATCATGGGCGATGCATCCATGTGTTGGTATGTTCAATAGTCTTACACTCGATAGCTTTTACTAATTTGACGCGCAGAATGACTTGGTATCAAAGTCACTTTTATGGATAGACAATCAATCTGTGGAAACTACCTACTGGGGAGCCAGTACGTTAATTGACGAAAAACCATTTCAGATAGTAGAATATTAGATTATAAACTCTATAAATTCTCTTGTTTTGATGCAACCCCATTTTAAAACTTATATGGAAGCCGGAACATAAGGAAAATTAACAAAAGATGTGAAAAATCATAATAAAACGAAAAAAAAAAAAGAAAAGAGGTCATGCTATGCATACTTAAAACTTATGAAAAATTAGCCTCTATAGATGATAAAAGTCATGCTTTGAAGGTCTTTGGAACATCAAAAGAAGATGGAGAGAATGGTGTAGTCATGAAAACAAAATGAACTGGACGATATCCTTGATCCTGCAATTCATTTTCTTCACTAAATTGAAGAAGATCAACTTGCTTCTGTGGCATCGGAAGCGTCTTCAGGCTAGTTGCAGAATACGCTCTAGGAGGATGAACGCCGAAGTTATGCCGGTTTGAGTATCGTTGGAAAGAAGAAGGAACTCGTTTTTTTCTTTCCCTCTTTCGCTTATTTTTTATATAAACTAATTTTACACGGACATAAGCTTCTGTTTGCTCTGGATGCAATTTTAGAGGTAAGATCGTTTCTTGAAGTCCTTCAGTCAAAGCTTCATCCAGAGAAATCTCAGCTTCACCCACTACATGAGGAATCGTTTTACTACGAAATTGAAGACTAATGTTCAAAAAGGAAGATGAGGTAAGAGTAGTAATGGCGAAGGAAGCCTTGTTGCTCAGTCTATGTTCATTGACTCCCATATGCGAAAGAGGAACACATTTCATTACCCCAGATAACTTTAACAGGCACTGAAATGGCTTTACTTCCATTGAATGCTTGAAAATCGATTCATACTGGTTACGATAGATCAAGCGTTTCCATTGAGGACTCCATTCTTCCCATTGTTCAGGTGTCACATAGATATGCAACCTCCCGAGTTCTACAGAACTCATCGGTGATATCAATTTGTGTGCTTTTTACCCTCCAAAAGATAAATTGGCTTTATGACAAAGGGAACAAAAAAATCTGCGACATGACTCTATTAGACTTACCAGCCATCTTTATTATTTTTGGTATTAGCAACGGAAAGTATCGTTGTTACCATGAAACAAGTAACATTTTGTTTACAATCGCTTTTTTTATAAAACAATCAAAGTTATCAGATTTTATTTCTTTAAATCTTTATAAAGAATTTTTCTTTTTTATAAAGATATTAAGCAATCTTGGTTATGCAGATTTGCGTATGCCAATCCTGTCGATGTTGAGTCTCTTTCGTATAAAATGATTTACATAGCAATTGGTCCCAATTCAAGTCATTTGGTGACATATGCAAAGCTTGAAAGGGATTTTAACCTTCCGTATCTAGTGGATCCGTGTGCTTTTCTTTGGTATTCATAATGTATCAACAAAACTCTGGTGATGGTGTGTTAAAATCTCACCAAAGCCTAACAAATGGATACCTCTACTGGATCTATAAAAGCGGGTCTAAAAGCTCATACAGACATAGGGGAACTTAATTATGATTTTATGACTTCAATGACACTTGGTTCTTCCTGAGTTTCTCTCGCTGTTGATTCCTTTCGGCCATCTATTTCTCTGTTCATTATTTCTTATAATATTTATTATTTATTTGTTCTTAATTTTACACTGTTTGTTCAAGGTACAAAAGACATGCCGATGATTCTTTGCTTTTATATTCATTGTCGTTTATTAATTTTTGTATTTATAATTATGAATTTAACATTCGTTTTTCCATTTAATTAGCAATAAATCGTAGTGATGAATTTTTCGTTTGCCATAATCTTCACCTCATACCTAATAGACAACAATTAGTCAGTCAGTCCACAAATAGTTGATCAGTCCACAAACTTCACCTTTGCAACAGCTTATTGAGTGTTTCTTTTTTTATTTAAAGAAATTAAATACAGATTTAGATTTTCCAGTGTTGCTCAAATCGATTCTGTAGTTGTACAGGTTTTACATCGATTTGAACATACCTTATAACAAAGCTGACGATAGTATTCCTGAGAATTTTGCACTTTTGGGGAGGTAGCGGTGGACGCATAAATGATATGAAGAAGAAAGAGCTGAAGAAACGGAAAATTGACGTGAAAGTCGCTTTGATAAATTCTGACTTGGATACTCTATCCCAAATTGGTAGAACAGGACATGGATTTCTTATGAAAAGCTTTCGAAAGCCTGCTTGTATGTTGTTGTTAGAAAATATTTCGACTTTTGACTAATTTTGATCTTACTAACGCGTCTGATTTGCAGGGACTCTCCTTAGTGGGCTCTCTTCACAAGATCGAATGGAATGTTTTGCTAAAACATCCGTCCAATCTTCCTATGCAGACCAAGTTCAAGTCCATTTGGATTCGGAGAGATCGTTTTTCCAGTATAAGCTGAATCCAATACTGCTTCGAAAACATCGTTCACAATTGATCAAATTACTAAGTACAATCTTTAAGCGATACCCAGAGTTGTGCTACTATCAAGGCCTTCATGACATTGCACAGATTGTGTTGCTTACACTTCCTTACTCCCATGCTCTTCCTTTAATGGAGCATCTAGTTTTTCATCGCTTACGAGGTACGTCATGAGTGTTCCCTTGCATTTTTTACATTTCCAAAGTTATTAATCAGCTTGTTGTTTAGACTTTATGCTCCCAACGTTGGATGCCACGATCAAACAACTACAGCTCGTTTTAGAGATTATTCGGTATCGTGATTTGATTCTCTACGAATATTTAAAAAAGGCCGACGTACAGTGCTACTTTGCGCTGTCTTGGTTAATCACATGGTTTGCGCATGATATCTCCGATGTTTCTGCTGTGGGCAGATTGTTTGATTTTTTTTTATCCTCCCATCCATCTGCGGTCGTGTATACCTGTGCTCAAATAGTCATGGATGACCGAAAGAAAATCATCGAGCTTTTATTGGATAATAATGGAGCAGATATTCTCCACACCTATTTATGTAAACTGCCATCGAAACTCGATGTCGAACAACTCATTCACAATACTTGCGCAACAATGGCAAGCATCAATTTTCCGTCTTTGCCACTGGAAAAGCTTAGGATATCCCCTTTTAGTTCCCTTCGAAATCAGGGTCAACCTTGGGAATATTCGAGCGACAAAAACGGCATGGTCGTGTTTCGCTTACTACGTGCCGATCATCATGACAGTGGCACTTCCAAACAGGACTGGAAATTACCGCTGTTTTTTCACGAGAATATTTTCAGTGGATGCAATATGATAACAGCAATAACAGTTATTGGTGTTGGTATCGTGGCTTCTCAATTAATGCCTAAATCCTCTTCCAACTAATAATCGAGGCCTCTGACCAATCCCAGTATACTAACATTTGACTTTTTTGACATCCATTTTTCTTTTTTTCCTAATTTATACTCTACTTTTTTTTAATTTGGTTCATCCTAATCCTCCATTTGATCGATCATTGAATGCGACCAAATAACGTTGGTATTTACTTTTGTTTCTTTGCAAATCCTCTTTTTCTGGAAGTGTTTTATCAAGGCTTCTCTTTTCGATTTTTCATCATTGTTATTAGTTTTAATTCCCGTATTCTATTCTTCGTTCTGGGAAGTTATAATGAATAGTGTCCTTGATATCCTCTTATAATTTTGCATTTAGGATTTCATTAATTATATAAATATATTTGTTCGATTACTGTATGACAAATGAGAATGGGGTTTTGTTTTTGGATTGGTATACTGTGTGCTCGGATCAGTGTTCACATATGTTCACCACTCAGAGCAAGGGTTCAATATATATTTATAATATATTATTTACATAGCAGGATATAGATCATTCCTTCGAAATAAGGGAATGAATTTTCGAACATGTTCAACAAGGTTTAAATCGACGTTGGCGAAAATGAGACCATTAGGAGATGCAAGATCACTGTATTGAGCAACGACCGTTCCTACATAGGTTAGTAAAAAGAAAATAATGTTCAAAAGCGCAAAGCTTGTCGACTTACCCCAAGGATCAACAATCTATAAGCAAACGAGTGCGTTAGCAAACCGTAATAAATACATATACACTTACCATAGCGTGACCATAACTAGCTCGTATTTCATTATGGCTCCCCCCTTGAGCAGAAGCAAAAATATAAGATTGAGCATCAAGCGCACGGGCCCTAAGCAAAACTTCCCAATGAGCAGCGCCTGTCTTTTGCGTAAAAGCACTTGGGTAAGTTATAATCTGTGCTCCCATGTTACGAAGTTTTAAGGCATGTTCTGGAAATCGTAAATCAAAGCATATAGCGGACCCGACTTTTCCTAATGGAGTCTCGAACGGGGGAAGAATTGCATTACCTGCTACAGTAGTATTTGATTCCTTCAAAACTGGACCATTTGCAATGTCGACGTCGAATAAATGAGTCTTGTTGTATCGCTGAACAATTCCCTTATCGGGTTCTATAAGAAGAGAACTGTTTAGTAGCTTGTTTTCGATAGCAGAAGGCTCATGAACCCCAATCTAAAGTACAATACGTAAGCAAAAATTGAAATTGAGGAGCAAAAAGAACAGCTTCATACTTGTACATAAATTGAATTCTGCTTAGCTTCAGCGCATATTTGGTTTACAAAGGCTGAACAGTCAGGGTGACGACTTAATTGTAAAGCTTCAGAGCTCTAGTTATCATTTAGGTCAGCTGCAAAGATGATTATGGGGAAAGGAGTGTAGTCTGAAAATTGAAGCGTACATTGTGAGCAATAAAGTCAGAAGCTTCAGGAAAGAAAACGCATTTCGCTCCCTTGGATGCAGCCTCTCCAATTAGGTCTTTACATATTTTCGCATTTTTTAATATATTCGAAGTAGAAGTAATTTGAGCTACTGCTGCCAGCGACATGAACGAAAAGAAATATATGACGAGTAGTAAGAGGTGAAGACTTTGTTTTCTTTCAATCTGGAAAAGGACCAAAAGAAAAATAGGTGGTTAAAGTAAAGTTGAATTCATCATCGTATAGAGGAACAGCACGACAATTAAATATAACGACATCTGAGATTGATATGATGCTTCAATCACTGGTTCTATATCTCGGTATACGCAAAAAATAAATGAACCACAGAGAATACGGAGAGTCAGAAGACTCACTACTCAAAGTTTGTATTCATGGGAAGATATGAAATGAAATGAATTCCTAGTTACTATGCGTAAATTCACAAGTTATGCTCCATCAAGGCGTGAACTGGAAGCTACGCATAACTTTCGTTCTCCTTTCCACCCTTTTACCTGACTTTTTCTGTGTCTTTTTTATCCATGAAAGTGTTTTTACTTCTGTTGCCTTTGTACTTTTCTTAATTTTGTTTACCAGAAGCAAACACCTGCCTGAAATTATGAATATAGAAAAGGAATCATATTAATATAAAATGATAAAAAGGTCCATCAAGAATTTCAAAGGCCCCTAATACGGTAAAAGCATACTTGGCCTTTTTTTTGACATTTCCAATCCTACGCTTTTTTGTTTACTACAGATAATTTGCGCAGTGCGTTATATTTATTAACGCTCTTTCCTTCTTTCGTTATTAAAATAGGATGTGTCCTGGATTCGAACTTGTGTACACTGGCAAATTTTCAGAACCATTTCTTAAGTACCGCCGAAAAATCCTGCCCTCAGCAAATTTGCCATCTACCAACTTCTACCCCAATGGCCACGGCAGTTTTCAAGGTAAGAAGAAACAGGCTCTCTTTTTCTAAATATCACTAACATGAGTTTGTTTAGAACATCTCTCCAATTCCGGACGTGAACACGTTCTTGGACGTCGTTCTTTCTCGTACTCAAAGAAAGACGCCTACGGTCATTCGATCTGGCTTTAAGGTATGTGGAAGGACTTCTACTTTGACATAAGAACTCTTATGTGTTCAGTAGAAAGAATAATTGGTTGTTCTTGACTCTAACGATTTGACAGATTTCTCGTATTCGGGGTTTCTACGGCAGAAAAGTAAAATTTACTCAAGATACTTGTACTGAAAAGCTGGATGCTATCCTTCAAGAGTTCCCTAGACTCGACGACATCCATCCTTTTCACGCAGATTTACTGAATATCCTCTATGACAGAGATCATTTGAAAATTGCTTTATCGCAGCTTTCTACCGCAAAGCACTTGATTGAAAATGTGGCTCGTGATTATATTCGCCTTTTAAAGTACGGTGACAGTCTCTATCGCTGTAAACAACTCAAACGTGCTGCTTTGGGTCGTATGGCCACAATTATCAAGCGTCAAAAGTCTTCACTGGGGTTTTTGGAGCAAGTGCGTCAACATATGTCTCGTTTGCCTTCGATTGATCCTAATACTCGTACCTTGTTGGTATGCGGATACCCTAATGTTGGTAAATCATCCTTTATGAACAAGGTCACTCGCGCAGAGGTCGATGTGCAGCCTTATGCTTTCACTACTAAATCTCTTTTCGTTGGTCATTTTGATTACAAATACCTTCGCTGGCAAGTCATTGATACACCAGGTATTCTTGATCATCCTTTGGAACAAATGAATACCATTGAAATGCAATCCATCACTGCGATGGCTCATCTTCGTTCTGCTGTTTTGTACTTTATGGATCTTTCAGAAATGTGCGGTTACAGCATTGCTGCTCAAGTTAAATTATATCACAGCATTAAGCCTCTGTTTGCCAACAAACTTACTCTTTTGGTGGTCAACAAGGTCGATGTTATGAGACCCGAAGATTTGGACCCTGAAAGCCAAGAGTTGATTCAATCCATTTTGGCAGATGGAAATGTGCAAATGGTTCAAACCAGTTGTGTTAGTGATTTGGGTGTAATGGACGTCCGCAACAATGCATGTGAAGCCCTTTTGGCTGCACGCGTTGAGCAGAAACTGAAGGGCACACGTGTGAACAATGTCTTGAACCGTATTCACTTGGCAGAACCTGCTGCCCGTGATAATGCCAGTCGTCCAGCAATCATTCCCGATGCTGTTAAGAACCGTCGTGCTTATGATCCTAAAGATCCCACCCGCCGTATTCTTGCTCGGGATATTGAAGCTGCTAATGGTGGTGCTGGTGTATTTAATGTTAATTTGCGTGATAAGTACATGCTCGCTAACCCTGAATGGAAGTACGATCGTGTTCCTGAGTTGCTTGATGGCAAAAACGTGGCCGATTATGTCGACCCTGATATTGAAGCCAAGCTTGTTGCTATGGACGAAGAGGAAGAGCGCATGGAAAATGAAGGTTACTATAACTCTGATGAAGAAGTTCCTGAGGAAGAAGAGGAGCGCCTTCTTACTGAGGCTGAGAAAATCCGTGAAAAGAATAAACTTATCAGAATGGCTTCTCGTCACAAGAAGATCAAAAATCGTCCCATGTTGCCTCGTACTGCCGGTGTCCGTACTCTGGATCAGTTGGAGTCTTCTTTGGAGAGCGCTGGTCTTCCTTCCCACTCTATTGGCGAGCGTGCTCGCTCACGCGCCCGCTCTGGAGCTGCCGAAGAATCTGCTCGTCTGTCTGGTGCAGACGTAGTTATGCAGGAAGGATCTGAAGTGCGCTCCAAATCTGTCGCTCCCCGCTCACAGAGCAACAGACGTGATGCAGGTTTGCATTCTGAAGGAGGTCGCTCTTATGCTGAACGCTTGAATCGTGTCAAGCAGGTACACCGTAACCGTATGGCTAGAGCCTCCGAAAGTGACCGTCATGTTTTGGCTTCAAAACCCAAGCACTTATTCAGTGGTAAACGTGGACTGGGTAAAACTCAAAGAAGGTAAAGTTATGGTTTGGTATGGATTTTTTTATTTTTATTTTAATATAGTTTTGGTGCACTTTTCATTCTCTTCATAGTTTGGATAATTCGGTTGGATAAAAATAAACAGGTATACTATTTGTTTCATCTATCAATGTCTTCATTTCATTATTTAATGAATTCTCAAATACAATAATTTTAAACGATGTAGGAGTGTAGCACTAAGTAAGTTCATGGTTTCTGTTTCCCTTATCGACTTTGTTCAGCTTTCAGTATTTATTTCTCAATCACCTTAGCATTCTTCTAATACATATTTCACCTTACTTGAGGACACTGTTGAGGCGTCGAGGTTTTAACATGAATTTTGGCTGATTGACCTTTGTACAAACATTAGACAGACTTCAGAATTTTTTTAAAAGGGAATAGAATATGTTTAATCCCTGTACAGTACGAAACAAACGTTCGACTTTACGAGATATTGCCCCGAAGGAGAGCAATACGTCTGTGCCTAAAATACCTTTACCGGCTTCAAGATTCAAAACGAAACATATAGATGCTCTTTGCACATTGATGCATCTTTGTTTATTACGTGAAGATTATCACCGAGCGTTTCACGCCTTCTCTCTTTTGTTGCGGTCAAAAGGAGTAGATATCTGTAAATTGTGGAACATCGGTTTAGAAATATTGAATCAAATCAAACCTGATGCTTCGACTGAATATTTGGAGCGTCTCATCGCTCGTTTTCCTGCAAACCCAAATAAAAACCGTACACAGCGTTCCTTAACGGTAAGTGTTTATTTATATATGATTGATTGATTAAGTATTTCTTTTTCTTTTAATTAACATAAGCTAATGAGATCTTTTTAGTCTGAGCAATTTTTCCCTGCATACATATTACTGCTAATTCAGAGACAGGAATACCAAAGAGCGATGAATGCGTTGAATGAATATATGCTTTCTCCTCCGTTTAACCAAAATAAAGCTTTGTATGAATATTCTGGAATGCTGTGTTTTGAACTCGCCAAAAATGAAACTTCTGATGATGAACGAGACCAATGGCTTCAGAAGGCAAAGCAGAATCTTCATGATGCGGGCATCAATTTGGAGTTATAAATAATTATTCTTACAACATACTTGTAAATTGGTTGGTACTGCTGGTTAATACGAAACTTGAAATCAGTATAATTTGTCAATTTTTGTTATACGTCGAGATTTACGTTCGCCTATTAAGGAACAAGACAAAAGAACAAGAAAAATAAAATAAAACAAAAAATAATAATATATAAACCTATACAAAAACCTAATAAAAAATGATGAATATTAGTACAATACACGCTCTGTATCAAGAGAGATTCGTGAATCCATCTTAAATAATTTATAAAGCATTTTAAGAAAAGATTGAAGTTTATAACCTGAAATTTTCCAAAACGTAAAAATCGTCGCAAGTTATTTAGCTCTAGAAGAACTCATTGTATCCAACGATATCATATCCAAAATGTCTTTAATCTTTTCTTTTCTTCTTTTTTGTAAAATAGCAAGTTGTTTTCCAAGTTCCATCCTTTGCCTTTCGTGTCCAGAGGGGTCTTTTTCAAGCTCCATACGAGAGCCTGAGGAAACTTTGGAAATTTTATGGCTTCCAACTAAGTCCAGTTCATCATTCTCTCCCCAAATCTGAGAAAAATAGGAGACGTACTTGCTTAATTGAAGTGCTTGAAACGTTTCTATTTGATAAGTTGCAGCTCTCATCAATTCAAGCAAATGCAATAACGTACTTTTTAACTCATTTCTTTGATTTGAGAGGAAGTTTGGCTCATTATGGGTAGCTTCATTCCACAATCTTTGGCTTGTTTCACTTTCGCGAACTGTTTGCTCTAATACCTCCGTTGCCAAACTGAACGTGGTCTGCTTATCCGAGAGTGAGCTTTCATGATATTTCGTCAACTCTTTAATTCTTGATAAAACATTCGGTAAGGCATTTTTCATCAATGAATTTTTCAAAAAAGAAGGATGCTTATTTGTCGAAGACCGTAAGGCACCTTCTGCCGTAATATCGTCGAAGAATCCCTTCGTAGCTTCTTGCTCCAAAGGAAACTCCATCTCTTTTGAAGTTAAGAAGTCAGAAGGATATTGACCTTGATTGTTTGGAATCGTTGCGCAAGCGTAAAAAGCCATGAGCAGCCTTGCGCATTTTTTAGCACCGTTTCTAGCACAAATGAGTAGAGCTGTGTCTCCACGATCATCCTGCACGTTTAGTATTTGCGTTGCAACTTCAACAGATTGTGTTGAAGTTAAATTCTGAAGCAAAATATCCATGTAATAGCGAGCAGCTTCCATCTTGGATTTTGAAGACGCCAAAAGTGCTATATGGTGGAAAACGGTCTGGCCAAAGCTATCTGTCATACAAAGAGCAGACTGTAGAAGCTCTGATACAAGCTCAAACGTTTGAAGATCATAATTCATCGTAAACATAACACATCGCATTAAGGAGGTTTGTTGTAAGTAATTAACAGATACGACGTTAGCTTCTGCTTGTAAGAGCGCATGCATCATCTCCAGATTTCCCATAGCAGCTGCCCAGTGTAACGCAGTATGGCCATCTTCATCAATACTAGCATTGACATCCCAATCGGGCGGTCGTTCATAGACGAAATCTGGAGGTTGGGTATTATTTGAAAGTAAAAAATAGTCTAATAAGGCTTGGGAATAATGCTTTGAGTTGGGAACAACTTCCTTGAGGCCGAGAGCATCATTAAAATCCACAGAGGAGAGGATAGAACTTTGAGAAACATTTGGTTGAAGGCTTAAAGAATTTGACAACTCCGGCATTCTAGGAGCAGAAGGCAATTCTTGCGAAGAATATGATTCGGATGAAGGCTGTGACACGCAGAATTCATTATTGGAGGGGTAGGAGGATACCGATTTATTAGATGGTTTCTGCATGCTTTGAGGTGTATATAAATGGGCAGAATTCATATGCGACTCGCTGTATTCCAGCAGCGGACTTATAATGGAATATACATCGAACTCCTGGGCTAGCTCAAGGGCTCTTTCCAAAGGAACCCACGTACCTAATATTATTAGCTAAAAGAAAAATAAATTGGGAAATAAACTCATACCTTGATATTTTCCACAACCGCCTTGTACTTTTTCGTGTAGCCCTTTTTGGGCGAACTTTTCCAGAATTCTTGTCCGCCTAGGCTTGTCTAACTCAGCAATTTTGAGAATTTGAGTAGCATTCATCCATTGGTCATGACATCGTTTCATTAAAAAATTGCCATTGATATTGCATTCGTAAACGTTTACACCCGAGTATATTGTTTTCTTAACATGACTAACAAACATAGCGACCTTTAAGCCTTCTAAAGCTTTATAAATGCCTTAAAGAAAAGGGGGTACTTGAAGCAAAACTATAGCCCAAAAAAAAAAGCAAACAGAAAAAAAAAAAACAAACGAAGGAAGAAAAAAAAGAAAGAGAAAACAAGAATATACTTGGCGGTAACAAACTAAAAGAGAGACGTGTGTTCCAAAAGATAGGTAATAAAATGCTCCTGGTAATTCGTAAGGGGAGAGTATTGTTGCAATGGTTATTCAGAGTTAATTAGAGGTGTAAAAACCAGACTTCCTTTCTATCCCAAAGAGGTCAATAAAAGAACAACGATCCATATAGATATAATCTGTTGAAGATTATATTAAATACGAAAACTCAATATTTTTTTTGTGCGTTTTCAGTTCTTTCAGTATGCAAAGGCAAGTCTTTCTAAACAAGTACTTCAAGTTGGAAACCCTTAAATGGAAAGGGTAAAGATATGAGTATGAAGAAAAGGCTTTCCAATTCCAAGTTTTATTATGTAGCTTCTTTTACTCCTCTTCCCACTTTTTTTTTTTATTTTTCTGTTTTTGTAAGACTTTTCAGACTTCACTCCAAAAATGATTACTCCTTTTCAGAGGTCAAGAGTTTGACAAATCAAGAAATTTCTTCTTTCCACAAAAGAAAATCACTCTAAACAAAGACTTCTTCGAATTTTCTCAAAAAAACACTTTCTGTTTACACCTGCGATGGAAACTTCAACAGAGGGTACAAGCCTTAAAAGCTGTTTAACAGGGACTTTTTACGTTTTCTATAAATAAAACGATAAAGGGTCACCTTCAAAAATTATTCTAAGCTTTTTCAGCCCCTTTCTTTTTGAAGTAAATTTGTGGTGTTGGGGGTCTGGCAGAAAATAGATTTGTAATGGGCCAAGGAAAAAATGGTTTTGAGCAGAATTACCACAAGACACATTGTAACCTGTCTTCAGTAAGGAAGTGTATATGAAACTTGTATATGCAAAATTTTTACAAAGGAAAGGTTGGAAAGAATGGCTTGTTTCAAGGATTCGTTATCCAACTTTGGTGTACGTTTGATTTTCTCTATCCTTTGTAGTTATTCACGAGTTTGTAGCTTGTCAAAATGTTGAGACAATCTGTGATATACTTTCACTTTGTTTTTTTAACATGGAGCAAACAGTCTTAGTACTACAAGATTTATTTAAAGGCTATGTTTACCATGGGTCAGTGTTGCATTTGTCGCTTTTCGTAATCTTTAGCATAGAAATGTTAGAAATGAAACACATAACGAGAGAACATTATGTGAAAATCAATATTTGTAGAACCCGGATACATTACTGTAAAGTAGTTTAGTCAAATATCAATCGTCTGTAGAACTTTTGCTGTGAAATTTCAAAAGATAATTGATTAAAATAAACAACATTCTCTCTCTCGGAAAAAAGCCATAGCACAATTATAGTCATTGATTTTTATTAAGTTGCCATTTTACAGACGATAACCCTGCATTCTGGCTAAACATTTCAAGCTCGCAGAAAAATAAAGAAACCCCCCCAAAAAAAAAAAAGATACACATACATCTTCATTCAGCCTTTGTTCTTGTTTGCCTGTATACAATTGCTAACAGAAAAGAAACACAGCGTTTTGCTTTTGTTCGCAGAATCTCTTACTTGGCCTGGTATTGTGTACGGTAAGCATCCATTGCATCAGATTCGGTGGTCGATAATTCAGACCTTGTGAATTCGACAATGTCGTCCAAAGTCAAAATGGATGAAATAGGAACACTGTATTCTTTCTTCAATTTTCCAATCGTACTTTCATTTACGGCTGCCTCTACCCGTTCCTGTCTATCCAACAGAAGGACAATACCCGCCAATTGAACGTGTTTAGGTTCTAAAAACGAGATGGCTTCTCGAATAGCAGTTCCAGCTGTAATCACATCATCCAAGAGTAAAACACGCTTTCCTTCCATTTCTGCACCAACAAGGTTTCCTCCTTCACCATGGCTTTTAGCCTCCTTTCTGTTATATGCAAAGCCGCAACTTTTGCCTGTCTTTTCGTACAATTTGGCGGCAGTTACTGCGGCCAAAGAGATTCCTTTGTAGGCGGGACCAAATAAAACATCAAAATCGACATTCATAGATATTATTGTTTCTGCGTAGGAGTTTCCCAGTGCACTCAGATCAGCCCCATGAGTAAAATTTCCAGAATTGAAAAAATAAGGAGATTGTCGTCCAGATTTCAGTGTAAAAGTACCAAATTTTAGCACTTTATTTTCAATAGCACGATGTAAAAGATCAGATTTGTACGACATCGTCCTTTTTTTGCTTAATTTTCTAGGAACAGTACGTGTGCACTGGTAAGGTGTGCCAACGCCAGTGTTCCAACACCATCGGAGGGGAGGTCAAAACCTAAGATCTAGAAACAATACCATAGAATGCATTCAAACAACGTAGCCTTTATATAAATATTCTTGTATAGTTATCAAAGGATTTTCAATTCCAATCTTTGCCAAAAAGTACGTCCTTAAGATTTCGACCTTCAATTGACTGAACCTTCATAAGCTTAATCGTTTAACCAAGTGGGCTGGATCCGATCTATAACATTGAGATAGTGTTCAATATGGTCAAGGTTTTTAACTTGAATATCCCCAGTCCAGAATAATCTCCAAGGTGTTTTTGGTGATTTCAAAGAGCCAACACTTCTTTCAAAGTACCATTTGTTAACGGGATTGTCCAATCTAGACCTCCAAATCAATTCTTTAGGAAATAACTCTATCATTGCATTGAAAAGCACATCGGATATTGCAGCAGAGCCTTGCGCATTTTTTGACACAGCCAACTTATCAAGGTAAGGCACTTTTGCTTTTCCATCATTAACTTTCTCGTATGTAACAATGGCCGTACCGGCGTAATCTCCAGCAACAATAACTGCAGCAAGAGAATTTTTTAAACGCTTCAAGTAAGCTTCCATATCCAATGTGCGATTAAAAGAGTCGTTGATTAGCATCCACAATCTTTCCCAAGAAACAGATCCATCAGTAATACATTCAGTTCCCATACATATATATACAGGAACACCCGCTCGAAGTAAAGTAGTCTTCGTAATAGGCGATCGATCACGAGGTAGAGAGCAGGAAAAAATTGATCTTTCTGTTAGAATATTATGGATTAACGGGTTCCTGTCCATCGAAGAATTTGTCAGCATCGCTTCATTTGGAGTAGTGACAATAGCAGAGGCCTCTTTGGATAACATCTTTAGGCACCGCTGAGCCAAAAATAGATTTTTTATGTGATGTTTCGGCAATGTTTTTCTCAATTCTTCGTATTCTTGAGCTAAGTTAATCAACACATGGCTCGATCCTTGACGCCGTTTAGCACACGGCATACCGCCAACTTTATCAAGAATAATTAATCTATCAACATTGTAATCATCCTCTGGCTTATGCAAACTTTTCGTTAAGCCGTAAATAACTTCGTCTCCATCTATACTAATCTCTTTCAAATTTGGCATAAACGCCAAACTTGGAATAATTGGTGTATAATTAGACGCTAACGTGCGAAAGACGGAATTGGTGTCTTCTAGGTAGGCACCATTGGGACCCAATTGGCAAATAGAAGAATACCATGGCTTTGTTAATACTCCAGCCTTGGTAAAAATATCAGAGACACGCATAATTCGGTTCTGTTGAGAATAAAGGGAGCTGAGCATGGTCCACCTCGACTGCTTTTCTGCTGGCATTTTGAACTTCGCTGTTATTCCTAAATCAGTCCCAGTAGGAACAACTAAAGTATTTATTCCAAGGCGGATGAGTCCGTAAATACTTCTACCAATGCCATACAGAGTCTCATCGTCGAGCGAGTCTACATCAGCAATCTTTGCAATTGCTATACGTTTTTGAAGCCCATATGATAACTTGTTTTCTATTAGATTGGAAGAGGCATTGTTCAACCCAAGAGGAGCGTATTTTTGCAAAAACCCTTTCGTCGACCTTTTATTAGGGACTGATTTGAGAATCCAAATTAAGTCCTGCAGGAAAGAAGGGTTTTGCATTCGCGCTTCTTAATAAGTCATAAAAAATAAAACTAAAATTTAAATTAGAGATACTTGATCGAATGGAGAGATTTGCAAACGTGTTTGTTCTTGGCACATCAGCCATAACAAACGTCTACTACACCAAAACAATCAAAAAAATTAGAGGGTTCAAAAATCAAACGAAAATTATAACAATAAAAGCATAAATAATCCATTTTATTTAAAAAAGATAAAATATATATTGGATATACACAAAAGTATTTATTGGAGAGTAAAAAAACCGATACTATGGCTTTACCCAGAGAATTAGAGGCAACATTTTCACCAGAAGAGATAGAGTTTTTAGCAGGAAATGAATACATTGATATTGTTCCTTTAGAAACTATGGATCAACTGCCTTTAGTAAGCGCAACTATACCCATTATGAAGCCTCCAAAAAAGTGCAGAGTCCCTCTATGGCTGGCTTTGGAATTAAAAAGGCAACATCGAGCCAGAATTGCGCCTCCGGAATGGTTAGACCTTTCGAATTTAGAAAGCCTGCGAGAACAAGAAATGGAAATGGATATGTTTTCCAAATTGCCGTTTCGATGGTTGGAAACTGCACATTTGCTGCTGAATGCTTGCCCCGATGACATTGAGGATGTTGAGGAAGTTCGAAGAATACTTTTGACTATCAGGGAAGCGAGACAAAGCAAGGCAAGAGCAGGCTTGGAAGCGGTAAACGAAGTTCAGCTTGCTTTGGATAACTTGGGAGCCATGGAAATTAATGAGATCCGGCCCTTGTTCCGAGAAACAATGAACCGTATGCGAAAAATTGTTCAGGTTTCAGAGGAAGAATAAGTGCAGATATAGTTTGCCAGTCAAAAGCAACTTCCAGGAAAGTGGCCACAGAAATGTGTATTTTAATCGGCATTTAGCAATGACAAATATCATGAAAGAAGGAATATTTTATGAAATGTTAAAGGTGGAAAAGCAAGGACAACTAGCTATGGTAGTAAGTAATCAAGACCCATGAGTAGAAGCCTTTTGTTTGATAACTCGAGTAGGTGTAGGAGCCCTGGAGGGACTTGATTTAGCGGAATTTGGTTTCCGCCTAGACAGCGACAATTCTTCAAGTTTATAGAATTCCTGAATACGACTAAAACTTGGGTCAGTAAAAAGAGATACAAGAAGGCATGTTGGAACGTACGTTCGCCACGGAGTAACAGGTGTATTTGACGACAAGAAATTCTGGAAATCGCGAAGCTTCATGTTTCTCTGAGCACGTGGGATAGAAGCTACACGCATTTCTCCCCTCATGCGTATGGTGGATGCCAGCAAACCTGCATTGGATCGTAATCGCCGAATTTTATCAGAGACTATGTAGAGATTCGTTAGTAAAAAGCTTGTGTCTAGAAAAAAAAAAGGAAAAAAGGAAAACAAAGACAAAAATCCAATAAGGCCTCCCTAAAAATAGAAACGAGAAAAGTAAAGGGGATTGTTTCTTTGGCTTTGGGAGGCATTAGAAAAGAAAAGAGCATTGTAAAGAAATAAGTAAATTTCATACGTTCAAAAGCAAGATTTTCAAGAATGTCTGTTTTGCGTTCTTGCAGAATACGCTGTCGAACCTGACGGTGCTTGGATTCTCCAAACTCTTCGACTCTCTTTCGTTTATTCATGAATCTAAGTAGAAGGAAATAATCAACCAAGGAAAATCCAGGTAGTTTCCTTAAAATTCAACTAATATTAGTAACGCGTAGTGGTTGTGTTTGAGAAGCAACATAAACAATTCAGTTTAGCAAGTAGCATGTTACCGAGTAATGTAAACAAAAGAGCGTGTAATTGGTTTCTACCATCTAGTGAAGGAATAAATGCTATGAGAGATGAAAAGAAGAGTTTTTTATCATGTGATTTTGTTGCTCAATGGTGTCTCAAACAACTTGATGGTTTCAATATTGAAAAGAAAGTTACAAGTTTGTACAGAATCAAGTTTTCGTTGTGTTTCTCTAGATTTTTACCATTCAAGAAGGAAAGTATAATAAAAGTGAAGATGAAGAAAATATTAAATGTCGACAACCCATAAAATTGTTCTTGATTTTTCTCAAACGTTTATTTCCTAGTGTGACATTTAAGCTTTTAGCGAGCTTTTAGAACCTTCCAAAATTTGTACCATTTCTTCAAAAAGGAAATTCAAATATGCATTTCTGAGTCCGTTTCCCTTTGACTCAAAAATTCCTCCAATTTTATTTCCCTCTAAAATCCTTACTGTAAATAAACAATACAAAGGAAAACATATCTCCTTTCGCTTTCTTGTAGTTCGTTATCCGATTTTCGATACCGAAATAACCCCACAAACCGAACTAAAGCCGCACAAGGATGTAACTCGTTATTTTAACTGTCCATTGGCAGGCAGTACGGCTACACAACCAACCAACTGTACACTTGTGAGCTTGTGCTTAATTAAAGGACCAACCAAAACAGTAGACGAAGAAGTTACTATAACGTTCGAAACGATTGCCATCCATTGCAAACACTCGTTCTGTTAACCCAATGAATCCATACGAACCCGTAGAGGGACTGTATGTGAATGCTAAACAATATCATCGCATTCTCAAACGGCGAGAAGCTCGTGCTCGACTGGAGGAGCGTCTGCGTGGAATGCAAACGACGAAAAAACCCTATCTGCACGAGTCAAGACATAAACACGCAATGCGTCGCCCCCGTGGCCCTGGTGGACGATTTTTAACAGCAGAAAAAGTTTCACAACTGAAAGCCCAAGAAGCATTAGAAGAGGGCAAGTCGGAAAGCCCAAACGGATCAGAGACTCGTGGTTTGATGGATACACTCGATACAGCCCCTACGACGACCACCACTACCAACGAATTTTTGGACACTAATGATACCGCAGATGATAGTCCGTCTTCTACCCTTTCTTCCCATGTTCCTAATAATGCCGCTGGCGGCCCGGCAGGGTTGGATTTAACTGGTTCCAGGGAAGAGACTCAACATAATCCTTCGATTTTTGGTACTACTACAAATTCTAATTTTAATACCGTTTCTGCTAATCCGAACCCTAATGCTCTTACCCATCCTGGTGGCGTAGATGGAAACAGAAGTAGTACTCCTTCTGCAGCTGTTCCCTCCCATACATCTACAGACACTACGAATATCGGTCCTTCTAATAGCTCGATTAATGCTCAGATCCATAATTCTACTGCAGCTACCAACAATCAGCATCATCGACATTCTAATGCCCCCTCTAATGCTCCTACCTTGACTAGCAACGAAAACATACAACTTCGGAATGCTAGTTCCTCCGCTGTTTCGAATCCTCTTTCAGTAAATGATCCAGGAGTAGATCTTAACTTGTCGAATCCAATAGTCATGCAACTGGATCCTTCAAATCTTCTGCATTCACCTTCTTCTAATCAAAATACTCCCCGTACGTCCTTTTTCCCTCCCTCAACTACTACTGAAGACAGGCCTTCGCCACCAGTGTCTAACCGTCACCATTCTACTGCCAATAATACCGATTACGGAAATCTACCTACTACGACGCATCCGAACAGTGTCTTTCATAAAAATGCTACACATACTTATCACACTACTCCGGGTTCCGAATTAACGGGACCAAATGGGGATTCATTTGCAGATTTAGACGTATACCAAACGGACGATCCGGTAACGACGAGTCTTATACATTCTCAACATCCCATAGGATCAATTGGTGATTTAAGCGATCCAAGTACTGCTCATGGCTCTGGGATCCCAAACTTGACCAGCCATCACATGGGTCATCTTAATTTAACAGGCAATAACCAAGATTCTATAATTATTGATCAGCAACCATATACTTCACATGATTCCACCAGTGCTCATCCATGAATGCTTGACAGTCAGTGATTTTTTTTGGCATTTTTTTTCTTGTTTTGATCTCCCATTCATATGCTGTCGAAAATTCCCCCCACTTATTTCTTAGATCTTAGCAAACACGTACTGAAAACCGGTTGTCTGTGCCGAATGACAGAAAAAAGAGCGAGAAAATAAAAAGTTACTTGATATCATTTTCATTTTTATTTTTTAAAATAAAAAAATGAAAGGTCTGTTTACTAGCAAAGCTAATAGAATATGAGCAAATAAACCAGACAAATCAACTCGTTGCATTCATCACGAATGAGCACGGTCCACTATTTTCTAATGTTTCAGAATTAGACTTAAGCACTTACCAAATAACCAGCATATGCCAGCCAGGCTAGATATGGAACAAGTATCTTTGAGGCCGTAGGAGCGATCGGCCACCATGTCTTGGCCAACCAACCTACGACACCTGTCAAAGCACCAATATTGAGGAGGGCAAGTTTTGGCTTTTGACAACAGAAAAGTGGCATCCAAGAATAGTTTAGGGCCAATTGAGTTAGATACAAAGCCGCACCTTTGCGACCAGCATTGGTAATCAACAGGGGATCTGCTTGGTAAGCCAAATGCGAAGCATAACCCATGGCAAAGTACAAAATCGTCCAAGCGGGCCCAAAGACGTAATCAGGTGCTTGAAATTTTGGCTGCTTGCGTGTCTTATATCTGTCCATTTTGTTTTTATTAAGACCAGCAGTTATCCATCCGAATGTTGTAGGGACAAGACCGGCGATCCACCAGGTTTGTGAAATGCTAGTAAAAACTCTGTAGTTCAAATCCATAGCTGTGTGCTTTCTTTAACTAATCCTTTGGTTAATAAACAACTAATGATAGAGGCACCTATGCACAAAAGCAATTGGAACCCATCTACTATATACCAATAACTTCGTTAATATTGTCGTAAAAAAACTAATTGCTTGATATTTGGAAAAGGTATCTTTTCCTGTACAGGAAGGAAAGAATATAAATATTCTAAAACTAAGCTTCAACATTGCGTCATAAATCCATAATGATTTCAATCGAACATTAGGATTCTAAATAAGGGATTTCTAACAGGTCCAGTATATTCTACGTACACAGTTACACACAATTGATGATTTTAACAGTTAAAATGAAATGAAATCTTAAGCCCTGCCTTATGTATGGCAACCTATGTGATAGTCAAAACAATTCAACATGATCCACCTTATTTGATCAAGCATATGTATGCTATTAGCATTCAATTGTGTTCCAACTACTCTGGTACAACGATAAGAGAAGGATGGTTTTGAAGAGAGCGAGCGAATATACGAAAAAAGTGTCTGCATTAATTGACAGGAAATCTAGATAGGAAAACAACGTGTGGTAGCGGACGAACAAAAAGCTTTTAATTGAAATACTTCTGCTTCGATATCGCAAAGGAAACATCCTTTTCCTTTCAATTTTGCGGCGTTGGATTGTTTACTAGCGAAGTAGAAAATTACTTCGTTAAAATAGATATCACAGCGGAGGCGCACATAAAATCAGACGAGGTGACAACTGAAGTAGCAAGGTGATTATCAAATGGAACCAGAGGTTTCAATGCATCCACTTCCACATTACAGGATGAGTTGGCATGGATTCAAAAAAGCCGTTAACCGGGCTGGTACCTCGGTAGGTAACTGCTGAAATAAGAGTTTCTAACGATTTTACTTAGGTGATGATGAAAACTGGTCATGTTGAACGTACCGTAGACCGTGAGTTTGAAACGGAAGAGCGACGTTACCGAACTATGGAAACTGCGGCTAAGAAGCTACAGAAAGAAGCCAAGGGTTATCTAGATGCACTTCGTGCGATGACGGCTTCTCAAACGAGAATTGCTAATACGATTGACGCTTTCTATGGAGATGCCGGTTCCAAGGACGGTGTAAGTGCCTACTATCGACAAGTAGTTGAAGATTTGGATGCAGATACCGTGAAAGAGCTTGATGGACCTTTTCGCACCACCGTCTTGGAACCCATTTCTCGATTCTGCAGCTACTTCCCTGATATCAATGCTGCCATCACTAAACGAAACCATAAATTACTGGATCATGATGCCATGCGCGCCAAAGTACAGAAATTGGTTGATAAGCCGTCTAGTGATTCCTCAAAACTCCCTCGAACGGAAAAGGACGCTGCTACGGCCAAGGACATTTACGAAACCCTCAATAATCAACTCATCACTGAACTGCCACAGCTGATTAGTCTTCGTGTTCCCTATCTTGACCCTAGTTTCGAGGCTTTGGTCAAGATCCAGCTGCGCTTTTGCCGTGAAGGATACGAAAAAATGGCCCAGGTTCAGCAGTACTTTGATAGCTCAGTCCGCGAAGACTACTCTAATGGAATGCTTGATGACAAAGTGGAACAGGTCCTGCAAAGCATGCGTGATCTTTCTATCAGCGGACTAAGCAATAATTAATGTTTCTCTAACCTTGTTTCCCATAACCCTTTGTCCTTTTTTGGTCTATATCCTTTTTCGTCTTCGCAAGTGCCCTTAGTCCTTTAACCACTTGTATATGATTTGAAATCTGTCTTGATTTCCCAAACTTGTTTTCGATTATTTTTATGAGCAGGATAATTTCCCATCATTATAGAATGCACTCAAATCTTTAGTCTTTTACGACGCTCCTTTTTGGTGATAAAAAGTTGGTTCAGATTTTTTTATTTATTTATCACATAAATCTTTTCTAGAGTGCATTCTTATGACCTATATTTCCTTCTTTTCTTATTCCTAAGTTGTATAGAGACATTGCTTGGATTCTTTCCAACGCACGATTGAGTCTATGATTTGGTATTTTACGTTTTAACGTTTAAGGCTTTGTATAATCAATCATTACTGTATTAATAGTTCAATTTTTTTTTAACTCGAAAAACCTAGTATATGTAGCTTTTTTTTTTATTTTTATGTTGATCTTTACATAAGCTCAGAAAGGCTCATGCACAAAAAATTGCATTGTTGCTGCTTTTATTTTACCCTTCGTATTTACAGAAATTTGATCCTGAGATAATTGGGGTGTCGAGGTTTAGGCCTATACCCAATTCACTCAGTAATCCAATTCAGGAATTTCTTGCGTTGGAGCATCCAAATCCCGGTAATCTTTGTATTGATCACGACGCTCTGTATATGAATCTTGTCGATGATACGGCTTTTGATATGAGGTATGATGTGAATCCTCGAATTCAAGACCATTTCTTCTTCGATCATACCCAGAGTTTCCAAAGTAAGAGACAGGATAACTTTTGTTTGCAAGATGCTGAGCAGCATAAGATGGACTGACTACCTTGGGATCCATAACCCTTCCTGGGTCCAAGACGTAATTACGCAAACAAATAGCTACCTTCTTTACATGATCTAGCCATTCTGAATGCTTTTTGCTAATATGTTTTTTAACAAATTCAGGCCCCAAAAACAACTTAGTACAAGCTCCTACGTGGCAACGGTACTTTTGGTCGTCCTCTTTGAGAATTACCGATTCAATTTCGGAATTTACAAAGGTATCGATTGGTAACGCACCTTTCGATTTTAGGTCGACAGATTCTGGATCAAGCAAACATGTGTAATCACTCTCCAAATTTGAAAACCAGCTTTCTTCCTGAGAGGCTTCGTTAGTGTCATCATACGATTTCCTTGAATATCCAGCAGGATTATCTTGCAACAAAGCAATTAGACTTGAATAACTCCTGCAAGTCCAAAAATCGAATGTAGCCACTTGACGAAGATATTCCACAAGTAGGTCGCACAACTGAACGTTATGCATGCGTTCTTTTTCTATTTCATCCTCCACGTCAATCGGAACGGAATAGACTTTGTCTTGTAGCTTTTCAGAAATATCCTGTGGTAAATTGTACATGACAACAAATCGATTCATTACTTTAAACAGAATGCTCAAAATTTTTTTACATATATCGTTGGAAGAAAAATTAGAAGGAAGAGGAGTTGGGACATGGTTCCTTGGAAACTTGGCGCTTTCAGTTTCAATAGCGTAATTTGAAGCTAATTGAACACCATCAAGGATTTCCTTTGCTCCTTCTATTGCAACGTCCGGCTTCAAATGGACCCAAACAGATCGCTCAAAATTCTTTGTAAACTTCATGCGTGAAACTGAGAAATACTCAATAATGTCTATATTGTCAAACACCTCATGCATGTTAGACATTGAGATGTCTGGCAACACGTGTCGAATCAGCAAGGTCTTATCCTTGGCTAACTCCCTAGAGTCCATTAAATATTTAAAGTATGGAACTTCTTTTATAAACAGTTCGGGATTAGTTTCATTATTCATGTTTTTTACCTCCGTAGGTATATCTTGTTCATTTGGTAGTTTAAAAGCATCATAGTATCCGTTTTCGAGTCTCTCCAAAAATATGTTATGCATAGAAAGTCGGTATGATTTTTCTTTTCCTGAAATTTCACGCAATCGACCCTGAGATTCGTCAAACCAATAAGCGTCTTCGAACCATGCTTCATCACAATGATCCTGTACAAACTTTTTAGCGGTTCTCGCATACAAATCCTGTTTATAATTATTATAAGTTCCATGTAACGACTTGTACAAATCCTCTGTCGTAGCTGAAATCGAGTTCTCTTGACTATACCAGCGAATGAAACGCTCATAGGAAATGACACTTTCTTGACTGTAAGGATCATTGATACTATTAATCCGATGTTAGTTTTCGGTTTCGAAGAAAACAACAATCATCACGTACCTTCTTGAATATGTATATTGAGGGCCAATAACTGCATCATCATTTTTGATTAGTTTGCTAGTCCAAAGATAATATATTACGGATTCATACCTCGAGGTCTTTTTTCATAATGTTCGTCCCTATAGGTATCTCTGCTGCTTACGGGTGACCTCTCTCTATGGGATCCAGCACCATTGTTATACGAGGGACTCTGAGATCTTCTTCGAATTTTGTCTAACATATGAGTTTATTAGTGTCATAAAATTAAGTCTTTAACAAATGACCTACCTCTTCTCCATCTAGTAGTCTCGCGATTATCTGTTTGTTCGATATCGCTCATCCTTGAGTTTTTCGTTCAATGAAAGTTTTAGAATAAAAATCCTCTCTAATTTATTCAAAAAAATACAAAAATTACAGTCCTTAATGTTGGCAAGTGCCAAGTAAAAGTGCACGCACTGTCAAATATTTTGTTCAGTGAAAGAAGAGGGTCGATATTAATATACTTGTTTACTGTAATTTAAGAGTGCATTCATGGATTGTTAAGATGTTAGAATAAAAAAGAAGAAAAAAAATAACTATTATTGAAATGGTTAAATAAAATAAAAACCAATAAATATTGTCTACCCCTCAACAAGAATTTTGCTATTGAAAACAAAAACGTAAAGATTATCATTCGTAATATTCCTCCTCTCCTGCATAAGAATCTAATTTACTCCTTAATTCGTTTGTATTGAATCCCGGTTTTGCTAATGAAGCCAAACTCATGCTTTGGTATCCCACGAGAAGTACCTTCCGTAGCATATCCCAGAGTTCAAGGTTAGATTCACAGCGAGTAAACACCCCATGCTTGTCCTGAATAATGTCGACTGCATGTAGAAGATGATCTGCTGCTTCCTCATAGCAACTCATATTTATGCATGCTATGGAAAAGTTGGAGCGAGTACGGACATATTGAGGCTGCAGCTCCAATGAGCGCTTATAAGCTTGTATTGCCTTTCCTTCTTGTTTTGAATTTGTTAAAGAAGCTCCTAATTTATTCCAGAGAACGCAGTTTTCAGGATTTCTTTGGACAGCCTGTCTAAAACAATCAGCAGCTTTTGAAAAGTCCTCTAAAAGATACATGGTAATTCCCAACCCAGTCTGAGCTTTGTCATAGAACTTCTTGGATGACGATGATAAACATATCAAGTCTAAAAAGCAAGCTTGAATAGCTTTTGTATTGTCAAGAACATTTAGACTTTCAAACTTGCGCTCTATGCTGGAGAACCGGTTAGAGTATTCTGGATGAGATGCATAAAGCCAGTCGCGCAAACATGCTAAAGCATTTTCACGTGAACCTTTATTCACATATGCTACTGCCAAATCCATTATAATATTGATTTGATTAGAATCCAACATTTTTATATTTAATAAAGACTCAATTACTCGGCTTTCATTGCCTAGCAAGGTATGAACGTAGGCTAGGGATTGCCAACTTTCGAGGTGAGAAGGATTTTGCAAAACTGCTTTTTCAAGCAATACTGCCGCTTCGCAAATTGGACCCTTGTTCTTTAATAACGTTTGAGCCTTCTCATAAAGATCCTCTATAAAGGGAAGTGCTTCCAGCTTTTTATAATCGATTGAGTCAATTTGTTCTTCACTGAATATCTCCTTCTTCTGCTCGTTTATCTTGTTTAAGTTTTCATACTCAGTACCTGACGTTTCCATTGCTTGATTAGCTTCAGTATGTGAGAAAGCATGCTGCTTTGACGCACTTTTCTCTTCTGTGGAATTATTCAATTGCTCTTTGTTCTCAAAAAAATACGGCAGCTTTATCTTTGCTTCTTCAAGAAATTCTTCCCACCTTATTTGATATTCCTCAAGTGACTTCGGATCAAGGCCGTTTGTACGTAAATCAGCCAACCTGGCAGTCCACAACTGCTCCAAGGTTAATGGTGCTTGAGATGTTTGTTCTAAATTTCCTTTATCTAAACTCTTTGCTTCTAGGGAAGCATGATTAAACTTTTCCATAAGCTCGTCTTCATTGACATGAGCGACTTCTAAAGGAGAATGGGCTGCAGCTGCAGACATAGGTAGTTGAGGTGACGACAATGGGACTGGAACCGTTTTCTCTTTCTGTTTCCTTGATTTTATGGTATCATTACTGATTATAGAAGGTGGCTGCTGATTAAATTCGGATATCCATTTTGTCTCTGAGTTCTGATTTTGTTGATTTGTATAGGCTGAAAACTCTTGAGACCAAGCTCTGTTTGGAACTGAAGAAGAATTTTTCGTGGTAAGGCTGAATAGTGGAAAATTCTGATGTTGACTAGGTGATTGACTGAGGTCTTTCCAATGTTGAAATGTGGAGGACTCGGAATAATTCAAGTTCGGTGCCGCAAGGGTAGTGGAATGAAGCGGATTTTGAAAGACTTTCGGATGGTAAGCCTTTGATTTCAAAGCCGTATCATGCACAGATGAGTTCAGTTTTCGAACAGGATTTGACGTGGCGGAACATCCAGGTTGAGAGGAAAACGACATACTCGTGTTTAAAAATATAGTGTTCCAAAATTAAATCTAAAAAAAGAAAAATGTAACAAGGTGTTTAGACAAGAAGACAAAGAAAGAGCATAGGTTGACAGCCAAAAATGTTTATAAAAGGTTTGTTTCCCAAACGTTTTGGATACAGATGAAACAATGCAAGTATATAGAAGCAAGTCTAAAGAGAAAACAATCTGAAGTCAGGAATTAATAAATTATTTGGTAGATCGCACAGAAAGCAGAATCCTTCAATATATTTGTTCTTTTCAAGTTTATATTTAAATAAATGTAATAAAGTTACTAAAAAGGATGCCCAAAAACTAATAATTTCCCATTTTTTCTTGCCGGGCTCTTTTCGTTTGCCTGCAGTATTCTATTAGTAAGTTTCAAGAGGTAAGGGAGTTAATTTTATTTTAATCTACCTAGACATGAAGATCAAGAAAACCAGGAAAAAAAAGATAAAAGAATAAAGAAACGTAATACTTAATACTCTTGTTGAAAGAAAAGAAGAAACTAGTGGATGCGAGAAGAACTTGCAATTAGTGTTTATTTACATTTCAGACATTCTTTAATGTTTGAGGAAGATAGTCAATCGAGCTCTTCCATTAAACACAGAATTTGAAAAAATTGGTATATTTTCGTCAATAATCAAGAATGTTTTGAGTTCAACGATGAAAACACACTTAGGATTGATTATTCATAACATATACCATCATTTACCAGTAATGTTATTAGTCGAACTACCGTAGATATGAAAGCAACATTTGCTCAATGTTCCTTAAAGGATCCTCAACCTTCATGAAATCACTCTGACAGTTCATGACAATGATTCTGAAGTTATGTGATTTGGTTGAGTCGTCTCCTTTAGAAATGAGGAAACCTTGACAGCATTATAGACATTTTAATGAAGGAAAATATAAATAACCGAAAGAGAATGTCAGAGTCTCATTTGTTTTATGGCGGCAATTGAATTCAAAGTTAATTTCAGAAAGAACTTTCTGAACAATGATTCTGATTTATTTTTTTTAACACCCATCCATTCTAGTTTAAACTATACTCGAAATCACTAAAACGCACAATAGGACTAAAAACTTAGTCGGATCAAGAGGATGTTTAACTTTTCAATTAATTGTATAAGCAAGGGTTTCGCCGTTGATTTAATTTAAGTAAATAAAGTATATTTTTACTTCTCGAGTAATAGCCATGACTGTGCCAGAGGAATTAAGAAAAATACTTCTTCACGAGCTATTACTTAACATCGAAATTAACTCGAAAGGTGATATAAGATATGCCAATTCTGCTTTCTACAGATTTATAGGAAAAAAAAGTAGTGATCCTTTGCTACAGACATCTTGCAACTTTTATGACTGTATTACGGAAACGAGCATTCCTAGAGTCCAACGAGCGATTCATATGCTTTTTAATAAATCTTTTAAAGTCACGCATTTCCAAACTTCGCTCTTGTGCAGCACTAACATGGTCCCTGATATGTTTTTAAATAGTAAAGATTATGAGACATCACCGGACCAAGGGAAAATCGGAATGAAGCTTTATTTTCGAGGAATCTTGGTGGATTCTTTAGATGGTAAAGAAACTAGAATCCTATGGTCTGCCAAATGTTTATATCCAGAACGTTACTATATAAGCCAGATGGACTTTGTATTATTCAACACTCTGGGCATCGGCTCTTTCGTCTTACAAAATCATATAGAAAGAGCCCATAAAGTTAAATATGTACACGCTCCTCCTCCTGTCCCTCGCTTGTGTTATCTTTGCGAAAAAAAAATCCCAGAGTGGTATTTCGAAGTACATACTGACTCTTGTTTAGTATGGAGCGAACTCGTCCAAGTTATACTTGATATACAGAAACAAATTCATATAAAAAAAGCCGAACTGCTCAAGTTCAGTCAATCTATCCCTCACACTACTGTTTCAGTTTCCGACGAAACATATTTAACATTGCCAATAATTTCAGTTCTGAAGAATGGGTCTACTAAATATAGACGATTTCGTTTAAAATCTTGGCATTCTTGCGTTACGTTTTTGTATCGGCAACTGGATGCGGCAGAGCAAACGTTTGAAGAACTGGGGAAAAGCACATACCTGACAGTCTCTCAAGAATTGGCTACTGATATGAAATATAACATTTTGAAGAAAAGCATGTTACTCTGGGAATATATCTTTTTATCTCCTTGTAAAATCCAAAGCTTATTTCACGAAGTGCATTCTTTGCTTACCCTGAGCCTAAAGTATAACATCAAGCTTTGCAATCATAACTTGATGTACGGGGTAACCTTTCAGGAGGTAAAACATTTCTTACTGAGATATATGCGGAATTTTTTGTGTTCAAACCTGAACAGCATTGATTATGAACTTTTTTCCGGACATGCACAGCTCATTAGCATGATCAGCGATCGTACACACAGTAAAGAACTGGACTCTACTAAAGTAGATTTGATTTTACCAAAAATACGGATAGTGCCTAATCGACTCCCTCATTTCAAATCGGATAAAAGCCTTTCTATTCCTCTCAAATATACCTCCAGGGAAAATGCAGCAAGTTGCAGCTCCTTCAGCGAGGACGACAACTTGAAGGAGTATATGCTGAGAAATCTTAATAAAAAGCTAGCAAGCAAACCAAGAAAAAATTCCTTTGACGACGAACGGGCGCACTCGCTTCGCATTTATCAGGAGCTCGTTGAAAAACTTTATTCTCCTCTTATAGATAACACTACAGCGGCTTTACACCTTCCTAAATACAAGGAACGAAAATTTGGAGACAAGACGCCGAGATCACTAAAAGAATTCACTTTTGTCAAAGAAATAAACAGAGGTGCTTCTAGTAGGGTTTATTTGGTAAAAAAAAACTCTACCGGGAATTACTATGCAATGAAAGCCATTCCGAAATCAGGTCTGAATGATCTTGAAAAGTTGAGAGGGATTATGTACGAAAAAGCCAACATGGAAATCCAAAAGTTTGGATCAAATATTGTCAAGGTATATTATGCGTTTGAATCGGAAGGATTCTTTTGTTTAGTAATGGATTTCTTCAACGGTGGTGATTGCCAAACTTTGGTTGAGAAATTTGGACCGCTGCCGGAACAATGGATTCAAAAATATATAGCTGAATTATTAGAAGCGGTCGAGATTCTTCATAAACTCGGTATTTTCCATCGTGATGTTAAACCGGCGAATATGCTTATAGATCAGAACGGGCATATCCGTTTAGCAGATCTTGGATTAAGTGATAATAAAGAAGGTAGCAGCGAGGGTGAAATATCTTACGAAGAACAGATCAATAAACTAAAAGAGTCAAGTCATGAAGGTGCGAGAAAACAACTAGTTGAAGGCCTTAAGGATCAAGCTAAAAAAGAAATAACTTTAACAAGCAGGGAGACGAATAAAGAAACTTTTGATCCCTTTGAGCGGCTGATAGATGTTGACACAAGTAATTTAAATAGAGCCATGTCAAAAGTATTTAGAGCGCGCCTGAAAGTTAGCTTGCCAGGAAAACTGAACGATGAAAAAAGGATTACTGGTACTCCCAATTATATGGCACCAGAGGTTCTTTCAGAAAAGGAAAATCCAATGAGCGATATATGGGCGATAGGGTGTGTCTTATTTGAAATGCTGACAGGGATTATTCCATTTCAATCAGATACCATCCAAGGAGTATGGGATCGTATTCAACGAAATGACATTGGATGGACGAACTGTAGCCATGAGTTGCATTCACCAGAAGCTATAGATCTTGTAAATAAGCTGTCGGAGCCGAACCCAGAAAAGAGACTAGGTAAAGGAGGATTTTTGGAAATAAAGTGCCATCCATTTTTCAGAGACATAGACTGGGATCACTTGTATACTCAAAAGGGACCATTTGTTCCAAGAACAAAAAATATTGAAGATCTAATTTATTTCGAACGAAGTAAGTCTACATCAACGTATATCAAGGATCGAATGACTGGCATACATAACTCTCAAACTTCACATAATATTGATGACATGCTCGGTAATCATATTGATCAGGACCATTTAGTTAATGATACCTGTATAGGTTTGGAAAACAGCGACCGAAAACCACATGACGATTTAGTTGAGTTGGCTATTGAATCCTTTTCAGGTATGAATTTAAAAGCCCTCAACTTTTCCAACAAAAATGTGCTATGGGAAATCTCTGACCAGCTAGAATTCCCGGGCGCTTCATCCTTTTCCCATCCCCCGATTCCTAAAAAAGGCCATTCTATGCGTTATCGGTTTTTTTGCCCAGAAAAAAAATAATCGCAACACGCATGAAAGCCCCTGTAAAGGAAATTCCTTCGTCCGTACAGTTCGACAGTAGAAATTCTTAATATCAAATGAATGACTTTTCAATATCCTTACGAATCCTTATTCATATAGTGAATTCTTTTCTGAAAGCTTGATATCTTGAAACTAAGAGTAATACATCTACAATACCATTCTTGACTTGAAACAGGTTGTTGAAAAGCGCGGTACATTGTAAGGTAAATATTAAAGCTTTAAGAATAAATAGCCGAAACTTATTAAAAATAAGCTCAACGTGACGAGCCTCAAGATTGACGAAATACGCAAAGATGCGCTAAAGTAAACAACAATAAACAATCACCAAAAGATTTGTCTACTAAGCGCCAAACATCTGGAGAAGTCGATTTCGAAAATGCCTGGCGGCTTGTTCAATTTACGAAAACGAAATGAAGTAAACAACGTAGAATATCTTAAAGAACCATCATCTCGGTCATTGATTCTGAAGCGCTATATGCTAGCTGTTGCAGTGTTCTTCATTGTTGCAATTGGTGTTTATAGAGCGGCCGTTTCTTCTAAATCAGATAATCTTTTGTATCCAAATAAAGGAATTCGCCTCAGCAATGGAACAAACACATTCCTTCCTACTGTAATCATGATTTCTTTGGATGGTTTTCGAGCAGACTATATGTATCGAGGCCACACACCCAATTTGTTGCAGTTGGCTGAAAAGAATGCTCATGCACCATTCATGGTTCCAGTTTTTCCTAGTATAACGTTCCCTAATCACTACTCTCTTGCGACTGGAGTTTACCCGGAAAATCATGGAATGGTGAGTAACAACTTTTACGACCCTATTAGTGGAAAATATTTTGTAAATACTCGTCCAGAATGCAATCAAGATCCATCTTGGTGGACGCAGGCAGAACCAATTTGGATCAATGCTGAACGTCATTCAATTCGTTCAGCTATCCATATGTGGCCGGGGAATGAAGTTGCTCATGATGGAATACGGCCCTCGTATTACACATCCTTCAATGCTAGTGTAACCCTTAAAGAAAAAAAGGATGAACTACTTCATTGGCTTGATCATGCAGACGATACTCGACCTCAATTACTTATGTGTTATGTGCCTCACGTTGATTCGGTTGGCCATACCTTTGGTCCTGATTCATCACAACTTGATTTGATGCTGAGAGAAGTTGACCAGATGATTGGTAGGTTGCTTGAAGGTATCAGGCAGAGAAACTTGCAAGACATTGTAAACGTTATATTTGTAAGCGATCACGGTATGGCTCCTACGTCAAACAATCGTTTGCTTTGGTTGGATGATCTACTGAATGTATCGAAAATTGAATTCCGAGACGGTTGGCCCTTGGCTGGTTTCCGAGGTGAAACTGGATCGGACGAGACGTATATTGCTGATAGTCTGAGGAATGCAACCTCAGAATCACTTCCGGGGACGGAGTATTGGCGATCTTTAACCAAAGAAGAATTTCCTGAAAAATTGCATTATTCAAAAAATGATAGAATAGCTCCTGTTTGGATGATACCAAATCCAGGTTGGTCAATCGTCTCTTCGTTAGACCATTCTCCAGATGTTGAATATGAACCATATGGTGTTCATGGTTACGATAATACTTCTCCTCTGATGAGAGCTATATTTACAGCATTCGGTCCTGCCTTTGAACCCTTTAAGTCGAAGCAAATAATCCCCTTCCGTAATATTGAAGTTTACGATATAATTTCTTATATACTAAATATGCCGGCAAATCCCACTAATAGTTCATTTCATGGTGCCATACCCACCAAAAGAACCTCAAATTCTACAAAGGAATGGTTACTTCATGACATTAAACAGGCGTATAATGAGCTTGAGGCTCGCTAAGTGCCCAAACGAATCATAATCTCTCTATTATTATTTTACTTTTTCACCTTCTTTAACGATTCAGAATAGTATCCTAATCAGAAATAGCATTCTATAATTTCGCATTTAGCCTTTCATCATTCATCCATGCAAAACTCTACAGAGAAAAGTTAGTAAGCCATCAAGAGAAACACTCAATTAATGTCAACCATACCAATATTTTGTCCATCTCAGGATCTACCATAACATTAATTAAGCATGTAGTTCCTTGTCTCCAAAAATCTTGGATAGCATTTTTCAAGTCATTGACATTCGTAGCAAAGTAGCCTTTCCCACCACACGCTTCACATATTAGGTCATATCGAACTGCAGGAGACAGAGCCGTTGTGGGAAGTTGATTGTGAGTTTTAAATTTCTCATAAGTCGAATCGTCCAAACCGTGATATACACCGTTGTTGTTAATTACAATAATCAAAAGATCTAATCTGCTTCGAATGGCAGTCTCTAATTCCATTGCACTAAAACCAAAAGCACTATCGCCTTCTACCGCGACAATTTTATCCCAAGGATTCGCTACTGACGCTGCAATGGAATAACCAAGACCAACGCCCATGGTAGCCATTGTTCCACTATCTAGTCTACCACGAGGATGAGTTACTTCCAGGACTTTTCGACCTTTGTCCAAAGTGTTTGCTCCTTCAGAAACCCAGGTTACGTTTCTCTGTGTTTCGTTTACCAAAGATTGAATAGAGTTATTGATGACAGTTAAAGCATCTTCCATATGCAAAGGACCATCTTTTTTCGATGAACACAACTTTTTAGACTCATTTCGTTTGCGATGTTTTTGAAGCATAGCAAGATACAATGATTGTTCAGAGCAGTAGTTCCAGGCTTGTAAAGAGCTTATTAGTTGATCTAAAGCTAAGTTAATATCTGACCAAATCCCAAGAGACACATCACCAGCGTTATTTCCCAATTCCTCAGCAGTAGAATCGATTTGGATAAATTTAGCATTTTTTGACCACCGGGGAGAGAAGCCAAAGTGTAATAACCAATTTAAACGAGCGCCGACCAATAAGACAAGATCTGCATTTTTTAAAGCTGTTGACCTTGCAGACGAAAAGTTTAGCCGATGATTTTCCGGCAATAATCCTTTGCCCATTGGAGTCGGTAAGAAAGGTACATTTGTTTGCTCTATTAAGGCCAAGAGCTTTTCTTCGGCATGTGCATAAGAAGCCCCTTTTCCAATGACAATTAAAGGAGACTTTGAGCTTTTCAACAGTAGCACGGCTTTTTGGACCTGGTTTGGATCAGGACCACACTCCAAGGCACGAGGAATGCAAGGAAGAGCTTCCCAGGAAGATTCTTGAATAGAGGATTGAATAAAGTCAGCTGGAAGATCAACATAGCAAGGACCTGGGGTTCCGTTTATGGAAACACAGTATGCCCGATGAATCGATGCTGTAATCATCGTCGGAGCGGGAGGTCGCAAAGCTAACTTTGTGCTTGCACTTAGATAGGCAACTTGGTCTAACTCTTGGAAGGCTCCCCGATATCGTTGAGAAGTACCACTAGAACCAGCCATGAGAAGTAAAGGCCAACGATTTGCTGAAGCATTAAAAACTCCCGCCATGGCATGCACGACACCAGGACCGCCAACAACTATACAAACTCCTGGCGTTCTCGTTAAATATCCGTAGGCTGAAGCAGCATAAGCAGCACTCTGTTCGTTACGAAAACCAATAAACTGGATTCCCGCTTTTTGGATAGCCTCACAGACCTCAATTACGGGAATTCCAACAATGCCGAAAACGACTTTGACTTTTAAATCAAGCAAAGTTCGAGCCACAACGTCTGGAAAAGGAACACTCATTCTAAATAATAGCTTGCATAGAAAAGGACGAATAGATATGGTAGGCTTCAAATTATCTGATGTTTCAAGCTTCTACTTTTGAGGCAGCAAGCTCATTCAATGGTATTATTATGCCGAAATAAGGTTGCTTGAAGACGAAAAGATATTGACGGTGTTTTTGTAAAACTTAAGGGTCTAGGTATATCCTTGATAGCTATGCAAATCGGAACAAACAAATTAGAAAAGATCCAAATTAAAATGATTACGCGAATTTCTTCGGAAGAGAAGAGATTAAACCAGAAATGGTTCAATTGCGTTGCTCTGAACATCAACAATACGATATTACACACTTACTACGATGGTAAATATGGGAAGTTGGAATCTGGAAAGAAAGAATACGAAAATTACAGAATATAGCCATGAATGCGAGAAAAAATAGAATAAAAACATTTAAATCGTATATGTCAAACTTAACCGATATATGAAATTTCATAAACTGGGAAAAGTATATAGTACATACACGTCAGATTATAGAGAGATCATTAAATAAATGAATTAGAATTGGAAGCTTCGTTCATGTATTCTTTGCAAGATAGCATGAAAGTATCTCTCTAACAGGATACTAAAAAGGGAACATTGTTTGCAGGTTCATATGTACAGTTTCAGAAGGATGGCAGCACGACAGGATGGTTTTAAACGCTAACTCGTTCGCCAGACCATTGTCCTGATTCCAGGTGTTTCTCATAAATCACACGCTTTCCGGGAGGAGGATTTAAGTCCAGAAATTCGACACCGTGAACATCGCAGATGACCAGTGCAAACCGATTCCAGGCAGTTTCCCAGCGATTAACAAGTTTAGCATCTTCTCTACCAGTAAGCGTTGCAGGAAGCGGGATGAGAGGAACTTCCCCTTCATACTCGCTATATGTCACGGGGTTAGCAAAAGAAGTACGCATGTTAGGACTGTGGTTTTCCCAAATGCGTCGACGTTCTTCCTCCCAAGACCATTCTTGAGGAATACGTTTGTTGCTGCGAGCTAAATGTGTGTGTAATAGGTCTTCCTTTGGAAACTCATTCTTCTCTGCGAGATCAGGAGTGTAGAGCCATACTTGGCCCCAGAGACGAACTTGCTGCATGGTTTTAGGAAGCCAACTACAAAGCTCAAATGTATTATGCATGGGACCAGTCGGCGTTGACTTTGCTTGACGAAGGGAAATGTCCGTTGCTTTCTGTGATTTCAAGTCCGTAGAAAACACAAGCAAATCTGTGTCTAAAGGATCATCCTTACTAGGCTGCCAGCCTGAACCCACGAATCCACGAATCGCTACAGTACGATTGCGAGGATATTTGTCCCCTTCAGATGGTAATGTTGCTAGTTGCATGTATTCAGGATGAACAAGTCCCGAAGAGTCAGCATTCTCTTTAAATAGGTTAACCAACTTCGTTTTCCAGTCGTTTTCCATTTCTAATGATTTTCGTTCCTGTAAACTATTAAATTGGTCGCTTTTTTATAAACCCTACAAGTCTGTCATATTGATGTCAGATGCTGCACATGCCACTGGTATGAGAAATGTTTCGATTACGAAAGTGTACAAGTGTGAAATAAAGGAAACTCTCAGTTAAAATTGTAGATGAAACTCTTTATAAGCCATATAGACCAAGTATCTAAAAATAACATTTTATAAACATATTAGGTCTTCATTTGCCAGCATCTTTCTTGTTAACTAGTGTTGGCACTCAAGGCAGCTGCTTATAATAAATACCAATGAGTCAGAACTTTACCGCCGTCTTTTGAAGCACAGTTTTCGTCTGAATATACACTGTTAAAATTTTGTTTAGTTACAATTTTATATGAAAATATATATTATCAGCAAAACCTCCACAATTAAATAAAAGGTTAACACTATCCTATCCTTGTTAATAAATAAATACGTAAAAAAAAAACATTTCAATACTTAAAGAATGGTGAAATCATCAAAGTAAAAGTAATATACATTAATCTTTATGTTCTCTTCAATCTTTTAAAATAATACAATGGTAAAAGCATTTCAAAAGGAGAGTTTGAGAACCCATGTTCCCAAAAACAGCACTTGAAGAGCTGGTCCTCAGTAAGTATAATCTTACTAGCATACCACATCGTATAGCATTATCATGTTTTGCTTACGGGTAAGACCAATCTGCTAAACCATATTCTGATTCGAGTTCATAGCAAATTAGGTCGTTTTTCAACCCCGTTTGATAACTGTTCCACTTCATAGATTATAAATTTTGCTTGTTAATTCCACAAAATAACCAATAATGAACGGAATCAACATTCCCCATGTATCAGCATGCTTAAAATAGTAGTAGATGACATATCTATTTAAGCCCGTTACGAAATTGAAACGAAACTTCACAGCAGACTTTCTTTTATTATCTGACATAATAAAAGGTTGAGAAAGGAACCTCAAAGCCCCATAGTATTGTAGAATATAAAAATTTCCAAGATGAACCAGTGTAACACAAATGTTAAAATACAGATAAATATGTATCGAACCAAATGCGAAATGATTCAGAATTAAATTCGAAATTAGTATAATTGGCGTATAGTTTCTGAAATTCCAAAAAACAAAAGATGAATATTAGGCACCCATTGTTGATTCAAGAACAACGGTAATAAACAGACGAAAAGGGTAAATGTACTGATGGTCTGAAAAATCCCAATGAACCATAAACTTATGCAAATAATAAAAAAAAACTTAAACGAACCCCCTTTTTAATGGATAATATCCTGGTAAAATTTGAGCAAGTAAGAATGGACATCTTTGTAAAAATCCTCAACGGCATTTAAAGTTTTGGCAATAAAATCTAGTGCTATCTCTTCAGTCGGCAGAGTAAGTGCACCGTCTCTACTCCGAAGGGCACCATAATTTTGAATGCGCTCGCAAGCCTTTTTCATCTCTGTCAGACCCAATGCTGCAGAGGAGCCTTTTAAAAAGTGACCCAAAGAAGACAATTTTTTCAGATCTTTCTGCTTTAGTGCCTCTTGTAATTCTTTAATGGTCGTCTCAGCTTGTTCAAAGTAATTGAACACGATACTTTTGCTAAACTCGTGTTGATCATCATCATCCATTTCTAATAGCTGATCAAAAGTTGTGTGATCGACGAGTTGTGGGTGTCGAAACATGTCGTCTTCAAAAGACATGTCATAAGCGACAACAGAAAGCTCGTCAGAAAGGACACCTTCGTTCACCAAAGCTTCGAGAGAAGCGATCGGCAAGTTTTTCCCGCTTACATTTTGACCGTTGAGATAATTGGATATATCAATGGGTTCGTTTCTGTTTGTGTTTTTCCTTTCATTCTCTTCTTCTGAATTTTGTGTCAACTCTGAAGGAGGGGCAGGAGAGCTTTTCGAAGAAGACATCCGAGAAGTCATAGCCACGTAGGCTGGATTTGAGGTTACTGGAATTGAAGGATCATTAATGTAGCTGTTACTGTTACATCGTCGATATACATGGGGTACAGGCACACCTGCAGGAGAGCACGCTCTTTCAGCAATACCTGAGTTCTGTAAGGTCCTAGCTAGGCTAGCCGTCCAAAATTGCTCATTTCTTTTGGAAGCCCTGTTTTCTGTATTGCGATCATAATTCACGTTTGTATTCATCATTCATCAACTTTTAGGATAAAAAAAAACCACACACACACACTCTCTAATAAAGGATTATACACTCTATAAAACAACAAAGTAAGTCAAGCTTCGAACCAGCAAAGTTGATCTTCCTTCAAGAGAGAGAGAGAGAGAGAGAGAGAGAGAGAGAGTAGTGTCGTTAGTTTTATTTAATTAATTCGTGTATTAGTTGGTCTTATTGTCTTATTTCGTTACCTAAATACGTAAATTATTTGCACAATGTCTCGACCAA